ATAGAGAATCAAAAAAGAAACAGAAGCTATTAAGCTTTAAGCTCATGTTCACTTAGTAAAATTAACCGGTACGGCCCTTTGAAATTTGTCCATTTTCTCTCTTTTTCCTCATTACTCATCGACATCGTTCTCAGCAAGCCCAGATACAACACTCCTTAATCAACCAAAGTACCCTCTACAACTTTTACTAGACATACAACCAACATTCATATAGTAATCCGTTGACTTTTATTAGTAGCATCTACTCTAAATTTGCAAATTTCAAAAATCTTCGTTTCCTCATCACCTACACTTCCTATCTAAAATCTAATTGCTCCATCGTCTTCTACACAGAAATTCGCTATAGGAACATGCTACTTTCAAAGCTCTGGCATCACTTTTTCAAAAATCGATGTTCAATCATCCAAAAGTTGAAAATCTCAAAATCAAAAAACATTTTGTACATCCAGGTCCTCATAGGTTTAAAAAAAAAAAAATTTAGAATCTCGTCAAACTTAAATATGTTGTAGAATAATGATATTGGAGCAACTTCTTAGTGGGAACATTATATTGGAAATGGCTACTTCATGAGTTAATCAACATTGGAGATGCTATTTTTAAGCGGCGGAATATGCATATCTTAAATGGCAAACCTTACTGTAATCGAACAAAGCAAGCTAAAGCTCTCTCGTCTTAAAAGCTAAATTCTCCAACATGTCAAGTATCTATTGATAACTTGAAAATAGCAAGTTAATATGGCCCTTTTCGTACGCTCCGATTTTTAAAATGCTTGGTCAAATGCACACTTGTGAGGTGTACACATGCGGAAGGTCAACGGAGCTTCAATTTCTAGTATTCTGAATGATGATCCATGGGATTCCGAAATCTATCAACATTGAAATTACGCGTTTCCTGATAGTAAACATCCCTTCAAACTTATATGAAACTTGTAGAGAATTCAAAGGAAAATACAATGGTATTTGTTTCAAGTCTCTGGTGTACATTGTTCACCTGGTATTTGATACGGTTGTTTTTGCGATTTTTTGACTGTTTTCAAAAGATTAATCAGTATCTGTCATCAAAGCATTTTGTTAAGCATTACTAAACATTGTAGACCAAAAAAATTCCTATCGAATGAGCTATTGCTTGAAGCTTTGGCATGACTCTATCACGAAATATTGAAGATATTGTCTTGACCAAAAAATCGTCACCAGATTTTTTGCTTGCTATCACAGGCAGATTTTGAAGGAAAATCCATGATTTTGCATGATACCCTTTTTTGACCATATCTCGGCAAATACTCACTGGATTCGCACAAAACAAAGACCATTCGATAGCTATACGTTATATCCATTATAATATAAATGTTTCAAGTACCAGATGTACGTTCCCTTCATAAATTTGCTCAAAATCGTATATTTCATGAGCTACAAGCAGGGGATAATCAAAACTTTCTTTATTTATCTATAATAACCATATTATCGTATAGAGAATCAAAAAAGAAACAGAAGCTATTAAGCTTTAAGCTCATGTTCACTTAGTAAAATTAACCGGTACGGCCCTTTGAAATTTGTCCATTTTCTCTCTTTTTCCTCATTACTCATCGACATCGTTCTCAGCAAGCCCAGATACAACACTTCTTAATCAACCAAAGTACCCTCTACAACTTTTACTAGACATACAACCAACATTCATATAGTAATCCGTTGACTTTTATTAGTAGCATCTACTCTAAATTTGCAAATTTCAAAAATCTTCGTTTCCTCATCACCTACACTTCCTATCTAAAATCTAATTGCTCCATCGTCTTCTACACAGAAATTCGCTATAGGAACATGCTACTTTCAAAGCTCTGGCATCACTTTTTCAAAAATCGATGTTCAATCATCCAAAAGTTGAAAATCTCAAAATCAAAAAACATTTTGTACATCCAGGTCCTCATAGGTTTAAAAAAAAAAAAATTTAGAATCTCGTCAAACTTAAATATGTTGTAGAATAATGATATTGGAGCAACTTCTTAGTGGGAACATTATATTGGAAATGGCTACTTCATGAGTTAATCAACATTGGAGATGCTATTTTTAAGCGGCGGAATATGCATATCTTAAATGGCAAACCTTACTGTAATCGAACAAAGCAAGCTAAAGCTCTCTCGTCTTAAAAGCTAAATTCTCCAACATGTCAAGTATCTATTGATAACTTGAAAATAGCAAGTTAATATGGCCCTTTTCGTACGCTCCGATTTTTAAAATGCTTGGTCAAATGCACACTTGTGAGGTGTACACATGCGGAAGGTCAACGGAGCTTCAATTTCTAGTATTCTGAATGATGATCCATGGGATTCCGAAATCTATCAACATTGAAATTACGCGTTTCCTGATAGTAAACATCCCTTCAAACTTATATGAAACTTGTAGAGAATTCAAAGGAAAATACAATGGTATTTGTTTCAAGTCTCTGGTGTACATTGTTCACCTGGTATTTGATACGGTTGTTTTTGCGATTTTTTGACTGTTTTCAAAAGATTAATCAGTATCTGTCATCAAAGCATTTTGTTAAGCATTACTAAACATTGTAGACCAAAAAAATTCCTATCGAATGAGCTATTGCTTGAAGCTTTGGCATGACTCTATCACGAAATATTGAAGATATTGTCTTGACCAAAAAATCGTCACCAGATTTTTTGCTTGCTATCACAGGCAGATTTTGAAGGAAAATCCATGATTTTGCATGATACCCTTTTTTGACCATATCTCGGCAAATACTCACTGGATTCGCACAAAACAAAGACCATTCGATAGCTATACGTTATATCCATTATAATATAAATGTTTCAAGTACCAGATGTACGTTCCCTTCATAAATTTGCTCAAAATCGTATATTTCATGAGCTACAAGCAGGGGATAATCAAAACTTTCTTTATTTATCTATAATAACCATATTATCGTATAGAGAATCAAAAAAGAAACAGAAGCTATTAAGCTTTAAGCTCATGTTCACTTAGTAAAATTAACCGGTACGGCCCTTTGAAATTTGTCCATTTTCTCTCTTTTTCCTCATTACTCATCGACATCGTTCTCAGCAAGCCCAGATACAACACTTCTTAATCAACCAAAGTACCCTCTACAACTTTTACTAGACATACAACCAACATTCATATAGTAATCCGTTGACTTTTATTAGTAGCATCTACTCTAAATTTGCAAATTTCAAAAATCTTCGTTTCCTCATCACCTACACTTCCTATCTAAAATCTAATTGCTCCATCGTCTTCTACACAGAAATTCGCTATAGGAACATGCTACTTTCAAAGCTCTGGCATCACTTTTTCAAAAATCGATGTTCAATCATCCAAAAGTTGAAAATCTCAAAATCAAAAAACATTTTGTACATCCAGGTCCTCATAGGTTTAAAAAAAAAAAAATTTAGAATCTCGTCAAACTTAAATATGTTGTAGAATAATGATATTGGAGCAACTTCTTAGTGGGAACATTATATTGGAAATGGCTACTTCATGAGTTAATCAACATTGGAGATGCTATTTTTAAGCGGCGGAATATGCATATCTTAAATGGCAAACCTTACTGTAATCGAACAAAGCAAGCTAAAGCTCTCTCGTCTTAAAAGCTAAATTCTCCAACATGTCAAGTATCTATTGATAACTTGAAAATAGCAAGTTAATATGGCCCTTTTCGTACGCTCCGATTTTTAAAATGCTTGGTCAAATGCACACTTGTGAGGTGTACACATGCGGAAGGTCAACGGAGCTTCAATTTCTAGTATTCTGAATGATGATCCATGGGATTCCGAAATCTATCAACATTGAAATTACGCGTTTCCTGATAGTAAACATCCCTTCAAACTTATATGAAACTTGTAGAGAATTCAAAGGAAAATACAATGGTATTTGTTTCAAGTCTCTGGTGTACATTGTTCACCTGGTATTTGATACGGTTGTTTTTGCGATTTTTTGACTGTTTTCAAAAGATTAATCAGTATCTGTCATCAAAGCATTTTGTTAAGCATTACTAAACATTGTAGACCAAAAAAATTCCTATCGAATGAGCTATTGCTTGAAGCTTTGGCATGACTCTATCACGAAATATTGAAGATATTGTCTTGACCAAAAAATCGTCACCAGATTTTTTGCTTGCTATCACAGGCAGATTTTGAAGGAAAATCCATGATTTTGCATGATACCCTTTTTTGACCATATCTCGGCAAATACTCACTGGATTCGCACAAAACAAAGACCATTCGATAGCTATACGTTATATCCATTATAATATAAATGTTTCAAGTACCAGATGTACGTTCCCTTCATAAATTTGCTCAAAATCGTATATTTCATGAGCTACAAGCAGGGGATAATCAAAACTTTCTTTATTTATCTATAATAACCATATTATCGTATAGAGAATCAAAAAAGAAACAGAAGCTATTAAGCTTTAAGCTCATGTTCACTTAGTAAAATTAACCGGTACGGCCCTTTGAAATTTGTCCATTTTCTCTCTTTTTCCTCATTACTCATCGACATCGTTCTCAGCAAGCCCAGATACAACACTTCTTAATCAACCAAAGTACCCTCTACAACTTTTACTAGACATACAACCAACATTCATATAGTAATCCGTTGACTTTTATTAGTAGCATCTACTCTAAATTTGCAAATTTCAAAAATCTTCGTTTCCTCATCACCTACACTTCCTATCTAAAATCTAATTGCTCCATCGTCTTCTACACAGAAATTCGCTATAGGAACATGCTACTTTTAAAGCGAATTTCAATTCGAAATTCAAAGAGAAATCAAAAGAGAAATCAAAGCGCAACAGAGAAAAGGGAGGAGCGAAGGTTCCAAAGTATATCCTCGCTGAAAAAAAATAAAATGAGTCATGTTGGACCGGTTTACAGGCGCGATGTGAACATTGCGGTCCAACAACTTAATACTCAAGATATCAAGCGGTGTTTTAAATGTAATAAATTATGATGGTAGTATTTATTCAGGTTGTCATCAGCAGGATCAAAGGGTCCAAGGATTTTGAGCCAAACCTCTAGTTAGCAACTCCAATTTGCCATCTTCTCTGACCACGACGATATCTTCGAGACGAATACCAAATTCGTTTGTAACGTAGATACCTGGTTCCACACTGAATGTCATGCCCGGCTCCAAGTATTGCTCTGTGTTTCCCTGGTGCATGTAAGGCTCGTCGTGCATGCGAAGGCCAATGCCATGGCCCAATCGATGCGTGAAATACTTTCCAAATCCTCCCTTTTCAATGATATGACGTGCAGTCAAATCTACCTGAGCACACGTTGTGCCTGCCCCAGTTTGATTCAGTACATTCTCTTGAGCACGACGGACCAAATACCAGGCATCCTCAATGGTTTCATTGTGTCCTCGTTTTCCCATGAAAAAGGTTCTGGTAGTATCTGACTGATAGCCTATAGGAAATCAATTGTCAGCTGTTGTATGATCCAGTATTAAAAGGTATCGTTCAGTCCTTTACCAAGTAATTCTCCTCCCGTGTCAATCAAGACAGTGCTGTGCTTAGTAACCTTCTTTTCGCTGGAGGAGCCGTGAGGAAGAGCAGCATTCTCATCAACAAGCGCAAGGACCCAAGTGTTTGTTAATCCAGCTCTGCGCAATGCTTTCTCCATCACATTCTGAATGTCGAATTCAGTCATGCCAACCTTAATGTGTGGGCGGACAGTGCGAATAGCCAGCTCAGTAGCCGTATTGGCGCATCTCATAATATCCAGTTCAGCCTTTGATTTCACCATGCGTAACATTCTGATGGATCTGGGTGCCAAGTACACATCACTGCCAGTCAATCCGTCAACAATGCCTTGGTAAATGAATAATCGAGCATCTTCCTCCACGATGATTCGGTTTCCAGACTTGTTGTTGAACACCTTCTTGACAGCATCGTAGGGTGATTCATATTCGAGCCATTCGACAATGTCCGGTGAAATTTCCTGTGGTAACTTTGCCTTTCTCAAACTATCCAATGCACGTGTAGCTTCAAAGGCGGGCGATACGATAGTGGTGTGAATGCCTGTTGGCTCGTTGCTGTCTAACTGAAGGATAACCATGAATGCACGCTCTGTCAATCCCCACTCAATGTTGGTGTAGTAAATCATGGAAGCACCGCCCTCCATGATCAACGCATCGGCCTTTTCGTCTTTCAGTACTTGAGCCAGCTTTTGATGACGACCAATGTATTCGTTGGGTTGAATAGAATCGACATGAGAGCAGAAACCATCCAGAGGAGACAAGTCGAGCTTATCGCCCTGACTAAGATATCTTTGCAGCAAGCATGTGCCAGTCGCTAGTGCTGCTAAAATGGAGAATACGATGGCAGCTCGTATAAGCTACTTGAACAAGTGTTAATCTACAAGTGGAGCCGGACAATTCGCATCATTACCATGGTGCTCTTCTTTAGTCTGTTCCAATGACTGACACCTCGGCTGGTTCTGTTGAATAAGGGCGCATTTTCATCATCTGAAGACATTTTGTAGGATATCGAAAAGAAGAGAAGAAAAAAGATATTTTTTATTGCTAAATTCATCGTGTGAACTATCAACAGAAGCCCAGGACCTTTTTTGTGTGTGTCTAAGCATCAGCGGCATAAAACATGACCAACTTTCCAGGCCAACCTAATTCAAAGAGATGAGTTTGAGACAGGAGCAGCCCAAACGAGCACACATACCATTGAATACCGTAAACAGGGCCTCTTTGACATATTTCTCCTGTAATCCTGCGTCCAATTCCCTTGGAAAAGCCAGATTCAACACGCCCAATTTCTCGCATTGTTTACGCAGCTCGACCAAACACATTTCAAAATCTGCATAGCTTGGTTTGTTGTATGATTTCTGTCTTGTGATGAGAAAGAAGAAATGACGTTGGCCATGAGCAATAGAGGCTACTTGTCCTACGCTCTTCTTTTGTGCCTGTACCATGGACAGCTGGTTGCTAATCTTTTGTCTAAACGATTTATTGGACAGCTTCATGTCCTCGCTTACACCAATGAAGATACTAGCAGTGGGTGTGATGCATTGAAACAAATCACCGTGTCTTTCTTCAAAGTCAAAAGTCATTTATTGTCTATATCAAACCAGTGGAGAGGGATAAAAAGAAACAAGAAGGGAAGAAAGAGGGAAAGAAATAGAGTGCATCCACGCGACTCGTACATGATTGTTTATCATAAATAATTTGACATGATATGCTGCTTAAAAAAGACTCCTGTATAAAATGTAGATAAAAAGGAGGCCAAATACAACCGTATAAGTAAACGTAACTCGATGAGCCCAAGGCCTCGTAGTCAACTCATCGGGAAAAAACCTTGGTCTATACTCGATTGGCCAGCGTTTGTACTAAGTGGTACATGTTAGATTCCTTGAACGCTCATTTCCGTGCTAAATACTTACAAGCTCGTTCAAATCAGTATCCAATTGCAACGACCAGCGTACAAGAGTGGGATCTTCGTAGGATCTAACGTAGGTTTTGGCTCTAGGGCCCATGGCACGGATATTGTCTCTAGAACACACAGCCTTGCCATCGCGCAATAGTATCTTTTCCTCCATTGTCAAATATCCGCCTTCGCCTAGACCAACGACTCTGGGCTCATATCGTCTATGTGTCACTGTGTTCTCCTGTGTGCTTGCTGATGTAGCTGCAGTCGTTGTGTTACTACTGGGCGCTAGCAAATGACTTGTGCCGGTTACTTTGAATGTGCTAGCAAGAAAATCATAGGCGTCTTTCAGTTGTGCTGCTTTGGGTGTATTTTGTGCACTTGAGCGAGCGAGGTAGGCGTTGTGAAGGAGGTTTAATGTCTTAAGCAAATGCTCAGATCTGGGCTCTGTGCTGTACAGTCCTTGTGGTTTCCATGTATTACGTTCCTCCAATTCAACAAATAACTTGTACATGCTTCTCAGTTTCTCTTGAACCGATATATCCAGGGTGTCTGATCCGTAACATAGTATCGATATCTGCTTGTATGGGTTATTTGCGTTGGCTGCTACTATGCTGATTGCGTTTGACTGGACACTTTCTAGACCCCTCTCAATCAGACCCAAAAAGTCCACTAAACCCTCTGCCCTTAACACGTTGATCAATCTATATAGGATTCGCAGTTGGCCACGGATGGCGCCTGTGTCTGTAAAGGAGGTCAGTGTTGTAGTGGCTGGCTGTATGCTATCCTTGTATTCAAAGGTGCTTGTGCGTTGTAAGATGATATTTACTATTGAAAAGTAAAAGGGTATGTTGTCCAAGACGAATAGCGCCCATCCTTGCTTGATCGGTGTGTATATCTCCTTTTGAGACGTACGAGGTATTGCTCCCAGTCGCCATGGTGCTGCCCACATGGACCACAGTTCAATCACTTGTAGATAATCGTCGCTTTTGCTCCAATTGTGTGCCAGCCTGGACAACATAAAGAACAGCTCGTCCTTGACTGAAGCGTACACCGAGTAATATAGTGAGTCCTCGTCGGCAAAGCACTGCTGTAAATTGTGCTTGACAATGTTACTGACAAACACTGATATCGAATGCATGTATTCCATGCTGAGCTTCTGTCCAACGGCCACCCAAGAAGTACGGATCCATAATTCGATGCAAGTGTCGAGAAAGAAAGTGTCTACAAAATATGGAAAGGTTTGGCTTGTGTTGATGGGCACAAAACAATCGAAATATTCCTCAAATACGCTGCTGTAGACACTGGGGATGATGGATCGTAGTTTTCCTGGTATCTGGTAAGGTGTAGATGAATTTACTGTTGAAGCACTGGTGCCGTTGGTGGCCACCGTTGTATTTGTGCTTCGTATGGTCCCATATTCTACAGTTTTGGTGTGTAACATATTATTGTTGTTTTTGGCGGTAGTAGTGGTGTTGGTGGATGTGCCTCTCATGAAGCTCATGGCAGATGGCTGTGGTGGTGGCGGCACAAGTGGTGGCCATGTTGGCACACTTGCGAAATAGTAGAGATAGAATTGCAGCATGTTGAACCGTATCTTTCGATCGCCTCCTACTGCCGTAGCTACCAGAGTCGATTGTCGAGTTGCTGTGGTGCGTATGTTGACTGAATTAGTGGTTTTGGAAGCATCTAAATAGGAACAGCTTTTGTAGACTCGAGGTAACAAATGAATTGCGCCTGTTGCTAGTACATTTCGCACATCACTCTAATCAGAGATGCTCATCAGCCTTCGGCTCTTGATAGAGTAGTGCATTGACTTACTGGAAGACTCTCGGTGACTAGATCGTAAGAATACTCGGGATACATGCTCAGTTTGACAAGTGCTTGAAAGAAATGGCCATTGACCAAGAGTAGGTTTCTGATAGCATCGTCCTGCTCCTTGTCAGTTTCAGTCTGCAGCCATCCTCTTATAGAGCAAATCCATTAGTATATCAAGTCTTGTCTGCATAATCGTCAAAGACAAACCTTGCTGAAGGTGATCCGAATATGTAGACAAGTAAAGTGGGAAGAAACGTATGAAAAGACCTCACATAGTGGTCCGATAGTAAAGAGGTTGCATTGATATGTGTTTCGCAGTAGTTGAGAATATGATTACAGATGGCGACAATGTTGCGTTCTTGAAAGACCTTTTGACTATCCATTTTTCATACATTTATGAGATGAAAAAGCGTCGAAACGCGGTTGCTGTCCTTTTGATTCAATTATTGTTGTCAGTTACTGAAGCAAGTCCGATTAGCAACACGCACGCGGCACGGTAGCACAGGCTTTTGAAGCAATTTATCAAAGCAGATGCTAGTTGGCGTGGCAGCTAAAGCTATTTATGGCATTGATTATTCCGTAATAATACTTGATCTAGTAGATTGCCGCCAAAACAACTTGCTTCGATTGATTAGAATACGTTTAATGAACAGCTATGCCTCACTTGCATTCCAGCTATTTCAAGAGCCACTTGTAACTTGCCAGGTCCAAAATAATGTATTATTATGAGTTCAAGCATCAAACATGTCTGATTTTCTCAATTTTATCAATACAAGATAATCAAGTATCGAGAACACAACGCCTTCTTTGATCAAGATTGTTTATTGACCTTGCGTTTTTTGAGGCGGTATGGCATGCCTAATCAAATGATTCGACAAAACTTGGCGTGCCTTGTTTGAAATTATCATCAAACTCCTGCCCATGTGAATTGGTTTCTTCGGTAATGGCTGACGCAAAGAATACCTAGCTCTTGTGCCTGTTCTATTAGGCACATTGAGCAGTATATTCTAATGTTTGCTTTACGCAAATACTAATATTCCTCCAGATTACATTGATCTATGGGAGCATCAAGCACAGTTTCTTGGATACAACATAGATCTTAGCCCCATATCCTACTGTAACAATTTCTTTGCTTGGGTGATATAAGCGTCTATTGATTTGATTTCAAGAAATTGATTTGTGTATCTGTTTGAAGACCTTATTTTGAAGATAGAACGTCTTGGTAGGCTATTATGATAAAACGGATTCTGTCTATTCTCGTTTGAGCCCTTTTCTGCCATCCCCACACCACGTTTTACATACAAGTCGGTTCACTAGACCAGTATCAACCACCGCAAACACCTTGGGAAACCTCAAGCCTGACCAGTGTTTTCAGAAAAGCAACAGACAACAGTATCAACAGCGATCAACACATATTCGAATTAGCTTTTATTGCATTACAAAGATATAGAGCAATGCTCTTCTTGGATTCTCAAAGCACAAAGACTTTGATACTGACAGAATTAATCAGCGAGAAGATGTGAGCACATCTAATCCCAAAAAAGTTACCAAGGGCAAAGTCTTGGGGATTATTGATCGCTTTTTCCTAGCGTTTTCCCTTCACTGTTCCAGTTAATCTCCAAAGGGTCCAAAAGGTACCAGGTGCAGATTTGTAGCGTAGGTACACTTCCTACTAAGGTACTAGACTGGGTTGAAAACTGATACCAATGAATCCCACAATATAAGTGGGATGAGTAAGGCATTCCTTATCAAAGCAAGTATGCTACTTCTAGGCATACGAAAGATGCTGCCCTCCGAGTGCCCTTTTCTAAAATGAGATACGTTTACAGTGAGTGACCAACGAAACACGACCGTGATTTTTAGCCTGTAAATCGAGAACCCCTTACTCAACTTTCATTGTATCGTATCAAGAATGTTGGCTTTGTTTGCTTTTGTGCGTATCATTCACATTATCATGAGGTTAGAAGCCGTCAAAAGTAGATGCTCTTGGTTACGCAAGGAGAATGAAGGTTACCTGAGAATATTTTCTCTCAACTAAGTCTTGTTAGAATCGAATATGTAAGACAAATATAAACACCTCGTTATAAGAGGGTATTGATTTCGACATGGCATGATGCCATGTAAAAGTTCCAGTGCGCATTTTTGGTCAGCCAGCAGCGACAAAAATAATTCAACCCCAACTTAATTTTTCTGCTTAACACTGGATACGTTTTGTTCTTTTCGACTTCTTTAATCTATCTTATGAGATTCGACTATATGAACTGTGATGATCAGCCCGTACTTCTTAATACATTCTTAGAGTACCCTTCAAGGCGCTTCCAATGGTGCCAAGTAAGATGGATGTTTTGAATAAGCTTATTGAGCAGTTTTAGAAAATATGAAATGATGGTTTTAGCCAAAATATCGAAATTTTGTATATGAAGGCCTCACAAGAGTGGTTTCATGGGTTGCTTTGGGCTTACAGAAGCATTTTGATTTACGATATACCATAGTAAAAGTCTTCATTTTTAAGGTGAAAAACGCGATCGTTTAATTTTTGGTAATTTTTTTTTTTTTTTTGTATGGATGTTGCTTATTTATTAGTAGGTACACAAATATAATAAGAACATCAAATGATGGACAAGTGCATGTAACAAAGTGACTTGCCATATATAATATTTAATTAAACTACTACTTATATTAATGCTTGAGATCTGACAATCTCATCACTTCGGCACAGATCTTGGTGGTGACATAATTGGTATCAAAAGGCATTCCTTCGAACGTATGTAGGAGCTGGAATCTCCATATCGTACGAATGGTGACAGCAAACAGGTCGAAGATTGTAATCTTGATGTCGAGATTGTAGATGAAGTATTGCTTCAGGTTCAGATTGACTATAGATTGGTATACTTGTGGATTGGATGTTGGACCAAATGTCGTTTTTGTGGGGGCAGCTAACCATGAGATGTTTGGCATCTTCAGTATCATTGCAGAGAGTACATTTGTCATCTTCAACGTTCCTCAGGCGTCGAACGGAAAGAGCTGATTTACTTGGGCATTGCTTATGGATCATTCTATACCAGACATTTCTCACGGAGTGGTGCATATTTTGATGATAGAAGTGCTTCCACTGGACTTTGCTGATGGATTTTCGGTGAAAACCATGAGGTATCTCTCGTGGTATATTGTTGAAAAGCCAGCTCCGTAGTCCAGATAGTATATAAATGGCTCTCATGCGATAATTGAAGGCTAAACAGCGAAATCCTAGCATATATTGGTAGAATGACTGAATGTCACACTATATAAGATGCCAAAAAGCACGACCTTGATCGTGTCATTGTCACATTGCCATACTTTTCAATGATCATCTGGAATGATAGAGCAGCATTCTGCATTATAATATACGAGTGATTATACTCCGGATAGTTCTCTACCTATTGCCCTTGCGTATCTTATCAAAATACTGCTACTTTCATTATAACTTCCCGCTTGCACTTGAAAACCCTTCACATCATTTGTGGATCTAACTTTTATGCGATGTTCCGCATCCGTATACATGTAAATACTTCATATACAGGCAAGTAGCATACAGGTATTATCCCTTCTTAGTCGACAGTGTGGCTAATACAGCAAAATCTGAGTGCATTTGAGTTGCGTTTTTTCGCTTTCAAAGCCGTTTTAGATTGTCAGAATAGCACCAAACAATGGCTCTCATCTGGCAGTTACTTATTGCCACTATTGCTCAACTTTTTGGGGACCAAAAAAAAAATGGCCAAAAAATGGCCAAAAAGCATGAGGTACCCCTCATGGCTTTCATCAAAAATCAAACGATTGCGTTTTTGACCTTGATAATGAAGAATTTTACTATGGTATACGAGCCTTTCGACACTTCGGGTGGTTTCCTGACCTACGCTTCGCTTCGGTGGAAACCAACCTACGTTCAGGCGGCTCGTTACTATGGTATATATTAAATCAAATTGTTTCTATCGATCCAACGCAACTCCTGAAGCTATCTTTGTGGGGCCTTTATATGGAAAATCTCGACTTTTTGGCCAGAAACCTCTTTTTATATTTTCATAAATTGCTCAATCAGTTTATTCAAAACATCTACCTAACTAGGTACCATTGGATGCGTCTTGAAAAGTGCTTCGAAATTTTATTAGGAAGCAAAGGGTGATCATCACAACTAGTATAGTCGAATCTTACAAAAGAGTTCAATCGAGTCGAAAAAAGGCAAAATCTGTCCAATCTTGAACAGAAATAATGTTTTGGGTTTGAATCAATTTTGGCGGCTGGTGGGGCCGGCTGGCAGACTCAATGCCCTTTCCATCATGAAGGCAATACAGTAATAGATGCTTTTGAAGCGTATGGAAAGTAGGTGGCAAATTATATATCACTATCGCTAGTTGTGCTGCTCTTCTTGAATCTATATTTAATAACGTCAGTCTATCAAAATACTTGTTAGATCAATTTCTTTCCTTTTTGAGGCTTTGAAAGTGTCTAGGGACCATAAATTTATCATGTTATGATATTACATACCGGCAAAATCTCTTGACATTAAATTATATGAATATGATTAAATTATGTACAAGCTTTAAAATACATTGGTCACAGCAATTGATGGACAGTACAAGCATTGAAAGAAGATGTAATCTTAATAGAGCATAATATTGAAGCTAATGACAAGACGTGGTTGTTTTTTTATTAATGTGTATTTGAGTTTATGAGATCACCATACTTGATGGATTAAAATATTTCAGATTTTTGAGGCTATTTTGACTTGTATAGATAGAGGTAGCAGAGATATAAGAACGACTTGGCCTTGTACAGATGTCAGGCATTAATTGTCTTGATAATTGATTGAGTAAGAGGAAGCACAGATGAGAGTAGGGCTTGACCTTGTATAGATGTAGAGATGGTATATTTGAACAGTCTTGTCATTTTAGGAGCTTGTAGGAGGCACAGAGAACTTGGCTTGATAGCATTTGGAGAGAACAGCTTGCTTTAGATGAGATAGAACATGAGATGGCAGAGGTAACTAGATAAAGATGAGATAAGTACACAAGTACTGCAGGCATGAGTGCGTAACAAACCATTTGGGCAATGAAAATTGACCATCAATAAAAAGGAACCAACACTATATAAACAGGTACCAAGGTGTAAACTTGCTTCACCCATCACGAGAATATCGACACCCTCAGGGCACCTTTATCACCGGATCATAGGGCTGAACCCTACTCTCGACGGCAATAAAGCGTTTGATCATCCCGTAGCATGACCAATGGGTTTGTCCTGCAGTCTACCCGTGATTGTGAAGCGGTGATCCTACTCAGTCCCTACAAAGTAGCTTTTCGGCACTATGTAATCAATAGGTTAGTCAACATGGCTCATACGTCCAACAAGATGATAACTTACTCGCACAGTTCACCAAGGTCTGCATGTATCAAAGATAGTGTGGCCTTTTTCTAGCATGGACCAAAAGACGTAGAGAGGACCATGGATTTGTAAGGCATTGTATGTAGCAGTAGTAGAGGCCAATAGACAGTAGAGTATTTGATTTACTTGACCATATGTAGAGAGAGAGAGAGCCCAAATGTCTTGTAGAGAGTTTGTATGTATAGAGTATTTTGCTTGTTGTAGAGAGATGAGATGAAGAAGAAGAGGGAAAAGCTGTTGAAAAAAATCCCTATTTATATCCTTCTCATCGACTTTCATGTGAGTCTAGTATCCTTGCCACACTCAAATTCGTTTCCTTTTACTTTTCTCCACGATATACTACTTTGAGCGCGTGAAAATAGTACCATTTTGACGTTTGACACTTGCTCTATTTGATCCGCTTCGTCCGAGGCTTTCAACTGTTTTCTGTCTCGAGTTATGTCCATTTTGCTACTTCAAAAAGCCCTTTTTCCACCTTCACATGAAACGAGTTCCCCCATCTCTTCCTAGATGTAATTAACAGACAACTTTTTACTGGCTCATTCTCATCAAAACGTAAACAAAAAAAATGTCATTTGACTCTGAAACAAATGCAGTTGGTTGCTAGATCAAGTAATCTTTTTCTACCTCTCCTTAATTTCTCTCTCCAAAATCACACAGTGCCCGATCCATCTCTCTTGTTGTTTGTATTCGCCATGAACTCTCCATCTAATTGGGCAATACAGGATGATAAGGTTGGCTTACTTGTTGTTTACATCATCTTGGAGCCAGTGCAATTGATTCTGGATCACGAGACAAGTGTACACCTCGGAAAGCAAGAGTATCATATGAATATTATTGCGGCAATCTCCATGGAATGGAACATAATCGATTGTTTTCGAACCAGTGCAAGTCATCTTATTTCCAACTATCATGGTTGCTGTCAATAATTTAATCAAGTGTTTGCGCTACTAGACATCATCAATATGCCCACATTTACATAGTGAGTTGGTCATTCTCGTGTATCATTCCTGCAACCTGTTTGTAGTTTTTACGCCAAGAGTATTCATCTCATAAAGAGTCAACACATTTCATGTCATTCTTTTAGGGATTGTCCTCTTTTAGAAGGTATTCGGATCATGCAAAATCAAAACAATTCATTTGCTAGGCAAAATTAAGCTTTAAAAAAAATCACATGTAAAGTAAACAAAAGGACATGAATTGAAGAGAGATAAGCAAGTAAATGGCCAATTTGTGGTCAAAGAGAGGATATTTTATTAGAAGGTATGTACATCATTAGAAAGCAAATCGCTTGAGGAATCCAATGGTACTATTTTCAGGGTTCTAAGTAAAGTACACATCGCGAAATTCATCAAACAAGGCCGTGGGATTTCCAAAAGAAGGAGGTTTCTGAATTAAACTTCACCTGCAATATCATTTTTGTCTGTGTGCTCTTCTGTTGCTTTGGATCATGCCACGCTCCTCCTATGTCACCAGCCTGTCCTTTTTGGGTCTCACGTTGGATACGCTATCCATTTGAGAAGGAGTCTCGCTTTCTCGTATAATCGTTTCTGTGGGTATCATTGCCGTTATATTATAGGGCTTTGAGCAATCAAGGAGAGTCTTTTTTGCCAGCCAGAAGGAATTAAAATCTCGATCGACATTCTATCACAATTCGTTGATTTCTGATCCTTTTGCGACTTGATCGACTCATTTTACCATATTCGACTATGAAAGTTGTAGTGATCATCCTTTACAGCCTTAAGCTATCTAGAAGACAAGTGTATGTAACAAAGTGACTTGCCATATATAATATTTAATTAAACTACTACTTATATTAATGCTTGAGATCTGACAATCTCATCACTTCGGCACAGATCTTGGTGGTGACATAATTGGTATCAAAAGGCATTCCTTCGAATGTATGTAGGAGCTGGAATCTCCATATCATACGAATGGTGACAGCAAACAGGTCGAAGATTGTAATCTTGATGTCGAGATTGTAGATGAAGTATTGCTTCAGGTTCAGATTGACTATAGATTGGTATACTTGTGGATTGGATGTTGGACCAAATGTCGTTTTTGTGGGGGCAGCTAACCATGAGATGTTTGGCATCTTCAGTATCATTGCAGAGAGTACATTTGTCATCTTCAACGTTCCTCAGGCGTCGAACGGAAAGAGCTGATTTACTTGGGCATTGCTTATGGATCATTCTATACCAGACATTTCTCACGGAGTGATGCATGTTTTGATGATAGAAGTGTTTCCACTGGGCTTTGCTGATGGTATGATTGAACTTTCGTCCAACAACAAGGTTGTGTATGTCCAGCATAATTGATCTCAAGTCTTTGTTCGCCATTCGAAGCATTGGGCGGTCTTGGTAATTAAGCATAGCAATGAAAGGCTGTAGATCTAGATGAACCTCCATGTTTCTTGTATCCGCGAAGGATTTCAATTTGATGTTTCCACAAAGACGGCCTCTTTCTATCTGGTTCCTGATGTTTGGTCGCTTGCATTCACTTCTTGACTTTAGCTGCAGAGTACTTGTTTCCTGATCGATGTGGAAGAAGTCGTGAACTTTGCTCTCCCTGATCGAGTCTCTGCTTGTATATCCCATAGCTACTTCCTCATTGTCAAAATCAAGAATTTCCAGCACTGGCAATGACAAGAGTCTCATGACATTTGGTTTGACAGGCCAAGCGAGTGAGAGCAGAGAATGCTTCATACAGGTATCTATTGCCTCGAACATCATGTAATAAGGGTGGAAGCCTCTTAACTGGTTTTTGTATCTAGCCGTTTGGAGCAGTATAGGGATTATGTGCGATGGTGAGTCGTGCGACATCTTCAAATAATCCACTAGTAGCCTATAAGTGAGACCAGGTATGTTGTTGCTGTTTTCTGTTAGCAAAGCGTTCAGATATCTGAATTGCAGAACCTTTTGTTGAGCCATTATATCAAGCAGTCCTAAACCGCCTTGATACCTTGGTAGGAAGAGAGAATTGCCCTTTAGAGGTCGATACAGACCAGACATTACAAACTGATAAATGATTGAAGCTATCTTCTTGACTGTGTCTTTGGGCAGGGAAACGATCCGAATGACATGCCATAGTCTGGGCAATATCATAGTGTTGGCAATATTCGCTCTGCCGTACAGTGAGACTTGCCGTGCTGCAAACCTTTCAACAGCAGTAGTAATATCACCCAGCAGCTTAGCAATGTATACGTCTCTTTGTTGATTGCAGAACCAAATTGGATAACCTAGGTATTTTATAAATCCTGTAGACGTAGAACCATACCATTTGATTTTGAGATTGTTTGTTGCATGATCTTGAATTAGGCCACCAGTTTGGCTTGTCATTCTTCCACCATGAAGAGGGAAGGCCACGGACTTGTCGTAGTTGATCATTTTTGTTGAAAACCATGAGGGGTACCTCATGCTTTTTGGTCGATTTTCGGTCATGTTTTTTTTTTGGCCCAAAAAGTTGAGCAAAGGTATCAGAAAGTAACTGCCAGATGAGAGCAACTGCTTGGTGCTATTCTGACCATCTAAAACGGCCTTGAGCACAAGAAAACGCAGCTCAAAAGCACCCAGATTCTGCTGTATCAGGGACACTAATGACTAAAAAGGGGTAATATATGTATGATACTTTCCCGTATATGAAATAGCTACGTGTATATGGATGTAGAGCATCACATAAGAATCAGATCCACAGATAATATGAAGGGCTCTCATGTGTAAGTGAAAGGTCAAAATATAAGTAGCAGTCTTTTGATAAAATACGCAGGGGCAAAGGTAGCGCGAGCTGCCGCTGCGTAGGTAGGTTCTCACCCAAGCAAAGCGAAGGTAGAGAGCCATCCGAAGCATAAACGCTCGTATTTGTATAGTGTATGTACATTTTAGTTTTCATATTAATAAACCTGCCTCCTTGACTTCAATTTTACAATGAGAAAAAGGTGGGTAGTGCGCTACTTTTTTTTTTTTTTTTTTTTTTTTTTTTTTTTTACATAGTCAAGTACCACAGGAGGCAAGTTAGATTCAACCAAAGGTGATGGTAATCTTTGTTTCTTTATCAGTTAGACTTGTCAAGACCCTTCCACTATAGATCCAACATCTGCTAAACAAAAGGCTGGCTTTGGGATAGAATCAAATGCGGGATCTTTGGATAATATAGACAGACATTGAGATGCATTCAGCCTTTTCAATAATATACAGAATAAGGCATCATTATCATCAATTGTCGAGAGAAAAGCCCATTACTTTACTAGCATCTCTTTACATTTAAATACAAGGTTTGAAATATTTTAATAGCAATGTTGAGGTAGTATGTATATAATTACGGTTGTATATTAAGTTAAAAATCAAGAGTCATTTCATTATCCTTCTTGAGCAATTCCAACATGCCAGGAGGCATCAAAGGCTTCTTGATGGTCTTTTGCTCGCCATCTTTGGTAGTGATGGCCTTAGTTTCTGCAATATATCTGAATGGCATGGTGACAGACTCATGGCGAGAAAAGAAGATCTCAGGGTAATCAATGTAAGGGACTTCATCCAAAGGAACTATGAACATGAACAAATCAGATCACCTGTCTAATGTTGTATATGATGTGGCTACCAACTTACTCTTGTCCTCAACTACTTTTCTGGTAACATTGACGGCAGTATCAGTGGTCATTTGAACTGGACCAAGACGTCTGCCAGCAAAACCCAACTTACGCAACTCTCCAGTGCGATCTAGCATCCTTCATCGTCAGTGTACGTCCATTTCATGAGAGCAAATCCAATAACACACTAACCTCTAGGAGGGTGATCACCCAAAATACCACCAAACAAGAAATATTTAAACTTATCACCATCTTCAGGAGCTAATTCAGAGGTGCCGGCAGGATCCAATAAACAGATTTCCTCTGGCTTGACACCAGGCAAATTTAAAACGTCTACTTGGTAGCATTTGGCGGTTTTGACTTCCTCTGGCATGCCTTCATTTAAACATTTGTCTGTCAATGAAGTGAAGTATAAGTGATCAGGACCGATGTTTTGAAGCATGTGCTTATATTCCAAAGCACACCATTCATGCATGGCGTCTTCCATATGTTCAATGATGTATCCACGCTTTTGATCAGTCATTTTGTGTTGCTTGTTGTTGTGTGTAATGAGTGAGAAGGGGAGAAAAAATTGAAAGAAGAGTTGCTTGTGTGCCTAATTTTAGAGGCAGTCCATGGGAGATGGGGCCAAAAAAAAGGAAAAATAGTAACTGAATGATTCTTGATATGTATAGCTCTGCCTCAGATTATACTATCAGATCAAGTATCTTAATTTTATGCCATTTTGATCTTGGATTTTTAATTTCATAAAAAAAAAGACATTTGAATGGTTTGCCAGAATGAACAACATTGCTTAGCCAACACGTCAAAATCATACATGTGGTGGCTTTGAATTCATGCAATATTGATGTGAAATGCCCATAATCGTGCTACCTGAGAAGCATATCTTCATCATTGAACCGCTGGATACTATTTCACAATGAAAAAAAGATTCTCTTAATCAAGCACTATTATTAAACAGCTCAAATGTAGCACTGCCATTGATATGATCATATTCTCGAAAATAGCTAATTATCATTCGAACTTCTATCATATCCAGATTCATAATTTCAGTCGAGACATACACTAAACATCCATAACATGACACCATATAATGGTGCTGGCTCATTCATATTCAGGGTTCTATTATGTCAGAACCTAAATAGCTTTTATCTTTGGTTTCATCACTGAGTAATATTAGCCAAGTAGCGAGAGCTAGGATTGAATCGATGAGTGCTTATTTTAACATTTACAGTCGAGTGAATGGAAAAAAAAAGATGGTATCAGGTAGCCCGCCTATTTTATCTATATAAACTAACTGACGCTTCTTTTGCTCTTAAATGATTGATATCAGTACAGTAAGCATGTTCTGAGCATACACAACTGCTCGGAATCGGGATTAGTAGCACAAATGTCTCGGTTACACTACGATCTCTTATAAAAGACAAATCTCGATCCCTTGCTTTTGCCTCACTGACACATCTCTTTCTTTTTCTCAATTCCTTTCAATGAAGTCTTTTTGTTTTAATATCTTTTTCTTTATAGTCTGCTTTACATTTAACGTACATGCTTACCTGAGTGAGCGCAGCTCACCATTTACTATCCAAACCATAGACAAACCAAATGCCCCAATCACCCTACGACATGGCGATACGCTGCAAATTCAGTGGTAAGCATCCCGGCTGTTTACACTCTTGAAACAACGCACAAGAGGCTAAAAATCCTGTTTATAGGACTCTAGCACCTGGTGTACGCTTTCCATTGTACGGATACGCATCTGCTAAAACCGCAAAAACTGATGGTAAAGTATAGCCTGTGGTTAGTTTGATGTGCTATTTTACTCAAGATTGTACAAACACAATAGTTGGACTTTTGCCTATCGAATCAACGCGCACACAAGATTACACACACATCATAGACACTGAGATCTCGATTCGAGACTACCTATACACCTGGACTGTAACTCAAGATGTGCCAAAAGGAAAGTACCGTCTAGGCGTTGGCTTCTTTTACCACGAAACCACACAAAATGAGATTCACATCATCTAGACAATATATACACTCTGGATACACAACATCATTTATACCAACGTTTGTGAAATAAAATACGCAACATGTACATACACACACACACACATAATGATTCTGTTTGCATTAGACATGACGTTATCTTGACGAGGGTAATACAAGAACTAAAATGGCCTTTCATTATGACATGATTTTGGACAACAGGTTGCGTCTTGATGGAGGGGTCGTTACATTTTATTGAACACATTGGAACTGTGCAACAGAATTGGAAAAAGTGAGGCTATCAGTAGGTTCTTTTATTGTAGAGATTCACCAACATGGTGTCTGTGATGATAACAAGATTTAAAATTCCCTCCATTAATCATCCCTTGTCTTGAGATGGCTTCTGTTGCTTGACTGAAAAGCTACTCAATCTCTCAAGGACAAGCAGTAACCGCCTTGTTTGTGGTTGGCTGTTGGAGAGCAAGGTCGCTTCAGTAGTATATGGCATTCAAGGAATCCAATAAGCCCCTGAATATCTGGACCATTAAGCTATATTGACCACTTGCGACGTGGATCAGCTCTGCACAAATGCTTGAATAGGAGACGAAGCAACGAATGCTAAATTCTTCATTGAAAAATCGTTGTGATTTCACACACCAATTGTTCATGCTGCTGTTCTTTCTGTAGCTGCATAAAATACGTGGGAAACGTATGCTAGGAGCAAGTGTTGCAGGTGAAGACAATAGCAATTCTGTGCTGTTGACCAGGTCAGTGGGTGCGGAAACTTCAAAGGAGGCATTAAAGCCATTTTTGCTCTTGTGGATAGCGCCTGCCACCAGTGCTTCATACTTGCAGCGCAACAAATGCAGCTCACAATAGCTGTCTCTTCCTTCAGCCAACTCATCAAATACAATGTTGATTATGTTAGGTTTTTCATTGAATTTTGTCGCAACCACTACATCGTCGACCTTTGTACTTTTTTTTACCTAAGTTTCCACCTGGGGTTACCAACAGCCAGTTTTCTTCTTTTATTGTAATGATGCCATGCGTTAGCTTTTGAACAATTTTTTCAATTGAGTCACTCAGTTGTGAAGGGTCAGTACAAAAGTTTGTTATCAAGTTGTATGTCGATGACGTTCAATTTTCTAAAACAATCTGCAGCATCTGGGTCTGTGCTTGGGTGCAATGTGCCGAATCACGGATTCGATGTCCTCGACATTTCCACTGAAGGCTCCTTTCCAGAAGTTGCCGTCTTTGAGTACAAGTTGATAGTTCTTGATCAATTTGAAATACAAAGTGCCAAATACCATACGTATTCAAATCACTTATTCATTCCAAAGGCAATGACGTATCTCAATGTCGCATGAAATATCATCAAGTTTCTATAATGATACAGACGGCTTCACCTTTATATAAAAAGCCGCGGATGGAGTGCGCCATTACTGTCATGGCGGGAGTGATGATAAAATCCACTATTAAACCTCGGCAGTTTTACTCTACTTAACCATTACAGCAGGAAGAAAAAGACATGTGATATATACTGGGAAGGGTAGGGAATTAACACTGTTACCGATCAGCGACTTGAGGCTGATAGACCATATTAGGCACAGTATATAAATACATTGGGATTGATAGCTGTAGATATATGAAAATATAGAGCATGACAGACATTTAAAGACCTCGCCAGATGAAGCAAACAAACATAGCATCATTATATATAACGTAAGATTAACATTGTCTGTATGCGTTACTACACTTTCTCTCCTATGGTTCATATCACACCATGCCTATCCATCGTTTGCCTTGTCGCTCTTGGATTAGTGGAGTGCCAGCCTTTAAAACTTAAGCGATCATTCAAAATTGCATTACACAAATCAGCATTAATGTCCAATGCTACCTCAAGTAGTGCTGTCTCTTTCATCAAAAAACAAAAGCAAACTGCCTATAATCACGGAAGTGGTAAATGTTCAATCAGACCTGTATTTGTTGCTGCTCATAACCAATCCTCCCATATAGGCTATTACGGTGAAATTGGCATTGGATCGCCACCTCAAAAATTTAACGTAATCTTTGATACAGGGAGCTCTGATCTTTGGGTTGTATCTTCCAAATGTTCCAGTGAAATATGCAAAAATCATCAGAAATTTGATTTTCAAGCCTCCTATACCTATGAATACGCTGCTGAAGACGACGAAGAGGAGGAGGGTAAAATAGAGCAAGGCGTGGTTCAAGTAGAGTATGGCACTGGAAGCATACAGGGTTACACGGGCAAAGATATAGTGGCATTGGCCGACAATCAAATCTTGCTGCAAGATCAAGTTATCGTGGATGCGTTTGATATTTCCAGAGACTTCATTGGGTCCCCCTTTCATGGCATATTTGGGCTTGGACTGAGCGGTCTCAGTAGCTCAAAGAGTAGCCCCCCCTTGTATACAATGATCGAACAAGGTTTGATTCAGGAACCTCTCTTTGCCATCTACTCTCAGCATAATGCAGGTGAAATCGATTTTGGTAGCACTGATTCAAGCAGGTTCCACGGTAATGTGACATATGTGGATGCCATCGATACAAGCTACTGGATGATGTCGATAAACAGAGTTCAAATTGGATTGCAAGCATTTGATAATAGAAGGGCCATCATTGACAGTGGTTCCACCTTGATCATCATGCCAACTCAAGATGCAGCTGCGTATCATAGACAGATAGAAGGTGCTCATAGTAATGGTGATGGTACTTGGTCTTTCCCATGCAAATCTGTCAAGAAACTGAGTCCCTTGACCATACAACTCGATAATATCATACTATCCATTCCACCTGAAAAACTGTTTTTGACGCCCATGAGCCCAAGCAGTAAGAAGTGCCTGTCGGGCGTCTCTGGCCAAACGATGGATGAAGACAACACTTGGATTTTGGGCGATATCTTTTTAAAGCACTTTTATACGGTATGAACACTTGAATATATATATATATATATACATTTATTCTAATCTATGATAAAAAAAAAGGTATTTGATCTAGGAAACCATCGATTGGGATTTGCTACTGCCAAGGAAGATGAACAGATGTCGGATCCAATGTACAAGCAAGTTTTACTTTAATAAAGTGTCTTCCTCTTCTTTTTGCTTTTCTTTTTCCATTGCCATCAGCTTCTCAAATACGTCCTCCATCTCTTTTGCCTGAGAATCAGACACAAATTTAAGCGATAACGGACGTTTCAGTTGCGCATGGTTTCGAATCATGGAGCTTAGTAAAGGTGTATAATCCTGCAATGCTCTGTGTACATTGCCCCGCTCCTTTTTCACTGTGGATGATGGTTCGTATAGTACTCGACATTTCCTCAAGTTTCTCGACACTTTGACACCTCGAATTGTAACATGGCCCGGAGTCACCCATTGACTTGGCATCACTTCTGTAGAGTACATGGTTGAAATGGCTCTTTGCAACCTTTCTGCTAATCGTTGTTGTGGGATGTTGGGTGCAGAGTCGAATTCATTGTAATTAACAAGTCGAGCAGGTGTGGTATACAGCTGTTCAATGCTAGTAGATGTTGTCTAATATTTACAAACCAGTCAGTTACTGCTTCAATTCATCCGATTTCCAGATACACATACTAAGCTATCACCGTTTGGTCTTCTTCTCTCTTTCTTTGTCTTAAAAAACCGCAGAGCAGGACCAGGGATCATCATGTCATCCAGAATTTGCTGGTTTTGTGGGGAATAGCGAGGTAGTTTGGGTTGCTTTTTTGGCTTTGTGGCAGCACTCGACATGAATCGAACTGCCATGGCGGCATTCTTTTGATTGTTTCTCATGAATTGCATAGTGAAAGTAGAGCTGATTTAAAGAAAGAGAAGGGCTAGTATATGAATTGCATGGAAAATATACCTGAAAGCTAGGATGTCGATGTGGTCCGGTCCATAGGATTGACTGCAATGGGTATTCCGGAAGGAGAATAAACTTGGATGGGTTTGGCCTGAAAATGTTGTAGGGCAGCAGTGGGGGCGGGCCCAGGAGGTAATAGGAAGCGTAGATGACAGACAGTGTAATACCTCCTCTTTCGCCATACATCCATAATACAAGATGAAGTAAATAAACGATCCAACATGATCCATCCAACACAAAAACATCCATCCATGATCACTAATTCACGTTGCTCCATATAGGCTTGAGATTTGTTCTTTCTCTGGCCACAAGATCTATCCTGCCAAGGGTAAGACTTACGTCCGTGTCGATAGCAGGTAAGTTTAAATCAAAGTACATGTGTTGAATATAATGACTCATGCCATTCTATAGAGTAAGTGTTTTGGAAATAGAGGAACAAACGACATGTAGATGGAGAGGAATGAGGAGATAGAGAGAGAGAGAGAGAGAGAGGGAGGAAAAACGAGCATTGTACGTAGATTTGGATATTAATGGGACTCTTTTACATGATAGACTTTCCGTTTCATCAACGGTAAGGCTGCCTCTTACTTCCTCCAACGTTTGAACCCTCGTAAGATCAGATGGACCGTCATCTACCGTCGTTTGAACAAGAAGGGTATGACTGAGGAAGTCCAAAAGAAGCGTTCTCGTCGTACTGTCAAGCACGAGCGTGCTGTTGTTGGTGCCTCTTGGGACGCTATTCGTGCCAAGCGTAACCAAAAGCCTGATGCCCGTGCTGCCGCTCGTCAAGCTGCCATCTCCAAGTCCAAGGACGCCAAGAAGGCTGCTGCTGCTGCCAAGAAGGCTGCTAACCCTGCTGTAAGTATCATAGAGAATGACATTGCATTGAAAAAGGGCTGTGTGATTGATAGTGTTTTATAGGGTTCTCAAGCCAAGGTTAGCAAGCAACAAGCTAAGGGTTTCGCTCCCAAGGCTGCTGCCACCTCTCGTTAAATCACATTTTTCTTTCTTTCCATTCATGAAATAAAAATACATAAATTAATATAAAATGTACATGCCGTTTTGGATGATCTGGCCAGTGTTATTGGTCTTTTGTGTGTAGAGTAGATGCGATACATTGGGGCAATAGCAATGGACATGTCAACCTTTTGTTGTAGTTGATTGGATATCAAACTTTGCCATTCTAGTTTGAAATCAATGGCGACCCTTGACAGCTGAAAGCATGATCCTTGCATTGGAGACCCTCTTATATGGATGGCGTAATACGGCTGAGAAGTTCTATAGTATTTTATCCAGATATTATTCCAGTTTATGCTATCTATTGATATTGAAAGATCATATGTGATCCCCGTACCTGTTGATAAATAACATGAAAGCTGAACACGATTAGAGTAAACATGCGAGAGCATTTGGCAATGAGAGTTACTCTAAACTCGACTACAGTTGAATTGTATATACAGTAATGCCTCGAGGCATTGAGCATTTACTTTAAAAACCTTATATGATCGAGCATGTTATCAACAAAATTGTTGCCAATTGCCAACGAGATTTGCAGTTATCATTCTCCCTCAATGAATATTATGATACAAGTTTTAAAGATAGCCTTGTCACATACCGAAATAGATTTTCAGCCAATGGTAATAGCCTCTTTTAAAGTGAATGAATGAAACGAATAGACTACGTGACATGCCGAAATGTTGCAATTACATGTATTTTGGCGGTGAGCCAAGATGATTGGCGTTTTCAGATATAAAACCGCCCAACAAAAGCAAAGGAAAGTATCCAGACTAAGCAATAGTCTTTTCGACTTCATGACGCCATTTAATCAGCATCCTAATAATCATCATTGTCATCATCAGAAAGGCATTGTGGTCGGCCAGAAGCACCAAAATTAATTCAAACCCTGCTTATTTTTTTTCTGCTTAACATTGGCTATGTTTTGTTTGGTTTTTTTTTTTTTTTTTTTTTTTTTTTTTTTTTGTCGACTTCTTTAAATGGCTGTTCCCGATTAACAAACATTGCCTAAAGGACGAGATCCTAAAGGTGGAAAAGCCACGGATTCTCGCCACAACGCCACCAAACAAAAGGATCCTATGCGGTCATATGCACAAATCCTGAAGTCGGATCAAACCAGGGACACATTTGATCTGACATCTCGCAACTCTGACGAGCTGGGCCAGCTCACCGAGGGGGGACAACTATTCCTCCACGCCAGGGACAAGAACTCTGTGATCATCTCGACCGAGCAATTCCTTGCATTGCAGGTTAATTTCAAGGATCTTGCGATAGTACTTCGTAGTCAGTTCCCGGATGCCTTGGGTCTTCGCATCCGTAACGTCAGTCAAACCACCAAGTACTTTGAAATCAATTTTCGCACTGCTGAAGCCAGGGAGGCCGCCCTGAAGAAAGAGTTTACCTATAAAGGAATGCAAGTCATTGTCAGCCGTACCTATCCTAAGGACGCTACCATTGTTCGGGTTAGTGTAAGCAATCTACCTTATGAAGACGAGGAGACGCTGAAGGATGCAATGTCAACAATTTTTGGTAAATATGGAGAAATCTTGGAGATGGGTCTGCTCCATACTGTGCATGGGCACTTCTTTACCGGTAGAGGTTTCGTCACTTTGAATCTCATTCCTGGTAAAGAGTATGCACCTCTGGTACCTCTAATTAACTCTTGGGAATCTGGTGAAACTCTCAAGATTACCTACACTGGTATGAAGCCTACCTGTAGTCGTTGTCATATCACTGATCATGTCTTTGGTAACTGTTCTGTCATGAGTCCATGAGTGAAGCACTGTCATATCTGCAGCAGTCCTAATCACTTACAAGACACATGTCTGAGCGCATGGTGGAATCAACGCAAGAAGGCTGCCAAGTTGAACACAACACACACATCACCACATCAGTCGAAGGCCACTGACAAGAAGGCAGCACCTGTAGTACCTACACCTGCTAAGGCAGATGAGAGTACTTCTGACAAGACGAAGGTTACTAAACCCTTCATTACAGAGATCATCCCAGCATCTTCTCAAGAAGCAACCAACACCAATTCCAACACCACGGAATCCTCTTCCATTGCTGAAGAGACAGCACCCATTCCATCTAGTGATGAGGATGGAAAGGACGTCGCTGCCACTGGGGAGGAGCAGCTCACCAAGGAGGTTGAAGTGTGTGAATCTGAACAAGAGCGTTTAACGGTTATTCAGAAGCAACAGGGCGACACTCCAGAAGATGATCTTGATGATGAGATGGATGGTGACGACAACGTCGATGAGAGCGATATCAACATGGAGGAAGCGGCCAAGGAGGCGGCAAGCAGCCCTATACCTCTGGATGAGGTTCTCCAGAAGATGAGACGCCAGCTCAGGCTCCAACGTCGCAAGGCCAAGCAACTGCACAAGGACAACAAGGACAAGGCATCACGCCCTCGTCACGGTGGAACGGCTTCGAAGAAGAAGGCTTCTACCAACCCCTCATCACGTCAATAATTATTATGAGTAATCATAATAATTATAGGAAATCCTTAAATATCAAATTTGGATCTCTGAATTGTCGATATCTACTCAAAGCCAACAATCCTCAATCCTCAGATTCCTTCATTCGATACTTATGGGGGCAAGATTTAGATGTTTTTGCTTGCCAGGAAACCAACATACCCTCACTCAACTTTGACGACAGGATTGCAATGCTCGACCTGAAATTTCAATCCGTTCAAAGTATTTGGACATCGAAATGCGGCATCTTCAACTTCAATCGAAACATTCACATGGAGAAGATTCACATTTCTGATGATGATAGAATTATATTTGCAAAATTGACGATACCCGCGGAACCAGACCTGTTGCCCATCAATGTGCTCAACATCTATGCGCCTGCGGATTCATCTCAGAACAGAGCCATTTTCTACAACAGCCTTATGAACTACATCAAGTTTCTTGATTCATACGGTGACATATTGGAGCGTTTGATTTTGGCGGGCGATTTCAACTTTCAATACGACCTTCGTTTGCCCAACAACGCACCCACCAAACGACCAACAGCATTTGTCTTGTTTACGGATACTTTCTTTCATGATTGTAACAACAACTACAGTGACTCCTTCTTTGAAACTCTTCCAACCTTTCGACGGGGCAAGGTCATTAAAACGCTTGACTACATCATGGTGGGCCGCCAGCTGAAGGATCTCTACTTTGACAATAATATTCAGCACGTCTTTTCGGCGTGGACTGACTATGCTTTACTGACCATCAAGCTGCGTCTTCAACTCAACAACACGGGCAAAGGGTTATGGCGGGCCAACCCCAACCTGGTGCACTACAAGTCCTATGTAAAGAAGATCAACTCTGGTATCAGCCACTTCATGCAGACCATCCTTGCTAACTCCTCAGATAGCAATCAGATCAAATGGGACCGTTTGAAGGGCTACATCCGGAAATTGACTAAAGCTTACTGCAGTAACCGTGCCTCCTGGAGGAAACAGCGTCTCAAGGATCTCCAAAGCTCTCGGAGTCAGCTCATCCGTCAGTTGAAAGATGATCAGGAAGCATTGCAGCAGGAACTTCCCAAAATTGAGAAACCTATAGCCCGGCTGGAACATGAGATGGCTCTCAATGCCACTCTCAAAGCTGGTAGACTTTGGCTAGACAACAACGAACACTCGATCGGCTTCTTGAAGAAGACGGGTGAAAGGCGTCTTGCTCAACGGACAATGGACACTATCACTCACCCAACGACAGAAGTTCCCTGTACTACCACTGCGGATAAGCTGGAGGCGGTTCATGCTTACTATGATGTGCTGTACTCTCCCGAGCCAACTCATCGTTACTCTATGGACAAGTTGCTCAGAGGTATCCAGAATACAATTTCCGTGGACGATGCTGAATTCATCATATCTTCCATTGACTTGGATGACATTCTGAAATCAGCTCGCCAGTGTCCGAAGGTTAGTAGCCCAGGCAGAAATGGCCTTCCTATCCCATTCTATATCTGGTTATGGCTCATCCTGCCTGCAAATAACTCGTCCTCGCTGTGTACAATGATGTCCTTAACCTCGGTGTGTTCCCACCTTCCTGGCAGGAGACGTGTATTGTCCTCTTACCTAAGAAGGGTGATCTGTGGAATCTGGCAAACTGGCGTCCGATTTCACTTATAAACACTGATTGCAAGGTATTCACCAGGACCTTGAACTCAAGGGTCATTGGTGCGGCCAACAAGGTCATCACTGGACATCAAGCAGGCTTCATGCCTACGCGATTTATTGGTGACCACGGTCTGGCTCTGCGACTCCTCATGGAGGACGCCCAATTACATTCCAATCGTTCTGTTGGTGTTATAATTGACAGTGCCAAGGCTTACGATTATGTAAACGAACAGTATATTTGCAAGGTGCTCCAGAAGTTTGGTTTCCCCACTACATTCATTACCAGTGTTTGTAATCTGTTCTTTAAGACCAAGATTGCGATCAATGTGAATGGGTTTATGACGGAATCAGTGTCTCAAAAGCGTGGGCTTCGTCAGGGCGACTCCATCTCCCCGGTGCTGTTTAACTTTGCTCTGGAACCTCTTCTGCTGGCTATTCTGAACGATGAGAAAATCAAGGGATACTCTATCCATACTGCTGCTGTCAAGTCGTCTTCCCTGCAATTGGTGGCGCCCGCTCCTGTCAAATTGCTGGCTTATGCCGATGATCTGCTGGTACTCGTCAATAATTGTGCAGAAATGCAGGCCATTCAAGACCACATCTCATGCTATGGTCGAGCGTCTAATGCCCGGGTCAACTACCACAAGTCCGTCGCCTTCCCTTTGGCTGGAGATAGGTCCCGCGTGGGTCCTGACTTGTTTCGCCTCTCTGGTCGTCTCCAATTTCAATGGTATGACTCGGATAGTCCATCTTACATCAAGTATCTTGGATATTCTATATGGTTCAGCAAAGCCCAGCGAGATGTCTTCTGTAACGAAACTATCCTCAAGCTTCAAGCCTCCCTGGATAGACATCGAACAAGAAGCATTTCTGTCTACGGTCGTGCAAACATGGTAAATTCGTTGTTCTTAGCTCGCTTTTGGCACATGCTGCGTGTCACTACCCTGCCCACCGCTTTTGAGCGAAAGATCTCTTCCTTAGTGTACCAATTTGCCTGTCATAAGATTGTACCCACCATAAAGAAATCCGTCATATATCTGCCAAAGCATGTCGGTGGTCTAAGCGTCATTGATATTAAGGTGCAACAGCACATCTTGCAACAACGCTATGTTCGCGCTTTACTTTTGGATAATCAGGTCTCTCGCCCCATTCCTGCTTTCCTCATGCAACTGCTATGCGCGTTCATACAGGCCATCTATGGGGCCTCCCACCCTCAGCTGCCATTGCTGTTCCGTGACCTACGTTTTGGAACCTCATTGCCTCACCAACACTGCTTGCTACCAATCCTCCGCTCGATGGATGCCTTTGCTGTTGAAGCGTCTTGGTCTGATTGTGGTTTGTCGGTGGATACGTTGTTACAGTTGCCTATAACAGTGCTCTTTGATCCGGCAACTACCGATCCCAGTCTTCTGTATCACAAACAGTTCCGTCAGTTGCCTGCCCGTGTCTTCCTCGAACAAAGTCGTCTCCCTGAGGCCTTGGTGTTCAAAGCAAGAGCTGCCTGCTCCAGCCCCGGCCTTCTCTCTAGAATGGCCGCGGCCGTACACTCCAACACCATCCACTTTGTGTCTTCCCTTTGCCCCATTCTTCTTGCCAATCCTGCTGGTCCTGAGCCATTACTTGTCACCGGTGTAGGTGTTGATCTGTCGCCCTACTATTGTCACAAGCTCTCCTACCAAGGTATTATGATTCCGTCCATGTCTAATACCGAGCTTCGTGCAATGTGCATGCGCGATCACCCTCCAATAACCAACCCTCGGGTAGATGTAAACCGACTCACCGTGGCCTCTTTTCTTCAAACGAAAATGCCCAGTGCAGCTCGTAATCTTTGGTTCCGGTTGATTCATAATAAGGTCTCTTCCAGAGTCAATGTGTACAAGATCTTCAAGCTACCAGATGGTCTTTGCGTGTATTGTGGCTACCGTGAGACTACCACTCACATGCTCTTTACTTGCCCTGCCAATCGGGACATTTGAACCAATTACTTTGCCCTGCTTTTTGTGCCTCTTGGGCCACTTGATATGAGCCAAGTTGCTACGGATGTCCTCTCCCTGGACCTCTCCTCGTACTGCCTCTTGGATTCATCCCTCAAGGTGTCCACGTTTGAAGCCGTAACCTGTGTTATCACAGCTATTTGGCGTGCCAAATGGCGTGATCATTATGATAGCGTTGGTTTCGACAATCAGTCCGTAATGGACCGTGCCATGATCAACTTGCGTAGAGTATCCTCTCTCAACTTGTTAAGCTAATTTTGTTTTCTTTGCCTTTCAGGACAGGTCACTTTACATTACATCTGCTCCCCTTTTATATTTTATCCAAATATCTTTTATGAGTTTATCTTAGCCAATAGATATTCATACTTACAAATAATAATAAAAAAATCGACTTCTTTAATCTATTTTACGAGGTTCGACTATGTAAATTGTGATGATCAGCCCCTACTTCTTAATACATTCTTAGAGTACCCTTCAAGGCGCTTCCAATGGTGCCAAGTAAAATGAATGTTTTGAATAAGCTTATTGAGCAGTTTTAGAAAATAGGAAATGATGATTTTAGCCAAAATATCGAAATTTTGTATATGAAGGCCTCACAAGAGTGGTTTCATGGGTTGCTTTGGGCTTAGAGAAGCATTTTGATTTACGATATACCATAGTAAAAGTCTTCATTTTTAAGGTGAAAAACGCGATCGTTTGATTTTCGATAAAAACCATGAGGGGTACCTCATAGGGCGGCCAAAGTTGTTTTTTGGGCGTTTTCTGGTTAAAAAACAGCACCAACCGAATGCCCTACAACATTGGCCACCCTTGATCTGCTGCTGTCAATGTGATCTCATATCCTTTCCTTTTTATCAATCTACAACTTGTTTTGATTATATTTATTATGCCACCATCTTCTTATAATTTGAAAGAAGCGTGAGTATATCAAGAGATGAGAGGAGAAATTGAAGGAGCAATCAATGGCAGAAGAAACAGCTAGATGTAATGATCCACATTACATACGTTTCAATCCACATGATTGAAATATTAGTATAACACACATATATATATATATAGATAGTCTTCTTTTTTGACAAGCATTGAGCGGTAGTGAAAATACCTATCATTACTAATTATATACAGTACTTTTACCACAATAAATCCATCACTTGATCCTAATACTACTCGCCCAAAAATATTTCTTATGTTTTTTAATAAATATTGCCCAAGTTTAAAGACATACAAATAGTAACACCAATCCGCCCCTCCCTAGTAGATATGTATTTTTTTTACAGAATCATTGCGCTCTTACTACACTAGACTTGTAACTGTTTTTTCAAAAAATGAAGAAAATTATGCAGAACGCCCAACTCTTGAGGTGAGCATTATTTAAGGTTTTGGTCGTTTTTTTTCTTGCAACCAATTGGTCGAAAAAAACGCCCAAAAACAACTTTGGCCACCCTATCATGCTTTTTGGTCGATTTTTGGTCATGTTTTTATTGGCCCAAAAAGTTGAGCAAAGGTGTCAGGATGTTACTGCCACTCAAGTACAATTGTTTGGCATCATTCCGACGGCTCAGAAAGGTCTACATGTCAAGATAGTAAGGCTTGAAAGTTGTCAAATTTGGTTGTGCTTCCTACATTTGCTTGTTGATTTATACAATAGATCCAGGTTAGACAGACCTCTGATCTAGTTTTAGGGGCTACTGCGAATTTGTAGCATCTGAATGATACAGACATCACATATTGAAATTTGGAACTAGATAAGCTCAACGATTTATCATTCATTCCGTTCTGACAACTTATCAGCGTATAGCTTACGAATGGGATCACGTTGGGTCCAAAGCTTAAATCTGCATAAAAAGGTCTCTCACCAATAATGTTAGTTCGTGCTAAGTAAGAAGATGAGCAAATGAAGGACAAATGGCATTTCAATGGTGATTTTAGTGTGTTGTATACAACTGAAAGCGTTGCTTAAAGATTTGATATAGGCATTCTCTTTTGATAGGAAGATGATACTCGTTGCGCAATCTTTTATGCTGAATTAGCTAATCTCTAGATTGAAATTGTGCGATGAAACAGCGTAATAGGGATCCACAGATTGGCGTATTCCATTGGCAACAAATAGGAGATGGGTTGATGAATTACTAATTAGATCTTCTACTGTTTCCTCCCACTCTAACCCTGTCCCTCCCCCCCCAATCCCCAGATATTGATTTATCAGATCCTCATGTGTGCTCCTAAATTACAACATTGAAAATGCAAATATCGTTCTGTACAACACTATTAATGAATCTTACGAGAAAATAGAGACTAGTCATGGGTCATTTAGCACTATTAACCTTAAAAAAAAGAGTGGGGAAACACGCCATTTATATGAACATTGATGTGGATTAAAAGCAAATGCCTTCATCTGCAATCTACGCCGTATCTTACAAATTATTGTTTGTATTATTAAAGGCGAATGTCTCCTCTCCTCCCCCCACTTGCAAATTTTAGGCGTACGGAGAAACGTTCAGCCAATATGTATCCATGGCAATGATTGCTCATATCAATATGTTTCCCGTTTTCAATCAAGTGTTTGTTATATGAAATGAATTAATAGGTAATCCAAAAGATGGCATGTGTGAATATTCAGCTTTATAGATAAATGTTTTACGTATTACACAACATGATTAGTTTGCATAAACTGAATGTTACTAATCCAAGTCAGTGGAAAATCATGGAAATCGGGAAAGCTCAGCGTAATGGAAAATTAATAATGCCATCCATCACAGTGGTTTGTATGGAAAAAAGTTCCTTATTTTGGAAACTAAGATTAATCTAAAAATTTCATGCAAAATCACACAAGCGATAGAGGCTATCAGCTCAAACAATATCAGGCTATTCACTATCTCTGTTATTGTGTGCTACAACACCTGGCTATTCACAATGATTGATAATGACAAATTTCTACATTGGCATCATCTTTGAGTAGCCGTCTAAATCAAGATAATTTCTCGCCACATGTTTGACTCATTTTTGTCAAAAAGTGTGAATCGTTGCACATTTAACCAATCATCGACGGTTACGATTCCTGGCTTCCTTGTCAATTCTAGACGATGATTGCGAGGGATATGTTGCAATATGTACTTTTAATACTCACATTTATTTGAGGGCTGCTATTTCTCCTTGAAATTTTTAATTCGATACATTCAAGAACACAAAAAGATTAAGGAAAATGAGAAATTTGCATACCCACGGTTCTCATCGGTACTTGTAAACAACAGATTACCAATTAGAAAGTAGGACCCCATCGATTCTTGAAGTCTGATCATCAACATCTCTCAATCTTGATAGTGATTTCATACAGCCATGAGGTCTCCTTCAAGGCAGAAAGAGAGAGGCAAGGAGATACCCATCAGCACCATCTATACATTAGAGCGTCAGGAGAAGCAAGGGCTTATTTTACCCGAATGTATCAAACCCCAAATCATCCCAGCCAAACATGGTCTTCCCAAATAGTTGCTTTATTTAGAATTTCGTCATATCAACATTTTCTCTGCTTGTTCTGGCGAGTAAACCAATGAGAAGCAGAGGAAAGCACGAGAAAAAGAAATCAAAATAGATCATAATTTCAACTATAAAAGAAGAGGCTGTATTTTTCCATTTTTCTTTTTCCTTACCTTTTGTATAAACACTCTTCTATTCTCTCTTTCCCCCCTTTTTTATATAACAAACGTTATTCATCATGGCTTCTTATTGATTTGCTCTCCAAGCGAACAAGACTATTAAATCAAATATCCTCTTTTTCAAAGCGATAATTCTATAAAAATATACAACAACTATTTTTATAAAAAAATCATCATTTTTATACACAAAACTCTCACAACCTTACTATGTTAAATCTCTTCGAATCTCGACATAGCCCTCTGGCATACACCGACTCAGTCATATCATCAACTTAATTATACACAACTCAAATTGCAAACAAATCTCTTTAAATATATAACTCTCGCAACTGCTACTACTACTATTCCTACTACTACTATCAATATGGTACATCAAGATACTTACTGGTCTCAACTCTCTGCCTCCATGGTCGATAAGATTGTCGGTCAAGAATTCCAATTACTGGAAGTCCTTGGCCACGGTGCTTACGGCTGTCTCTTCTTGGGACAATCCCTCAAGAACAACTCTTATGTCGCTGTCAAGGTCTTGACAAAGTCTGGACTCGATCTCCAACAACTGCAACTTCAGCAACTCGAAATTGACATTCAAACATCTCTTAAACATCCCAACCTCTTGGCTCTTCATCGTGTCATTCAAGATGCTGATTACATTTACATGGTGATGGAACTCTGTGATCAAGGCGACCTCTTTGATTACGTTATCCGTGATCAAGATGAAAACTCTATTCGTGAAGAACACATTGTCAAGAAGCTCTTTTGTCAGATCTTGGATGGTGTCGAAAGCATGCACGCTAACGGTGTCTATCATCGTGATCTCAAGCTTGAAAACATCCTCCTCAAGTGCGAAGATGATGAAGATGAGGAAGATGTCACTTGCAAGGTTGCTGATTTTGGTTTGGCCACTCGTGAACGCTATTCTATGGAGTTTGGCTGTGGTTCTACTTCTTATCTCGCTCCTGAGCATTTCGATGATGACAAGCAAGCTGAATTGATCCCTTACGATGCAGCTGCTTCTGATTCTTGGTCTCTGGGTGTTCTCTTGTTGGCATTGATGTTTGGTCGTAACCCTTGGCAAGAGGCTTCTTCTGCTGACCCTGCTTTCAGTGAGTTCAAGCGTGCCCCCTCCATGCTCAAGGAACAGTTATTTCCCGAGTTATCTACTGCTACTTATCGTCTTTTGGAATCTATCTTGGCTATTGATGGCGCTGACAGACCCTCTGTCTCTGAAATCAAGGAACAATTTTTAGCTATTGATCGTCTCTATGTGGATGATGAAGACGACTATTATGTTGATGACAGCAAGAAGGAATCGCCTGTTTCTATTCCTACTGCTTCTACCAAACATTCTGACATCACCTCATTCGACTCTGCTTTCTTTAGCGGTGGTACTGGTTCATCTTGGTCTGACATGGTTGAAGAAGATGAAGAGGCTGCACTCAGCAAGTCTATTGATTTCGATAGTAACCACAAACAACAACATCATTACGCTCAATACGATGATGAAGATACAGACATGTTTGTTCACAGTGGTGAAAAGGAGTCTTGGTGGCTCTAACTTTCTTAATTTACATATATACATATATAACTTTCACTCCTCTCCTCCCTCCTTTTGCTTTTTGACGTAACATTTAATAAAATATCCATATATCATTTGTTTATTATTGTAAATATCCAAATTTGTGAGTCCAAGTCTTGTTTTAATTGGTTTTAAACTATGAAAACATTCTCATTTGTATAAAGTTGCACAAGAGGCAATTTCACTTGTGGGTCAAGTGATGTTTGACCCCTCAAAAATGTTAAAGCCTGTGTGTTTGTGTGATAAAAGGGGCGAGATAGGACGAGTGTGAGCTTAATGTGGCGTACTACAGGATGTTTATTTGTATTACTGATATTACTAGACTTATTTACCAAATCAACGTGGTGTGCATATGTGTCTATCTATCTGTGTGTGTGTGTGTGTGTTGGTGCGTGTGCGTGTGCGTGTGAGCGAAATCACCACACATTTAGGGCTGTACAGCGTGGATCCTGTTTTCTGCCCCTCATGTGCACTAGTTTTAATATGGGCCATCCAGTAAAAACGAGACACAACTCATAAAGCTGCATAACATCATCGTACTTGTGAGGCACACCTAAACACTTTTTGGAAATATACGTATACATGTCGTCGTCAGTTACACAATCAAGCCAGCGAGTTCTTTCAATTGTAAGCGTTCGATGTTCTAGAAAGTTGCTTAAATGATAAGCCGAAATGTTGAATCTGTTTAGACAAGATCAAATCCCATGCAAAAAATATTCATTGCAAAAAACCCTGCCAATAGAGCAGTAGTCTAAAAGTAGTCTTCAGGAGTAACTAGTACAGTCAGGTTTGCCAGCTAGTAGCATACCTTGGCACGTTTTATGGCTTTCACAAGTAGAGATTTGACAGAATAACCAAGAGGAGGTTTTTCTGACTTGCAAAAAGCATTTAGCAAATTGTGTAGAGACTGTACAAAGCATCAGCTCCCGTTGTATTTAAGATGTGCATGCTAGTATTTGCAAAACATCTTATTCATCAGGTTAAAATTGTTGCCATGCCAGCAATTTGAGATTTTGAAACTGAAGCAGTGGGCTGATTTTGAGTAAAAGTTTTTTTTTTTTTTTTTAATTTTTTTTTTGATCTAGAATGGTCCAGTTTTAAGAGAATCAGGAAATGGGGGAGATCAACAACGCTCCTAAAGCGCAACATGATCCTGATAGATTGACAGCGCTGCAACTTGTCTCTTTTAGGTCAGGGAGTGCCAAGTAAATGTTGGGCTGATTTCTGACGTAAAATAGTGTAGCAATAATCTCTCAATTAAAACGCATATTTTGAGTATGTAGCGACCCTTGATCTAATTATAGAACTGATATTAGGCGATCGAGGCCTCTGATCAACTTAAATTTGGCGTTTGCTCCTCAACTAGATCAGTGTATTTTTGCCCACCAAAGGATGATACCACTGCTGTGTGATACAATATGGTTCTCATATGAAATCATTGGCTAAAACCGGTTCATGGATCGATATTGCAACAAACTGGTTTCGTTACGATGGAAAAGAGCGAGGAAATAACTATCGCCCTGATAAATACACGCCTTGTAATCACTGGGGCTCACATTGGTAATAGGACATTTGAACAGGCTGGATAGTTTTGCATTTGGCATTGAAATTCCCATTTAAATGAGCAGACTGTAAAAATTATAGCTGCCAGATATAAAAGTAAGCTGCAAAATAAACAATAGTAGTCAGGCTAAGCTATAGTACGGTTTACGTCGCAACCCCTCCTGTTAGCTTCGAGGACTTCCATGGTTTTCATTAGAAAGACATTTGCCACGATCAACTAGCAGCCAAAACGAAATTGCATCTCCGCTCGCAGCCTACTCCAGATTGGACAGATCTGATCTATCTTCGACTTAATTGAACTATTTTACGAGGCTTGACTATGTAGAATGTGATGATCATCCGATACGCTCTTATGCTTTCCTGGAGTACTTTTCAAGGCGCATCTAACGGTGCCATTTATCAAAGATGTTTTGAAAAAGCTTACTGAGATATTTCTGAAAATATGAAATGGGGTTTTTGGCAAAAATACCGAGATTTTGTATACGAAGGTCTTACAAATGGTGTCTCAGGGGTTGCTTTGGATCGAGAGAGACATTTTGAACCAATATATGCCATAGTAAAAGTCTTTATTTTCGAGATGAAAAATGCGATCGTTTGATTTTCGATAAAAATCACGAGGCATCCCTCATGGTTTGGGGCCAATTTTTGGTCATGTTTTCTTGGTCCCAAAAAAAGTTGAGCGAAGGTATCAGTAAGTGAATTCTAGTCGAGAGTGATTGTTTGGTGCTATTCTGATGGTCTAAAACATACTTTAACGCGAGAAATCACGGCTCGAATGTGTCCAATTTTCGCTGTAACAGGCATAATCTTGAAGAGTAAGAGGTATTGCAAGTATGCCGTATACTTGCTTATGATTTTGTTTTTGGAAATGCAACTGTGGGCATCACAGAAGAGTTCATATCCTAAGCTACAGGCCGTTTATTAAGGATACTCATGTAATAATGATGAGCCGAGCAGTATCTTTTAGGGTAGATCAGTATATATCAATTTGTCAATGTAAATTAGCAGCGAGCATATGCGTTGCTGAGTGGGGTTAGCTTGATTTCCCACATATAAACACTATATGTGTACGAATTCTTTTGTATAAAGCTCTCATGACCTAGAGTATGTCAAACTGCTGTATGTAGAATGACACAAGCAAGCTATTTAAGAAGTGATTAATCACTGTTTCGCTTTTGTTCTGTTCAAAATCAAAACGTATCGCTCAAGGGTATATGGAGGCTTTTATATACAACTTTATTGGCATTTGCCAGTGGCAAGCGCTTGAAAATTCAAACAGTGTCATCAGCCAATTACGAAATGAAATTCGCCTGGTCATAGCTCTGCCCTGATCTATGAAATGAATGAAATGGACTAGACTTCGGTGAAACTTTCTGCATGGTCTAGCAAAAGACTACACAGAGATACTCAGAGACTATCATGAAGAAGAATTGTCGCTGTATTGTTGTTGATGCAATCGAGTCAGTCCTTGCTTTTATGAATACAGCACCATCCCCATCCTTAATGTTAGATGTGGTTGCTTCTCCCCTCATTATTGAAAATATATCCTAGTTAGTTTTACTTTATCATTTCAGTAGCATGTTCAACAAATGGAAAATTAAATGATTTTATTTTTTTTTTGTACAAACGTGATAATAGATGATATTACATCACACGAAAACTATGTATACAAGAAAAGACTGAATCAGACTTCGTAGTTGGGGGATAAAATATATGTATAAAGAGCCTTGGGCTTCTAAATGGACTCTTTAATCTTTCTTGGACAACCAGGTCTTGAGTAAGTTGATTTGTTCGAGCACAGAAGATTTAGCAGTTCCACCAGGGGCATTGCGGTTTTCAATAGAGGTCTCAAAACTCCAAACAGAGGCAACATCATCTTCAAAGGAGGGGTGCAATGTCTTGAGATCAGCAACAGTCAAATCGCTCAAAGAGCCCTTACGATCCTCAGCCATCTTGACAGCAGCACCAGAGATATGATGAGTCTCACGGAATGGAACACCCTTGCGAACGAGATATTCAGCCAAATCAGTAGCCAACATATCAGCACTCAAACTAGCACGCATCTTGTCAGGGAAGATATCCATGGTGCTCAATACACCAGCAGTGATTTGGAGAGAGCCAGATAAGGTATCAGCAGCATCAAACATGGGTTCCTTGTCTTCTTGGAGATCCTTGTTGTAAGTGCTAGGAATGCCCTTATAGGACATCATGAAACCAGACATATTACCAAAGACACGACCACATTTACCACGCAACAACTCCAAGCTATCAGGGTTCTTCTTTTGAGGCATCAAACTAGAGCCAGTGCTATAAGCATCAGCCAGCTTGACAAAGGCGAATTCACCAGAAGAGTAAATGATCAAGTCTTCGGCCACACGAGAGATGTGGGTCATGGTCAAACTTGCCCAGAACAAGAATTCAGCAACGAAATCACGATCACTTACAGCATACAAAGAGTTGTGGATATAATTACGGAAACCGAGTTCCTTGGCCAAGAAATCACGATCAATGTTGAAAGCATGACCAGCAAGAGCACCACTGCCCAAAGGCAAGACATTGAAACGGTCAATCAATTGCTCCAGACGATCAGCATCGCTTTGCCAGAGCCAGGCGTGAGACAAGAGGAAATGAGACCAACGGATAGGCTGAGCACGCTGTAAATGGGTATAACCAGGCATAATGACATCCAGCTCCTTTTCAGCACGAGAGACAGCGACAGCAATCAACTCTTTGACATGAGCCAAAATCTTGCGAGCCTCATCACGCAACCAAAGACGCATATCAGTAGCGACTTGATCGTTTCGAGAACGACCCGTGTGTAATTTACCTGCAACAGAGCCGATCAATTCACCAAGACGACGCTCATTAGCAGTGTGGATGTCTTCATCACCAGCCTTGATCACAAATTGGCCAGAGGACCATTCTTCCATGACATCGGTCAAACCTTGCACCAACTGATCGCGCTCAGCTTCAGAGATAATGTTGTTTTTGGCAAGTGCTTTGGCGTAGGCAATGGAACCGATACAATCTGCTGCATACATACGTTTGTCGAAATGAATGGATGCATTAAAGGCGTCCATGAGAGGGTCAACAGCGCCAGAGAAACGTCCTCCCCAGAGTTTTTTAGGTGCGTCAGTCATTTTGTGTATGTAGTAGTTAGAGTATGTGAGTAAAGGATACAAGGAAGAAAAGAGAACCTTCTCCCTGATTTCTCTCCACTATTTATATGTTTCAAGTTTCCAAGTTTCCTATGACAGAGAGTTGGGTTGGATGACTCACATTGAGAAAGTCTATTTCATTGAATCTCCGTAGAAGCGCTAACAAGTGGGGTATTTAGTTAGATCCTGTCCATGTCCATGTGCAGAATGGGATGGAGAGCAGTAAGCATTTCTAGGTTCTGATAGATTTATTCATATAAGAAGCTTGTAAGAAATGCCATCCAAATACATTGATTTGCAATGCATGTTCGTATATTGGTTGCCTCGAAATATAGCTCTCACTTTTTTCCTTGTATCACTCGCCAATCTGTCAAACCACCCAATCAACTAAGGGCCGCCTTGTGATGAGAGGAATTGCCTTTTGCCTTTTAAGTGTCTACTATGATTCGTATCAGCTCGTGTCAATTTTTTTTTTTTTTTTTTGGCAATGATAATTTCAATATCATCATAACATAATAAATGTCCAGTCCCTAGACACTTTGACAGCCCTAGTAATATGAAAACTAAGCTTCTAGGCATCTGTCAGGCCTGGTTCATATTCATATGAGGTTAATGATTTTACAATCAATCAACAAAAACCGCTGTTATTTCTATCGTCTTTCCTCTGCTCAATGCTGTCAACGTTTTCTTTGAACGACGGCCCGGAGCCCCAGAGATTTCCCTGTTTACTGCAGATATTTTATGCAGCCCATGAATCGTCAATGTCCAGACTAACGTTATTAAATATAGAATGCAAGAAAATAGCATGAAGAACGATAGTGCTATGACTTGCCACCTATATTCTATACGCTTCAAGGGCATCTATTACTGTATTGCCTTATGAAAAGGGCATTGAGTTTGCCTGCCTGCTCCACCAGCCAAAATTAATTCAAATCCAGACGCATAGTCTGTTCTAGATTGGCCAAATCTTGATGGTTTTCGACTCGATTGAACTATTTTTGCAGATTCGACTATATAAAGTATGATAATTATCCTATGCTTCTTTAAGCTTTCTTGGAGTGCTTTTCAAGGTGCACCCAATGGTACCAAGTAAGATAGATGTTTTGAATAAACTTATTGAATAATTTACGAAAATATGAAAAGAGGTTTCTGACCAAAATGTCGAAATTTTACATATCAAAGTCCCACAAAGATGATTTCAGGAGTTACGTTGGATCGATAGAAACATTCTGATTCAAGATACACCATAGTAAAAGTCTTCAATTTCGAGATGAAAAACGCGATCGTTTGATTTTTGATGAAAATCATGAGGGGTACCTCATGCTTTTTGGTCGAATTTTGGCCATGTTTTTTTGGTCCTCAAAAAGTTGAGCAAAGGTATCAGGAAGTAACTGCCAGATGAGAGCAGTTGTTTGGTGCTATTCTGACCATCTAAAACGGCCTTGAAAACAAGAAAACGTAGCTCAAGTGCGCTCAGATTTTGCTGTATTAGGCACATTCTTGACTAAAAAGGGATAATATCAGTATGATACTTGCCCGTATATGAAGTAGCCGCGTGTGTATGAATGCAGAGCATTACATAAGAATCAGATCCACAGATAATATGAAGGGTTTTCGTGTGTACGTGGAAGGTCAAAATGAAAGTAGCAGTATTTTGATGAGACGAGCAAGGACAGTTGGTAGCGCAAGCTGCCGCTGCGTAGGTTAATTCTCACTCAAGTGAAGCGAAGGTAGAGAGCCATACGAAGCATAAATACTCGTATCCATAAACATGTTCTGATAAGACATCAACAGCTGTATTTTGAGATCTATCAATGTAATTATCTGTTTAAATTCTTTTAGACATGTAAAGTCACCGAGAAAAGAGGTAGCAGTGCATCAACATGCTGTTGACGATCACTTTTTCGTGCCTCACATGGATCAAATTTCTACTATTTACATTTGACGCAAGCATTCTTATATACTACGCCTTCAAGACCCTCTATCAATCCCCATACTACAATGTAATGTGATTCCTTCCTCTGATACTAGATCCAAAAAAACAGGGATACTGCTCATATACAAATTGTAAAATGTCTGATGCTTTATTTGTATAGTCATTTTGTTGGTAGAGAGCTAAAGTAGTGTAGTGAGTCCAATTCACTCTTTTTCCGTGTCAAAAATGATGGTTGTTGATATTTACAATGAAATAGAATGGGTTATCTGCTACGGCGAGGTGAGGCACTTCTTCGTCGACTGCTTCTCTCTCGGCTTCTGTCTCTGCGATCGTCTCTGCTGGATCTTTCATCTCTGGAATATCTACCTCGTCGGCTACTCCTACTGCTGCTGAACTCGTCATGTTTGCTACTGCGATCCTCTTCTCTATGACTACTATGATGGTGATGGCGATGTTTGTGGTCTGAGCTGCTGCTGCTGCTCTTCTTTTTCTTGTCCTTTTTCTCCTTCTTTTTCAGTTCCTTTAGTTTTAATGGGTTCTCTACAATGGCTTTGAGTGCCATTTGCTCACGTTTCTTGATCATCAGCAATGGATCTTCTCTAATCTTTGCCTGAATATCACGCTCGTTGTTGGCATTTGAGTTGGACAAAGTGAATCTGTTTTCCTCTGCTTCTGTAGCTGCTTGCTGTGTATACGCTTAGTAACGCATCCCTTCTCTGTATATAACCATGTCAACTTACAATTTCTTGTCTTTGCTTTGCACGCAGCAGTTCGTCCACATTCTTCTTTCCCAACAAAAACTCTTCCATGTTGTTTTCAGCAGATCCATTCAGATTGGCATTAGGCGAGGCGTACATCCAGTCCAGCTTGTTGGATCGCTTTCTGTGTCAACAGCCTGTCAGCGCAACGATCTTAACTTACCCCGCCTCAAAAACTTACTTTGTGCCAGCATCTTCTTGCATACGCTGCAAATCTTGAAGCTGTCTTTCCTCGGCCAGCTCCTTTTTCATTTCAGCAATTCTCTTGTCTTCTTCCTTACGCTTTTGCTCCTCCTTCCATACTCTTTCTTGATTCTTGAATGTGGAGGGATGCCATGACTTTTTCAAGTTGAGATCAGAGGAACCCATGATGATGCTATGTAAATAGAGGAAAGAAAAGTGTTGAAAAAAAAAAAAAAAAAAAAAAAAAAAAAAAGGTGGATGATGCTCTCTATTTGAATTAGTAGGGAAAAAAGGACTGGTTTCCACCAGCTCAATGCACTACATCACTCAGTTAGCATGTGTGAATGGAATTCATGTATTTGTAATATAGACTTCTTCTTTCACATAACTCTCATTTGACTTATTTATTCGTCTGTCATCATGCCAGACAAAGATGAAAAGAAGCGAACTCAAAACATGGATTATGTCTTCCGCTCTGGATTAGCGGGTGGCATTGCTGGTTGTATGGTAAAATGTTGAGAATGAGCATGGATTGTCAAGCAATGCGATGACTCACGCCAAAGCGCTCTTACAGGCAAAGACAGCCATTGCTCCACTCGACAGAATCAAGATCCTCTTTCAATCTAAAAACCCGCTCTTTGAGAAATACACAGGTACAACATGGAAAGATGCTCGGTAGGAACATGGCTGATGAGTTGCATTATTTCAGGCTCTTTCACAGGTGCATTCAAAGCAGGCCGTGCTATATACCAAAATGCGGGGTTATTGGGTCTGTTTCAAGGTCATTCCGTCACTTTGGCGCGAGTGTTTCCATATGCAGCCATCAAGTTTGTGGCCTACGAACAATACAGAGCCGTAAAGTGAAAGAGCAGCAAGATTTCAGCGAAATGTACTGATCCACATGATAGATACTGATGCCCACCAGAGCCCAAGAGACCTCTTCCAAGCAATTTATAGCTGGTTCATTGGCAGGTAACTCTATTAAGCCCTTAAATCTATCTAAATGTATATTATACTCACGCCTAAACAATCCAGGTGTGACATCTGTCATGTTCACATACCCATTAGACCTGGTGCGTGTGCGTTTAGCGTATGATGTAAAGGAAGCTGGACATAAACGACCGACTGTGATAGACACCGTGCGCAATATCCTCAAAGAACCCGCCGCACTACATCGCACATATGCCAAACTCAAGATTTTCAACTTTTACCGTGGATTTCTACCTACCGTCGCAGGCATGGTTCCCTACGCTGGGGTGTCCTTTTGGACCTACCATATCATCACTCAGCTCTTTCGATTTGATCCATTGATATCGCCTTATACACGTGCACCATTGCATTTCGACTTTGATCCCACAGACGATGACATTGATCTCACACCCTCACAGCAGAGATTGTTGGACAAACCGCCCTTGAAAACGTGGGCAGAGCTGGTGTGTGGTGGGCTAGCAGGATTGGTAGCACAAACCAGCAGCTATCCACTGGAAGTGGTTCGAAGACGGATGCAAGTAGGTGGACTACTGAATCCCGACACATTTGTCGGGTTCATAGACACGACTAGAGAAATGTACCGGCTGAAAGGATTTAAAGGATTCTATGTTGGATTGAGCATTGGCTATATCAAGGTTGTACCAATGGTCGCTGTTAGCTTTGCTGTTTACGAACGCATGAAGCGCTTATTAGACATATAATAGAAAGATGATCTGCCTTTCAGAAGGACACCTCATGTGTAACAATAAAAAAGACGCAATTTTCAATACACTTTCTGCAATACTAGAGTGTGAAGAACAGTGTGTGTGTGACCCCATAGCACGTCAATGATTATGAAATGACGAATCCTTGCTATAGTGTTCAATGAAATATACATGCTATATCAACGATAAAATGTGCATGTGTGTGTGTGTGTGTGTTAACATGCATGACATGCTGGGCCATAGAAGAGTGCGTTCACGTTGAGTAAGATGGTGGAATGCTAGATCAGCATCCATCATCGCATGCAACAAGGTATTGTTACCGACATGATTGCAAGGGCTTTGCGTTTTTTTTTTCTGCCTTACTGGATCCGGAATTATTGTCAAGCAAAGTATATAAAGCATGATTTTCATTACCTCCTTCTCTTTTCTTCTTCTTTATATCATACCGAAAAAAATGACTGCACTATCCTTACATGAAGACCAGAAAAAGGGCGCCACTGTCGAGACTACAGAAACTGTGTCTTCCAGCATATCCTCCACCTCTCTTGATCCGAATGAGCCAGACAAAGGCTTGAAAAGAACGTTGAAATCGAGGCATCTCACTGTAAATTTGATCCTTTTGTACCATACTATACACAGCGCTGATTCTTTTGTAAAATTAGATGATCTCTATCGGTGGTGTTGTTGGTCAAGGTAAGCAGGCATTAAAAAGAGTAGGTGCAGGGTAGATCTGAAGGCATTACTCGATATAGGTCTTTTCTTATCTTCTGGTGCAAATCTCGCTAAAGCTGGTAACTAAACTCTGATTGCATCTAGTGCGACAAAGCTCGTCTAACGTTGGAAATAACAGGGCCTGCGGGATTGTTGGTTGCTTATTTCATCATTGGCTATATTGTATTTTGGATTGCTGTCGAGTTGGGCGAAATGGCAGCCTACATTCCAGTGAGTAAAAAAAAGATGTTTGATTCGTATACAGTTGTACTAAAGTAAGGTTTGCTATAGATTTCAGGCTCATTCACTGTGTATTGTCGTCGCTTTGTGGATAAATCATTCGGAACTGTCATTGGATATAACTATTGGGTGAGTGATGGTATAACAGGGAATCTGATCCAGCTATTGACATGATGGCTATAGGCATGCTGGTCGATTATTGTAGCAGTGGGTAAGTAGATTGGACCTTTTACAAATACCACGCAACTTACAAAGCGTTTTTCTTCGACAGAACTAACAGGTATGCCTACTGAAAGATTTCCAAATCGAGTGGCACTCAACTTTGTAAATAGCCATCCCACTGGTGATGCGATTTTGGACGGACAGAGTTCCAGATTGGGCTTGTAGGTGGCAGTGCACTTTTGTTTGCATGAATCGATGGCTGACATACAGGGCGACACTATCACAGGGTCAGGAATATTCTTGGTTGTCATGTTTGCTATGAACCTCTACGGCGCACGAGGCTGGGGCGAAGCAGAATATTGGTTCAGTCTAATCAAGATTATTTGTGTCGTTGTGTTTGTTATTGTTGGATGCTTGACTTCAGGTGGTGTCATTGGGTAAGTAGTATAAAAGACATGCCCTTCGAGATAACTGACATCTCTCGATTTAGTGGCACTGTCTACGGTTTTAAGTATTGGAAAGATCCTGGAGCCTTCTCCAACGGTGTTTTAGGTGTTGTTAATGCTCTTGTATTGGCTGCACTAAGCATGACAGGTACTGATATTGTGGGCGTCTCTGCTGGTGAATCAGCCAACCCAAGAAAGGCCATTCCACAAGCTGTCAAGAACGTCTTTTTCAGAATCATCTTTATCTATATTCTGTCTGTCTTCGTCATGGGCATGTTGATCCCTTGGAACGATCCCCACAACTTGAGTTTGAGTGGAAGAGATACATCCGTTTCGCCTTTTACCCTGGTGTTCCAAAAAGCTGGTCTTAAGGGAGCTGATAGTGTGGTGAATGCTGTGATTCTCATTACAGTAAGTTTGCAAAAGAATTTAACACGCTTTACACTCATGTTATTATGATCTAGTTCATCTCGTGTGGTAATAGTGGCATGTATGTAACTACAAGAACTCTGTGTGCACTTGCAAATGAAGGCATTGCGCATCGAAAACTGGGTAAGTGTGTACATACATACACATTTGAGCGCTGAAACTATGCTAATCTCAAACAGCCTATGTCAATAAACGTGGCGTGCCAATTTATTCACTGATCTGTACAAGCGCTGTCTCTCTGGTATGCTTTCTCACATCGTGGATTCCAGGTGCAGCCCTCTTTCTGGTTTTGTCTTCTTTAGCTGGCATTGCAGGTTTGGTACGTGAATCTACATTGTTCATTCAGCAGACGAATTCTTACTCAATATTGGCATGTAGATCACTTGGTTTGGTATTGCTCTTTCACACTATAGATTCAGAAGAGCACTGATTGTGCAGGAAAAAGATCTCAACCAGTTACCGTACATAGCTCCCGGACATCCTTACATGAACATATTATCCATGGTGGCTTGCATTGTCATTATTCTCATATCTGGATGGTCTTATTTTGTGCCTGCTGATGCAATTGGCTTGATAGGCTCTTACGGTGGTGCATTGATAGCACTGGGTGGCTATCTTGTACTCAAGTTTTGGACGAAATCAAAGCTGGTACCATTAGATCAAATTGACCTGGATACAGGAGTTTGTTATTTCACGCTACAAGAGCTTGCTGCTGAAAAAGAGCAAGACAAGCACACTACGCTATGGCAAAAGATCAAATCCGCAATCATTTAAAGTACCACAAATGCTAGTTTATAGACAAACCCTTAACATCTGCAAGAGATAAATTATGCCATTTTTTTCCTTGGACAATCGGCTGAACCTCTGCTTATTTTCTATAAGAATATGCACATTGCGATAGCATTTAAATTTGGAGCTGGGGATTAGGGATTAAACTTGCCAAAGTTAAGAAGAAACACATGAAGAATACCTTAATAATCATAATACTAATGGGTATAATAAACTAAAAAAAAAAGACCTATTATAATAATCTCCATGGTGAGGAGAGGAGAAGCAGCTAAGACTGTACATTGTTGCGGCCCTCTACCGGAAGCACAACCACAGGGATGCTACTCTGCAACAGAAACATCTATCACACCATTAAACATCAATCTTCACCAGATCTGATTTGTCCTTGGAATTCTTCTCCATCTTGATCTCTACCAAGAAGACATGTCCACCAGAGACAGGTCCGCATCTGTCTGGTTTTCTGCCTCTGAGCTTGTCTTTTCTCCAGCCTCGGCTTGCTGCTTGCTTCAGCTTTCTTATAGAGATTCTGGCAGCTCAAAGTAGGCTAATACTCCATCGAGAGACCATTAAATAAAAACCAATCTTCAAACTGAAATGAGCATCATGTCAGCAATGCCTCCAGTTGATATAAGATTGTGGTTTCCATTCAGGTGGCACGCATAGATTCATTTCCTTGATAAGTCTAGTCTTTCTTGGTCGCATAAAGCTGAGCAGGATATATTACAAGAAGACGAAGGCTACTCTTGATCCATAAATATAGAGAACATATAATAAGTGGTTTATCACATGAAGTATAGCTTAAATAAACATATGCAACTGCCAAAGAGGTTCCACAATCAGCACAGCTCTAGCTAGCTGGAATAGAGTCTCTCTTATCGGGGTACAACTGCTTCTTGATATATTCAGAGGAAATACTGTATCACCTTTGATGGAGGGGGATTGGCAAAGCATCACGGATACAGACATCAAAGCATTGATCTCCTTGGCTGTCAAATCACGACTTTCCTCTTCCTCTTGTAGTTCATCATCCATGACACTTTCCAAATCACTGCCGTCACTATCAAGCAACTCAATATCTTGCTCAGCATCCGTAGTAGACAATGGTTGCGGTGAAGATGTTGCTGACAAGCGCGATTTGCCTTTACGGGAAACTGGAGATGGTGCACCAGTAGTTGTGGCAGCAGCAGGTTCCTTTGATTCTGGCTTCTTCTGGTTGTTTGAAAAGATGATGCGTAATTGCTTGTCAATGCATTGATCCACCCGATGATCACAGTCCAAAAGCCAAAAAAAGCTTTTCCATTGCTTGCTTCTTCTTTGCTTGTTCTGACTGCGGCTTTGGTCGTTTTCTCTGCTTGCGTTTATATGTTTTCTTTTTCTTCTTCTCTCCAAAAATGCGCTGTCGACACAAGCTGACCTTGAGCACCAAGTTGATCGCTGTCTTCAGCACCGCTTGGCAGTTCCTTTTGGAGTAAATGTTTGGGAAGTTTGTGTGATATATTCTACATGCCTCTTGCAGGGCAGGTCGTGTTGTAAAGTCGACGTAATCAGTGCGTTCCAATTCTTCTTGAATTCTTGTGAGAAGGCTACATGGATTGAAGAGTTAGTGCCTCATGCATTACCGTCAAATGCTCTTGTATATACATACGGGATTTTTGTTCTGTCCTCGTTTTTTCGTCCAATACAAAATGATAAGCTTTTCCAGAAGCCACTATAAACGAATAATTCCTGAACACTGGCACTGATGTCGTCAATAATTGCAATGGGCTTGGCACTCTTGCTCAAACCACAATCAAATAAATCAACAGCTTTGATGTCAAAGAAAGACATCTTTTTCTGTGTCGCATGTTGGATGAGGATAACATTACCATCTCTGAGATTGGACATATAGCGGAATACCGTATAGGCAATGTATTGTGTATATCATTCTACCACAGCTCAGATTTCGTATGATACCTTGTTACAGAGTATGGTACTTGATTCCATAAGCATAGTACTTGATGATGGCTATTAGATATTGACAAGGCCCATGTATTTTGCTTGCCTGAACATTTACACGAGGCACATTTCATGATTATTGCATAGTGCATGCCTCTTTTTCTAACTTCAAGAGATCTCGCAGCTTTTTTCAGGCACCAAATCAACATTATTGAACATAGTAGGGTAGGTCTTGACAAAAATCACCTTTTATAGCTCTATGAAACCACTGCTTGAAGAATAATCACCTTTTATGTTAATGTTTGGGATGAAAGCTTGTTCTGTTTTTTAAATTGGTCGCACATACAAGTTTACAATAGAATGCAATTGTGACCCGCAACATTTTATTGCCACCAAAAAGCGACAAGTTGAGTTAGGTTGTGCGAGGACACAAATTGTGTTCTAGCAGTGTCCTTCGCCCCATCTAATTTTTCCCTTGTTGTATGCTGAGATCTTCATCAAAAAGCTTCGCAGGTTAATACGACCCTTTACTCTATTTCCATAGTCAGGTTTTACTACTTGCTGTCAAAGTAAAGAAATGGGATGGAAAAAAAGAGGTTTGGCAAATGTGTTTCCTTCTAGAAATAGTCATGCTGGCAATGTTCCTTTATGTCAGACCAAAGTTTATTACGAATCAAATGATAAACTGCAATTAATATCGGAAATGATGGTGAGCACTGATTACATTGGCAATACTCAAACGGTAAAAACAGGGGAGGGAAAAAGGGGCGAAACAAAATCAAAATCAAAAACTAAACAAAAGGTGTGCTATTTACTAATGTTATGTATGAGGCAAGCTGATTTCAAGCAAGATTAAAAGGGAGAACGGTTTTCAGAGTTGCCACCTCTTCCTCCTCTACCTCTGCCACGACCACGACCACCCCTTCCTCCTCCTCGATGACCGCCACGACCTCCACGATGCGATTCATTGCCATTATCATTGTCATAATTCCTGTGTTTACCATTATTGCTGTTGTTGCTATGGTTTCCTCTTGTAGAACTAGATGTGCTCTCTCTTGATGTGTTTTGATGAGATGGGTTACTAATATTGATAAGATTCCAGTATGGCAAAGTGGCGCCTCTATATTCAGAGCATCTAAACGAAAAAAAAAATGACATGAATACTTCATTACACACACACACACACAAAGACGCTCTCTTTACCTGCCACTCAGCGTAGTGCCACTCATGAATGTAGTGTCGAAAACAACGTCGACCACCTTTTCTTGCACACCAACGACAGTACCCTTGTTGGCCATGGGCACAGAACCAGAATCACACACATAGATAACTCGATCACCCAAAGCAAAGCTTTGATAGTTCAAGCGAACCTCAGCATCCGCAGGTCTGAGCAATACTTTGCGAGGAACACCACGAATCACCACCTTCTTGAAATCAAGATTCTCATACTTTTCATGGTACTTGACAGCTGCTTTTTCAATGTCATGACAGTAAGCATCCTCCAGCTCTTCCGTCTCGAAACTAGCACGCGTCAATGCATCCAGTTTCTTGCTCTTGATCCAGTCCTTCATTTTATGCAAAGCCTTGGAGCCCTCAGTAGTCCAGCCAAAATCAGCGACGTTCAACATGCCACCACCCTTTTGCTTCATGAGGAGTTGCACAAATTCAGGGAACTTTTCACAGTATTCACGAATCAAAGCGACTGCAGCAGTAGAATACTCCCAATAGCCATTGGGATGCTTGCGAGTAAAACCAAGCACCTTTTCACCTCTGCTCTCAAACTTAAGATTCAAGCCGACATTGATACGCTGGCCAGATTTCTCATTCACAGTCAAAGAGGATGTGAGCTTGGAGAGAGACAAAGGAGAGATACCCAGCTCACGAGCCACATCATGACCAGATTCATAGCGAATGTCATTTTCTTGTTTACGAGCAAACTTGTGTCCAAACTCGGGCTCACTTTGATATTGGTCTTGCACAGGAACGGTCATTTCAATATCGACATTGCCATTGCTATGGCCTACCACTGTGGCTTGGGCACCCAAGAACTTGCTGCCCAAAAAGAAGACGTTTGACTTTAAGGGGAAACTCTCTTGAATGGGAGGAGCAGGTTTCTCGATGAAGCGAGGATCGGGATTGGCAACCTTGATAACAACCATTTGAATAGGCACCAGGTCCTCCATGCTGGGATTGACAAACTCCTTGACCAAGGCGCCATCCTCAGTTTGGTGCATACCATTCAAGACACAGACATGGAAGCCCACCTCGATATCACCAACCATCAATGCAAAACGCTTGCTAGGCATGTATTCAGCGCGACCCATACGACTGGCCCAAGACTCCTTCTCCTTGTCGTTCCAAAAGTGCTCTAAAATTTGCTTCTTTCCATTGTGGAAATTGACATAATATTTCTTTTCTTCGTTGGATACACCAATCACCACAGCTTCTTGCAAGTAAGGGTAATGCACATAAATGCTTCTGTAAAGGAATAGCTTGGCAATCTCCTCAATGTCAGCATGTTGATACTTATTCTTGATGCTAATGACGACAGACTCATTACGACTGTCTTGCTGGAAGACATGGACACCATGATGCTTGATCTCAAACGTGTAGGGAATAGTCTGAAGAGAGGGGAAACCAGCCAAAGCATTCTTGCCCACCTTGGCACCAGGCAAAAGACCCTTTCTTAATTTCAAATCCTCATCCGTGAGATTAGGTAAACTGTACACTTCTTCACGCACCATACAGTTGTGGATATCAGGGAACACACCAGGCAAGGGACTGGGATAGACAGGCAGGTCCTCAGAATCAAGTTTGGCGAGGTTTTCATCAAACGAAAATTTGTAACTAGTACCAAGACGGGTCATGGAGGCTTCTTCTTTGGTGAGACGTTGTTCACGGTTCTTCATGGCATCCAAGAGGCGCTTCTCGTCGATGAAGGGAATCTTGACAATGGCTTCCCAGTCTTGCTTCTTGCCATTCATATCTAGGTCAAAATCGCGAGGATAAAAATCAATGATGGGGGAAGCCATGTCTGTCATCAAATCTTGATAGGCAGCAGGTAACAGTTTTCGACTCAAGCTAGGCAACACACCCATCAATTGCTCAAAGGGCTTGAATGGTTGTCCAAGGGTAAAATCATGGTCTTGGAAGCGAGCAACGTTCTTCAAATCGGAAATCTTGGGCGCGTAGTGGTAGGGGTAAAACCAGCCCCAGGAAGCAACGCCTTCATAGTAGTATTTGAGCACCCATTGGATACCAATGATGTACGAACCTACGAGATCGTTCATTTGCTTTTCGTCGTTGATATCAATGTTCATCTTCTCCATATAGTAGTCTGCCTTCCACTGCTTCAATCCAGCCTCGAATTTCTCCTTTTCCTCGCGTTCGATATCTTCTTTTGACATGCTCTCTGGGATGATTTCTGCGTTTTCGTACTTTTTCAGCACACGGTCTCTGGCAGCAACGGCTTCCTCGTCAATTTCAGATACTTCAGAGTCGTCATCAGTGTCCAATTCGTCGTCAGAGTCAAGCGATAATTCGACATAGGTGGAATTGTCCTCTTGATCAAAGTCAATGTGGCATGACATGTTGAGGTCCTTGGCAAGCTTGTCTACAAACTTCTTGTCGCGTGCCTTGAATGGCACATTAAAATGAAAGGTGTGACCCTTGCCAGGCTTGTCGCTAAGCAGATAGTTGCTGATTTCACGAAAGATGAGCTCCTGTTTATCAGTAATAACAAATTTGCCTTCTCTGGCCTTCTTCTTCTCCAATTGATGCAGGATTTGACGTTCATTCTGACCATTTTCACGCTTGCCAGCAAGATACAGCGAATCAATAGCCTCTATCTCGAATGCCTCCTTTTCAACCACTTCAGAAATGCCGTCGAGGATCTTTTGCAACCTGTTCATGTCCACTCGTCCACCATCTTGAATGTAGCCTTCACAGGTGGGAAGTACGTCCTTGTAGATTCTAAACATGAGTCCTAGTGCGCCTTCATTGATGTGCAGGTTGGGCAAGTTGGGCAAGAAATCATTACCAACAAAGAGGGCCAGCAGAATGAAATCATCAAGCACGCGTTCAAAGTCGTACTTGAATGACAGTCTATCACTCACAGAGTTGAATTCCATGTCCAGGTATTCTCGCATGAGTGACAAGTGCATCAAATAAAAGTTCTGAGAGTCCAAGCTATATCCCATTCCGTGATTAATGTATATTCTCTTTCTCTCATACCATAGGAAACTTACGTTTTGCTTCTCTTGTGGCTCTGCTTTCCAAACGTCACTTCTTCACGCAACAAGGCAAAATGAGGATCATGACTCAACAGACCCAGCATGACCAAATCCGCATCAAGACCATAGAGGCAGTGTCTCACATTGGGGTCGTAATCAGGCTGAGCTTTGGCAAGACGAACATACTCCATGATTTTGTGTTCTCCCTCACCAGGCACCTCAGGACCAGACAGCACAATCTCGACACCTCTCCAATTGGCATCTTCAGACACTTTTTTCGAAATGAAATAACGTAACTCAGCGGTCAACTTCTTCATGAAGGCAGTACCAGGCGTGATACAGTTGGAGTCGAATGCATCTTCCTCTGGTAACTCCTCTCCCTTGGACAAGGCCTTTTGCCTTGTTTCTTCAGCATCTCTGGCAGTACGGAAACGACGGGAACGTTGCTGATTCATCTTGGCTCTAGGGGCAACACCGTCAATGGCTAGGAAAAATAACTTTTTGGGCTTGATCTTGGAAAACAGGTGGTCGATATAATTGAATACGCCAATCCAGATCTGCTCCTCCGTGATGCGAAAGTGGGCACTTTCATTATTGTTGTGCGAACAGTTGTGAATGATACCATTCATATCTAAATACAGGTTGTCTTATCAAATATGTCAATTTAAACACGCTCTCACAACGAAATGAGATAGAATACCAACCGAATTCAGGAATTGCATTGTCTGTGATCAACTGAGAGCACATGGGATACCGTTCACTACAACAGGTTGTCGTGTTAATCCAGGCTTAAAAGCACTGCCGGCCGTCAGTTACCTTATCCATCTAAAAAACTTGGGAATACCCATCTTGTAGTATAATGTGCTTGTTTATTAAAGAAAAAAAGAAGAAAAGGAAACAGCTTTGCATCAACTACGACATTTACAGTCGACGCAGAAAGTGGTGTGTTTCCGCAGTTGCCTGTGACTAGTAAGAGAGAGAGACTCATGGGGCTTACTTTTGAGAAAGCTTGAGGTGATACGATTTGGGTCTATCGTCATTGAAACTGTTAATTTACATGTACGCATATCTCGATGATCCATCAGCACATTTACCTGGTAAACTGGCTGTATCCTTGCTTGCTCATGGAGAATCCCAACCCACTGTCCTTGGCTCCGACCCAAGCTAACGCAGGATCAATGTAATCGCATCGATTCATGAACCAAGTACCAGTTTCAATCTGGTCTCCAATCTCAATGGCCTTATCTTGACTGGCAGTCCAAATACTAGCGGTTAAACCGTATTTGGAGTCGTTCATCAATCGAATTGCCTCGTCATCGGAAGAGACCTTCATGATGCCGAGGATGGGGCCAAATGTCTCTTCAGTCATGACAAGCATGTCGTGGTTCACGTCCACCAGAATTTGAGGAGCCACATAGCCTGTGCCAGCCTTGTCGTTGGGGAACACTTGCTCGGTATCAATGAGAGGTTTGGCACCCTTTGCAATAGCATCCTTGACTTGATCTCTGACATTATTGGCAAATTTGATGTTGGCCATGGGGCCCAGAGTTGTTTCCTGGTTATTGGGGTCTCCAAGAACGTATCCCTATCATTTACGTATGAGCATTTATGCCATCAAATACACTCTGCTATAAATCAAACCTTGGCAAGGGCAACTGCCTTTTCAACAAACTCGTCGTAGATGCTTTCGTGCACATAGCATCTTTCGATAGAACAGCAGCATTGGCCAGAGTTAAAGAAGGCACCATCAATAATGTTCTCTACTGCGTAATCAATATCACTATCAGGCAATACGTAGGCAGGGTCTTTGCCGCCCAATTCCATGCCAGATCCTGTACACGACGTGTGAGTGACATGCCGTAGCTACACAGACACGAATACAAACCGATGAGATGCTGAGAGTCGCCAATGGCCTGTCTGATCTTCTTGCCAACTGCAACACTACCAGTAAAGTTGACAAACTGGATAGAGGGATGTTGTACAAGATAGTTTGCCTCCTTATCTTGGACATGAACAGCCTGAATAGCATCTGTGGGAACACCCGCTTCTCGCAATGTCTCAACAAAGATGTCTGCACATTGTGGTGTTTGTGGAGATTGCTTCAGCAAGACAGTGTTACCAGCCAAAAGCGCAGGAATGATGTTGTTGACTGTAGTGAGATAAGGATAATTCCAAGCAGCAATCAAGAATACAGGCCCCAAGGGCTCTTTACGTTGATAGCGCTTGACAACGCCAGGCACATGTTCAATCACATCGTCCTTGAGGCTTTCTTCCGCGACAGAGATCATATAATTCGCTCTTTCCAAGACGCCCTTGACCTCACCATGACCATAACGAATAGGACGACCCATTTGGGATGTAATGGACGTTGCGATCTTGTCCTTTTTCTGCTCAAAGAGCTCACAAAACTTTTCCATAATTGAAACACGCTTGGAAACGGGCACTTTCTTCCACTCGGCAAAGGCGACAACTGATTTTTGCACGGCTTGATCGACTTGATCTTGCGTCAAAGTAGGTACCTCGAACAAGAGTTCCTGAGTGTTAGGTGAGATGACTTGGATGCTGTTACTAGAGTGTGTCATGCTTGATGTGTGTGCAAGTGTGAGAAAAAAAAAGGGCTTGTTTACTAAATGACAAGAAGCACGACGCAAAAGGAGAAAAAAATGGAACGCTAAACATTTGGTTTTCATGCTTTATAGGTTCTCTTGCATGACGGGTCATTATGAAATAAGGTTGCAAATCCGCCTCTATCAAACGTGACGATAACCATTTAGTGTCAATGGTAAGCATTTCACATTGTGCACCATTGGGTAGTGTGGATTCACTGCTCTTGACTACAAATGCATTGGCCGTTCTCATGGTATTGGAAAGAACACTTCCTAGCTGAGAACATAGGGAAGTCCCCGGTAAATTGCTATAGAGACGTGTTTAGCATGTTACGCTAGATTGATGTGAGTCTCATGAAGTATAATGAGTAGACATTGTGAAATCAAGGCTCTCTTTCCACGAATCAAGCAAAAATGAATCATTTTGAGAATATAAAACGGCTACTTTGTCTAGATCTAGATTCTGAGAGCAGCCAGCTCTTGTCAAACATGCAAGTGATGTCCATCTAGGTAAATGGCATTGTGCAATACTTAATTACTCAGTTACCATTGGAAGTGAGAGAAATGTAACTATCAAGGAAGATGTACATGGCTTTATTGAATTATATTTTCTGTAGTGTTAGTCTTTTAGGGAATGTGTTACAATCGAACCTAAGAGGGTCTTGTAATGATACATTTATACCCACTCTCATGTTCAAGGTAACTGCCGATAAATAGCTACAAGGTCGTATATCCACTACCAAAGGAAACGATATACAATTTTTTACGAATACAGTAGGTTCTCCAAACGGACTACTACCTACAAGTAACGCCACATTGAATATAGAAGAGATCGCTTCATCAAAATTACCCAGTTCGTCTCTTGACACGCATATCAATCCTACTGATGGGTTAATTGAAATCATTCTACACATATAGCTGGTAATTCTTCACATTGGTCTCCATCTACTCACTTAAATTGCAGTGCTCTTGAACGATTTTCTTTGAATCAAAGCTAATGTAAAATCTCTCCGTAAGTGCGCATCTCAAAGCGCCGTCATCTGCAGTGCAGTACTGGAATCCTCCAAACAGTGTCGCCCTCTTCGCTTGTACACGGAATATTGATATGATGACTCCCTTTATCCTGGTGCACTTGCGCATTGAGTTGTATGGCGAATGACATGAATACGTAATAATGCTTGCTGAAGACCTGTCGATATATCTCTGATTTTAAAGGCTTGTAATTGAAAATGCTATCTCTAGAGACAATTGATTTTGCCATTATCAAGTGTATCCTCAACTGCTTGCTTCGCAAAGCGAAAGCTATTGCTGATTTCAACTGACCCCATAGGAACTTTCCATACGTGGAGTTGTACTGCCCTAGCCATGCATACAGTTGTTCTCCTGTGGCCACTAAGCGTGATATTCCATGTTTTCCGAAAATTGCATCTGCTTTCAACGACGATACAATAGCTAAGGCCACGGATTTAAGATAGGGCAACAACCCAGTATCCATCAAAAATCTATGGCTTATGGAGATATTGCATATAGAATTTGGTTGATGATTGTAAATAATATCGTCCAGATCTGTGATATTGCTGGCTGGGCATGTCTGACTACCAAATCCCATTACTAAAAGTGTCTGTATCGATTTCCTCAGTCCATGAATCCTATTAAACAAGACATTAGGCGTCGTAAAAGAGTCTGACTATTTCAATTACCCGGACTTTGATGCCGTTATAGAATGAACGAGGCGATGAATCAAACTCTCGTAACCGTTATCCGTGTTATATTCTTCAAGCTGTGTTGGACTTGACTCGTTTGCTTCACCTGCAAAGACTTTGTTGTATAAGAGTTCCGCCAATCTTTCCATTTTTGCTAGTCTTGGTTCAGTTGGAATCTCTAACGATAAGGGCAGTCTAATCATCTTTGAAGAGAGGACAGTGTTTCCTCCCAAAGCTGTCATAGATCTTTCAGAAGCTGCAACCAAGTCTGGATCATACACTGCCCGTATAAATGTTATTGTTAACAATAATTGACGACGATCACATGCCTTTTGCAAGGTGCAAATCAAGTATTTCTTTTCTCTTTCCAGACAAAGTTTATGCGATGGGATGTTGTTCAGCAGATAAGCATATATATATATATATATATCAATTTTTCTTTAAAAACAGTTTTGCAATCTAAATCATCTGAAGCTAGCCACGGGGTGTTTTGAAGCAATGGACGCACAGTCGTGCTGAGAAAATCCTTGTTTAGTACACTCCTGAGAGGGCACGATGAACGCATATTGCGTCGTAAATGCCTGCCCGTCATCAAAGAGCTGAGAAGGATATACTTTGGTGAAAAAGCTTTTGATGGCCGAGCACAGCTTTAAATCATCTTGTGTAGTTGATTCTCCTCTGCGAGAACGTTGATATAATGCGTAAAAGGCTTTCCAGGAAGTTTGGAACATGAATGTACTGTTCGCGTGGAGGATGTTGCTTGTAATGAAAGATCATCTGACTGCCATAAATAATGCTGCCGCTCTCTTTGTTGTAGAAGAAATCTAAAGGGATCTTTGGACAATAATCAGATTTGTAACAACATTATTGACAATTCATCATGTTTCTACCCTAAGGCATCTCTCTGAGAAGTGTTTCTGAGTTGCTTGAGAAATGTGATTACACCTTCGGTATGTCCGCAAAGTTTTACTGACGGGGCCTATCTACGGCTGTTACTATATTATGTCTTCACTAAGTTCATGTCTAGAGTCTTCATTTACATATGCTTATGGTGCACACCAGCGTGTACATAGAATAATCATACTCGTTTTCCATTTTGTTTATGTTTCAAAGGAAAAAAAAACAAGAAGTGAACTCACATCCAGAAGTGGCGATTTGTTTGCTTCACCAAGGTGTGGGCTTTGCTGACATTCTTGTGTAGCATGGGAAGTTAGACACAGTGTTAGGTACTCATGGTAGCCAACCATGTAGTGGTGCCACTATTGACTCAAATTTTGCTTTTTATTTGCCATTAGTACGTGGGAAGTCTGCACACCTCATTTGTATCTGTGGATCTAACTTCTCTAGAGTGTCCCACATCCATTCCAACGGAAACAACTCATGTGCGGGCAGATAGCATACTAGCATTCTATCTCGATGCTCACATATATGTCAATCACAGTCAACATGGCATGCATTCTAGCCGTGTTTCCTCGAGTTAACAGCCGTTTTAGACAGCTGGAATAATGTCACGCAATTGCTTTCGACCAACACTCACTTATTGACACTTTTGCTCGACTTTTTGGGGATCAAAAAAACATGGACAAAATTCGAGCAAAAAGCATGAGGTACCCCTCATGGTTTTCGTCAAAAATTAAACGATCGCGTTTTTGACCTTGATAATGAAGACTTTTGTTATGGTATATATTAAATCAAAATGTTGCTATTGATCCAACGCAACCCCTGAAACTTTATTTGTGACATTTTTATATGCAAAACTTTGACATTTCGGCCAAAAACCTCATTTCATACTTTAGAAGATTGCTCAATAGTCTTGTTCAAAACATCTCCCATAATTATTACCACTGGATGCACCTCGAAAAGTACTCCCAAAAAGTATAAGGGAGTATTTTTTTTTTTTTTTTTGTAGGGGAGTCGAGCTCCAGGTTTTATTTAAAGTCCTTTAAATGTCATGCTGAGGGATAGAAAAGACTGTTGGTGGACCCAATGTCTGCAAAGAAGGGGAATAAGATATTTTTTGAATTAAGTTGGGAAAGAAATCTACTACTAATAAGGTGCGACACCTAGAGCCAATACAGTCTTGCGGAAATCGTCAAAATATAGATAATGGATAAGAGCACAAAACACCAAACGAGGACATCAGTACTACGCCAAAAAAAAATCAAACAACTTGCGTTCACCAGGATTTGAACCGGGATCCTCCCGTTGGCATACGGGAGTTTTACCACTTCGCCCTACCACCAGGGGCAGTATAAGGGAGTATTGGATGATCATCACATTTTACATAGTCGAATCGAGGAAAATAGATCAATCAAGTCGAAAATGAATCAAATCTGGCCGATTTTGAACAGGAGTTAAGCGGAGCGGTAATTATTTTTGACTAGCGAGATCAATCATGAAGACAGCCATTGCTTGTGATGCTCATATGAAGCGAATTGCGACTTGAACAGTACTAGCGCTTTTTCTGACTACTATGGGTTGCCTTGATTACGTATTCTTATAACGGATAGCTGTCATCATTGCAAATTGCTTATTTAAATGCCAACTTTAACGTGAAATATTAGAATGCCACACTGCTCTAAATTGCACATGATGCCTCGACTGTGAGGTGCTAACAAACGTACAAAAAATAGTTGTCTTGCACCCTTTTTACTGAAAAATGTTATGTTTTAGCAGAATTTTCAAACAAAACATCTGTATGAAAGCTCAAGCATTATTCATGTAGACGCGATAATGACATCCACAGCACATTTCAGTAAGCAAGACATTATTATCAAGAGTACCTGCACTATCTGGAGCCAACAGTTGGTCGCAGAAGAATGCAACCTACATGCAAACTATCTGCCATCCACGGCATACAATGAACAAGACGTAAACAAAGGCCCCCCCCCTAGCATCCGATCTGCATTTTGAATGTCTTATTAATTTTAGTGAATTGCAATCAAATAAACCATCCCAATAAAGATGATTGTTTACGGGATTCTTTGTGTCAGCTGTTGCACAACCACAAATTCTGAAAGAGTCAGGATGAGCCTTGATCATTCTGCGCAATTTCACGCTGTAGATAATAGAACCTGGAAATGACGATATACACAGTGGGTGTTGTACAAGTAATTTCGGAGTGATGCTTGATTGTGCGCTTTGGCTAATTTATGTAGAGTGGGAGAGAGAGGTATCATGATTGCATGTAAATCCAAGAAACCACGTTTTTACAATTTCCAGAATAATTTGCACAGATGACACTCATCTATGAATCCACTTTGCCGCGCTCCTGTACCTGGATGAATGCAATCAGCCTTCTTTTGCCCTTAGTATCCACCTGTTCATCTTATACGCCCAACTGAAAAAAAAAAAAAAAAAGTGCAAACAAGCCATGGCAAATGATGAGCCATGGGCTTGCTTGATTATTATTAAGTTTTTTCTTCTGAATTTACCAATTCGGATATATGGTAGGTAGAAATAAATAAATATACGCTGGGTTAAAGCTGTTTCAATGTGGTATTTTTAGCCATTGGCTGATAGTTGGTGATCAAAAATAACCCACTTTCCTCTCTTGCCCTTATAAACATAAAAAGCAATTTGTTATTTATAACATTCCTTTTTTCCCTCTTCCTTTCTTTTTCTTAATCATCTGAAGAAGCCACTCTTTTTCTCGCTTTCTTTCTCTCTGTTTATATCATCTCATCAACGCGACATTGAGCAGCGAAAAAGGAAAATCCAGGGCGACGATACATTTTTCTTTCAACTAGATTTTTATAAAACCGAAACGCCAAATCACATTTGAACATGAGTGCAATCGTTTACAGCTTCGAAGCCTTAAACTTCAACGGTATTTGTAAGACCATTGCCATTAGTTTGTGTCCATTGATCGGTCAATACGATGGTATTGAACCCGTCTGTTACTCTCGTAACGTGGAATTAAGTGGAAACATCATCTTTCAGCCTTGTATGTATAGCCTGTCAAACATGGCCATGCCGGCACATGCTAACCTTCTCTCTTTTCTTTCCAAATAGCAACCCTGATCATTGATGTTGTTGCTATTATCATGACGATGATTATGATTTACCACATTCGCTCTAAATACACTGCTGTTGGTAAGTAATTAGTGCGAAATAGAAAATTTTTTGTTGGGTAAAAATAGCAAGACGGTGTTTAACCACATGCAATCTAGGTCGACAGGAAATTGTCATGTATTTCTACATGTACATGTTGACTACCTTGCTGGACATGTTGCTGGTAACTGGTATCATCCCTACTTCATCTTCTGCATATCCTGTAAGTTTTTATCCATGATCAAGCAACCAACAGACAAGCTCATCCTCGATGATTCTATAGTGGTTCACCGCTATTCACATTGGCTGTATTTGCTCAACATACTGGTGCTTGTTGTTGAACGGCTTTGTAGGCTTCCAATTTGCCGAAGATGGCACACCTTTGTCACTGTGGTCGATTCGTATCAGTACATTTGTGTGGTTCATCATTACAGGTTTCTTGGCTATTGGTACATTTTTAGGTGTCGGTGCTCTCTCGTATCAGAATCAGGCAGCACTATGGATCTTTTACATTGTTTTGAATTATGTCATGTTCTTTATTTACATCATCTCTCAAATCATTCTCGTAATCAACACTCTGGATGACCGTTGGCCCCTGGGTGACATTCTGTTCGCTGCTGCTTTCTTTGCCATTGGACAAGTGCTGATGTATGTATTCTCTGTAGTCATTTGCGATAACACCAAGCACTATGTGGACGGCATGTTCTTTGGCGCCATCTGTAACCTCTTGACCGTGATGATGATTTACAAGTATTGGGACTCCATCACCAAGGAAGATCTCGAATTCTCTGTCGGTTCCAAGCAAAATGTCTGGGAGGTCAAGGAATTGTTAGGTGAGGACGAGTTATCTCAGACCTACGCCAGCTACCAACAACAACCTGCACCTACAACTCCTCAACATTACCAACCTTACGAACAACATCCCTATTAGATTTCTTAAATTATAAATATATATATATATATATATATATATATATTCCATGTCTTTTTGTGTATTTTTCAGCATCCCCTTTCTCTCCCCTCCCCCCCAATGTTCTCTTCTCTATAACCCGTATATATTATATTTTCAAAACAATTAATAAACTCAATTTCAAACAGAGTCTTGTTCTTTTTGCTTTTTCTCTTTTCTCTTTTGCACCTGTGCAATTCTTGCTTAGAACCAGCATGGAGGACACATATGAGCACAGTCTACCGCTGAAATCAGACTTGTATCAAACACTAGAATGCGGTGCTGATGGAAAACCAGGAGGCATTTTGATTACAAGTGTATCCCAGCAAGTCATTCCACATGTCTGGTTGGGTGGGTACAAAGCGCTTGAAACTGTTGAATTTCTAGAGAAAAACAAGATTACAAGCATTCTGACATTGGGTCATTTCAAGCCGTGCTATTCGCCAGGACGATTCCTACACAAGGTGAGCTATGAATCAGATAGAGGGATCATCTATCTAAACGCATAGCTTACACATGTACCGTTGTTACGCAGATCATTCCCATCACAGATAATCCCGAAGCCAACATCATTCATTATTTTCCAGAATCCACGGCATTCATTGAACAAGCCATCAAAGAGAATCACAACATATTAGTACACTGCCTAGCAGGCGTATCACGAAGTCCCACCATACTGACAGCCTATCTCATGGCAACACGGAAATTACGGTGGAAAGAGGCATTGGCCATCATCAAACAGACGAGGCCATTTGTAAATCCCAATTCAGGGTTCATTGAACAACTCAAACTCTTCCAAGAGATGAATTACACCTTCGACCCCAATCACCCAGCTTATTTAGACTACTTGCGCCATCATCCTGTAGACGCTGGCCATGTAGGACACGAGGATGAGTACGAATAATGCTTAGAGATGACATCTTATAGACAAAACCTGTATATACACTTGAACTTGGCTGGGGATCAGAGCTACGACGTATTTGTGAAATAAATTCGCCCTGCTTTTTCATGATTTGACCATATGGATACATTTGGCATTTGGATGAATGATCGATGAGGCATCGACGGCAGCGGATCTTGTATGATGCTTGGTCTGCCATTGCCACTTTAAACAGATGTGATGAGCATTTTCGCTGTGGGATTAGCATAGACCTGATCAAGAGGTACTATGAACTGAATGCTGATTACTCGACTCACTCTCGTCATGATGGATCTAGTTGGGAAGGTATATCCAAGTGGGGATGTCAAAGGCAACATTGGGTGACGGCTTTTGATGCCAATGATATATGAACCGTCCTTTCAAGCAAGATGGGTTCATCTCTTTTGCTACTGTATATAATAACAAGCATGTCTGATTTAATCAAAAAATCTCGATGGGCTGCCGACGAAGAAGAAGAGAGTAAACAAGAACGTGAAAAGCAACATGAGGATAAGCATGTTAGAAAAAAGCAGAAACCAGCAGCAACAGCATCACCCTCATCGTCGTCGTCTCCTGCAACAGAAAGAGCTGTTCGACAAGTCATCATGCGAACCGAGAAACCAGCTCCCAAGCCATACCCCTATCTAAGAGCATGTCGCCATGTGGATTGCTTTGAACGTCTCAATCACATTGAAGAAGGTTCTTACGGTATCGTATTTCGTGCTCGCGATAAAGAAACAGACGAGGTGGTCGCGCTGAAAAAGCTAAAGCTGCAGCCCGAAAATGGTGGATTTCCTGTCACCAGTTTACGAGAAATCCATGCTCTGATGATTATAAAGCATCCAAACATTGTCAATGTCAGAGAGATTGTCATGGGGAATCACATGGATCAGTAAGTTGGGCCTAGCATGTACGAGACATAGTATTCATGCAACCTTACATAGAGTCTTTATTGTCATGGATTTCATTGACCATGACCTGAAGGGTCTGATGCAAGACATGCGTTCTCCATTTTTGCAGTCTGAAATCAAGACATTGATGTTACAATTGCTGTCAGCGGTGGCGCTGATGCACGACAATTGGATCATACACCGAGATCTCAAGACGAGTAATTTGCTGTTAAACAATCGAGGTGAAATCAAGGTGGCAGATTTTGGTTTAGCAAGGAAATACGGTAGTCCCATGGGCAATATGACACAGCTGGTGGTGACATTATGGTATAGAGCTCCTGAGCTGTTGTTGGGCGCAAAGGAATACACAACAGCGATTGACATGTGGTCGGTGGGATGCATTTTTGCAGAGTTGTTGAACAACGAGGCGCTGTTGCCGGGTAGAAGCGAGATTGATCAACTAGACAGAGTAGGAAACACCGCTGGAGCAATATAGAACTCGAATCACTCACAAGAGGTAGATTTTCAAATTATTAGGTAGCCCAACAGAGGAAATATGGCCAGGGTACTCTCAACTCCCTCATGCAAAGAACATTGCACCTGTACATCAACCGTAAGTGAGATGCATGTCCAAATGCAACGCTACATATTAAATCACTGCACACAGATACAGCTCATTGAGAAGCAAATTTACAATACTCACTCAAGCTGGCTTGGATCTATTATCAAAATTACTCACCTACGATCCTGCAAAACGTATCACGGCTGAAGAGGCTCTCAATCATCCCTATTTCAGTGAAAGTCCAGCTCCTCAAGATCCATCTCTGTTTCCCACATGGCCATCCAAAGGCTCTGGTCACAAGTAAGTCGCTATTATGCATACCGTCCATTGATTATGATCTGATAGTGAGACCCATATATAGAAAACGAGCATTCAGTCCATCTGCTCCTGCTGCAGCTCACGGTGATCAAGGCCAAGATGATGATTTGGCGGGCACAATCTTTGGTGGACAGACTGAATCTACTGGTTTCCGTTTAAAGCTTGCATAAGATATATATATATTGTCAAAGAGTGTATATTTATTAGAAAACTGTGCGCTTGTCGGTCATGACACGAACAATACAACCATTGCCAGCTACCTCTGTCAACTAATGTTTCCAATAAACAAGTCAGCACAACTTTTTGACACTAGATTAGGTGTGCATATCCTCTCCCTTCCCGTCTTACCTTTTCGTGCCATGTCAGCAAGACACTCGAGTTGAATTGTTCGGGCTTGCCCATACCAGCGTATAAGTACTTCATCAGGATATCTTGTTGTTCATGGCTAAGTGATTTGATCACTTGAGCAATATCAGAGGCGCGGAAGAGGTTCAGCACTTCAGTAACCGTCTTTGTGCTCTCAGCCTGTGCTTTTTGTATTAGCACACCTGTCTCTCTCTCTCTCTCTCTCTTACCCAATTTATATTACCTTGGCAGACTCCACTTGACGACCATAAGGAGGCTCCTCCAAAGCACGAATCAAAGCATTATTCAAATCGCCTCTATAGAAAATAGAGTCATCAGTACCCTTCTGCGTCTGTTCTGCTGTGATTCTTTTACTTTGTGAGCAAGTTGCGAACATCTGTGCTTCGTGTTTGAGTAGAGGAGATGACTTGTTCGGGTGATAAACCTGTATCAAACTCTGAAAGAATCTCATCCTCAGTGTACGCGTCTTCATCATATTGGTCGATATCAATTCTACGCCAAGACATTGTATGGTAAGTTTTTTTTCAGAAATTAAAAGTGAAAAAGGTTGAAGCGAGAGGTGAATGTATGGTTTACACAAATATAATAGAATGCAGACTCTCGACGTCATTTGAACCAATGTGGTAGCGGCATTTCAAGCGCATTTGGAGATGAACACCTTCCTGCTAGATGCTTGATAGTTGGAGAAGCTGATTGAAATGTTCGTCATGATGGTGGCTGTCTCTATGCGAAAAGAAAGTGGAGCAAATACAGAGCTTAGCGGCGGCCATCGGGCCCCTATGTCTCATGTGTCATTGAACAAATGCTTAGACATCTTGGTCTGAATCTGCAGATCAGCCTCGTTGACCCATCTTGGATGCTTATTTTTGATCTTACATTTATAAACCTTCAGCTTCTGCTTGACATTGCAAAGACCAAGATTGCTGATTTCCTCGTCCCAAGTAACAGAGCTATTCACATTTAAAGGCTCATTCTCTATTCCCAATGCCTTTAACTTTTCTGCGATGTCGGAATCAATGCATTCAGCAGCATTATGGCCTTCCAGGAATTTGGGAATAGTATCATACTTGTACACATTTGCCTTGCAGAAAATATCTCTCGAAGCTACTTACTATGACCAACGTTGTAGTGCTTGTAGATGACATTTGGCATTGTTTGCTGTGTCTTGGATAGAAGGATGCCCGCACCATTTGGCGATGTTGGTACCGGTTCATGCTCTTCAAGCTGTAAAGAGATGCCATTTCCCTAAAATACTGAAGGTCTAGAGAGCAATGCAAATAAAACTGGGTTTGGCGTATCTATCAGCCTCCTTCTGTGCCCAAGTGTTGTCCCTGAACTGACTAATGAAGCAGTCTGAGAAGGAAAGCCGTTGCCATCAGTGCGCAGATGGACCTATCCCACTAAAAGGAGCATGGATGCCAAGCTGGACGATCAAGTAGCGTGTTGTCTGATGGATTTTGACAGGTGAAGCTCATTGATCCTTTACTAGGTCATGTTCTCATTAGAACCCCCCAAATGAAGAGGCATGCTTTGTCCATCTACTGCTGGCAAATCTCAAACATTCGTTTACAAATACAAGCCAATGTAGACCCAGTGGTTCATGCCATCGGTTGGCATTCCGTATATGATGCATGACGAGGAACACCAAATATGTCAAAGTTTGTTGGTTGGCATGGAGATGATCTCTTGCCTCGCTGGAAATTTGATCAAACGACTTATAGCTCAACGAATCCCATGGATGGGAGAATCATTGCTCCGTACATCCGGATCAATATCAAGCAAACCCTGTGACCATCCCGCTAATAAGGGGGTCTGAATGGCACGGCGATAAACACAATGCCTGAGAAGTTTCATGACAGAAGTTTGCGCTTATTAATGAATGATTTGTCCATGAGCTCATCGTTCTGTAATTTTGTAACAGTGCTACCGTGATCTTGCCTGCCCGTTTTCGCTTGATCGCCACGATCCATTATAGTGTAGACTAGGTGATAGATTGCATAGCATTGATCCAAGATGGACAGGCCTGAATTGTGCGATAAGCAATCGAGTTAGCACCATTACTGTGAGAATGGGGGGGGGGTTGGAATCCAGTGATGTCCAGTGAGTTTCTCATTGCCTGAAAAAGGCGATTCAAGACGAATGCAGTTTTTGTAGACCAGCACATCTGTAGAACAATGATAACTTCTATATGATACGGTTACATCAAGATGAAATAGACGGATTATCTTTTTCTCTTTTTCTTCTCTTTGCTTTCTGATATTTCGCCTTCTTCTTTGTCTTTTCCGATATACATTTTATAGATACGATCAAGCATCCAAATGTCAAAGCTACAAACAGCCAATGAAGAAACACCACTGCTATCTGCACCAACATTGGCAGATCAAGCCTCGTCCGGCGCCTCCTCTGACAATGCCACGCTGTCTACCAAGAAGAAAGCATCGCCTTGGTATGTCATTGTTGCTTTGTTTGGCTTGACATTTTCATTTGGGTAATATTTATGCAGAAACCAAAAGTTACAATGATGGTGTTTAATCTCGTATTTTTGTTATACAGTGCTCTCTATGCACCCATGATTCAATTCTACACTGTTATCTTTTGTTACAAGTAAAAAAAAAAAATTGCTTATGGTTCAGCATCTTAGTAGCCTGTAATCCTAAAACCACCATATTAGATACTACCAGCAACAATCAGGTGACAGTGGTGCTGACATTCCACTCGACAATTGTGCTATCCCAGAGGTGCAAGCCATTGTCTCTGAAGCACAAGCTATCATCATGTTTTTGACTTATGCCTCGAGTAAATAGACGCCTGATCCGCTATATACGTTACATAGTAATTGCTCACACACTCTTCTACTACAGCCTTACTAGTTGCTAGTTATTATGGCGCCTTATCAGATCGAAAGGGCAGACGTCTTATCATGATAATTTCCACTCTAGGCAGCTTGATTCAGATTGCCTTGTTTGTCATCACCATCAAGTACATTCATATATTTGGTATCTCGCTGCTGTTCATTGCGCCCATCATCAAGGGCTTCATGGCAGGAGACACAGTAGCAATCGCTGCTATCCAGGCCTATATTTCAGACTGTACAACACGAGCAGAGAGGTATGTATCACTTACAAGACAATCCCTTCTGATCTAACACGCATGCTATACAGAACCATTGCATTTGGCAACATGATGGCTACCATCTTCTTGGGTACTTCCATAGGTCCCACTGTTGCTTCCTTCTTACTCAACAAGACCAAGTCCATCAACAGCATCTTTTACATGGTGTTCATCATTCACTTTGTCATTGGCTTGTATTATTGGCTCGTTATGCCAGAATCAAACGATATCAGTCAGCACAAAGAGATCAAACAGCAAGGAAAGCAATCATTTTTGCAACGCATCAACATCTTCTCTGCGCTTGAGATTTTGCACAGACGATCCAAATCGGAACATGCCTCTCAGTACGCTCTTCCTCTGATGGCAGGTGTTCAGTTTCTGCTTTACATTGTCATGATGCCACCTAGCTTGCTGTATGCCATGCTTCAATTTAAATGGACAGCTTACGAAGGTGGTCTATTCTTTAGTCTGTGCTCCTTTACACGAGTTATTATCATGTTGTCTGTACTGCCCCTCTTATCCAAGATATTCCATAGAAACAAGACTACACTATCACCATCGTCACCCACATCGCACTCGGCATCTACCGTCAAAGTTGAAGAGCCCGCATCGCCATCTTCCTCTACGTCTTCCGCTATCATGGATACGCGTAGCAAAGAAGACATCAGACATGCCATCCTATTTGATTCTTGGATGATTCGTACAGGACTAACGATCGAGACAGTCTGCTTTGTGGCCTTCGGTTTGGTTACTACGTCAATTGGATTCTCCATCACGGGTGCTGCTCAAAGTTTTGCATTACTAGCAGCTCCTTCGCTTCGCTCTCTGCTTACGTCTTTGGTAGACCCCACCGAAATTGGTGAATTGCTCGGCGCCATGGCTGTCTTGGAAGCATGCGGCAGTAAGTCTATTCATTTATTCTTGTAATGGCCTTGACATCTAACATACTACAGTGATTATATCTCAATTGACAATCAATACCATTTACAGTGCATCTGTAGCAACAATGCCCAACCTCATCTTTTTTGTCTGCGCCATCATTTCAGGCCTTGCACTGACATTTTCCTTCTTTGTACGTCCATCAAAGCCTTTGGACACGACGAACGATAACATTTTGATTCATGAAGATTGTTAAAAAAGCTTTCAAATGCTTCTATACCCATTTGATGTAATAAAATAGTTTGTAAATGTTTATTATTGAAACGTTAAAAGTACATGTTATCAGTGCATTCGTAAAATGGAGTACTTTTTACATAGTGTCCTTGATTGCTGCTGTACGATCATCAATGCCATCAAATCTCTTGTTCCTAAAGAAGATTTCCCCCCCCCCCTCCATACAAGTGGTTTGGTTTGTTTCAGTTGCGCAATATTCTTGTTACTTTCCACCCTGGCCTTACAAGGAAGAACACGAGAAGTCTCTTTCCAACTATAGAGGACACGCCGAGTCAAAAGATGGCAATTGCACTCGATCCCGTAACCTTGTACTTATTATTCAGCAAACAAATCTGCATTCACCTCCAACTCAATGATCAAATCAATGGAAACAAAGGAGGTTATCTTTTCAAATTTTTTTGACGTGCCCAAGATCAAGAAAATTCTGAAAGAGCAAAAGCTCGACTTCAAGCATTATGTCAAATTCAAAGACCAATACAATGTTCATCTGGTGGGCTCAAGAGTGAAAAAAAAAACGCAATAATGGCTCCAGTAGCTCCAAATCGGGTGAGAACAGGTCGAGTGCCTCCGAGTCCAGTGTAAACAGGTCAAGTGCCTCCAAGTCTGATGTGGACAAGGTGAAAAAACTCTCCAGTGATATCAAAGAAACAAAGAAGCAGTTGTCGTCACTGTCAAGGCATCTTTCAAAACTGCAACGACATCGCATGGACTGTGGCAATGAATCGCGCTCCTGGGAGAAGAAGCACAACAGCATGAACTTTGAGTTATACAAAAAGTTGAAGGATGCTAGAAGTGATTACGATGAATTGTGCATGAAAGTGTCAAGCTTGAAGTCATCGATAAAGCAAATGTCCAGTGAGATGTACATTTTGAACAAAAGGATCCACGGTCAACAAGTACATCAAGCTGCTGCTGATGCCATACCAAAGTCATTGGCTGTTGACAGTAACACTATCGTTCAAGGCACTGACCCTGATGTGGTGACCACCGCCAGTAGTGTATGGTGCTCTTCTCTCACTCTTTTTGAGTCGATCAATCGGTTTCAAATGCTGTAAGATTATTCTGACACTGCAACCTCTCTTGGAAAGGGAGAAACACTCGTCAAGTATGAAATGACAGCCAACAAAGTCGACAATGCTGTCCTCTCCAATAGGCGAAAGAAGAGGAGGAAGTCATCAGTCAAGAAGCTACAGAAAGGAAGGGCAGCTGGACGAATCCGCTTGAAGAGACTTCACCAACATTTGGTAGCCAGTGAAGCCAGATCTGCTGCAACCATGTCCATCTTCAACAAGCCAAAGAGGGTTTCCTTCATAGGAAACTGGCGTCGCAATACTCAGTACCTCCGTGGCCACAGCACTCGAAGTATGAAGCCGTACATGTCAACGCTGTCCACAAGAAGCACAGTCAGATTGGTAGACGAATACAATTCTACTGCTCATGTTTCAAGGAGACATAGAAACAGCTGGTGCGTGATGAGGATAATAGAATGAAGAGGAACCTCGGTGCCTTCGCATGCTTTAACCCTGAGTGTCCAAAAAGGCTGGCTAAACAAACTACCATGAATCGTGATAAGCAAGGAGCGAGTAACATTGCCCTCATTGGTTTTTCGGCACTGGCCTCACTTAACAACAAGGCGTTGCCTCCTTTCAGTCGAGTCCAAAATCCTGATAAGTAAGTTGGCCTTTTCACTGGGATCTATCAGCAGATTTTTTGACCTCTTACTTTTTTTTATAGGCACGTCTTATCCCCCACTTATTCACGTCTTTGCACGCCAGACTGGCAATGTGAGGACACCCGCTTAGTCGGTGAATTATTGCAATAAAACCAATTGACAGGTCTTGAGTTGTAATTAAGCTCCTTTTTAGGTGTGATAGGGTATCCAGCGTGGACAAAATAAGTTGTGGTATTGAAACAAGATCAAGTCATTTGCTATTTGTATAGGATGACTTAGACTACTGTACATTTCTGGTAGCGATTTTCATAAAGAAGCTTGACTATTTCAAGCTTGATGTCTTGTATACTGCCGTCATTGCTTGAAAATTACCAATGCTTTACATCAAAGGAGAATTTCAGGGGAAATACAATATAGAAGAATAGACGCAGTGTTGTGAGCATTTTGTTTATTATTAGATCAGTTGATAAAGGTGTATATTAATCATATTAGATGCTACTCAAATGACATGAATTACAATAAAAGAAGTAAGGTCTATAGGTTGTGTATGCAGTGTATGTTGCGTATAATAATCTACAGCATTATGATGGCTTGTTGTGAGCTCCATATAAGACGGTAGCAGCAATTACAACGCCTGTTCCAGTGACAAATAGAAAGGATGGTTGAAAATCGAGCAAGTAGAAGCTGATGATACCAGATAAAATGATGGATATACTGGTTGCGAAACCTTTGAGGATATTATCAGCATACTTGACAACCAAAGACACCAGTAAACCACCCAATGCCTGATTGATGACCACAAACCAAGTCAAGGCATTGTATCCTTGGAACATGCCCTGATTTCTGATGGAACTGAAATCAGATACCATCATGCCAATGAAAGAGAACGACGCACCGCAAATACCCAGCTGGATATTTCTGATCCACATGGACGTGGTAGAGGTTTTGAGTATTTTTTCGAAATAACAACCAGCAAAACCTGAAGAGACACAACTTGTCAATACAGCTAGTAGGCCCACTAAAGGTCTTTGAGTATTGCTGTCTGAATTGGCGCACGTTGTACTAGAAGAAGATACACTTTCCGTTTGTACCAGTGTGACACCAATCATTAATAGTACTAAGGCCAGCCATTTCTCTCTGTTCAACGACCGACCAAGTAACCAAATTGAAAATGCAGCAGTTGATAAGATCTTGAGCTGATATGTTACTTGGAACGTAGCTGCTTCCAGATTACTGAGTGCAATATAGAGTAAATTGTTTTGCAGTGCATAAAGACCGCTTGGAACCAACATTTTGACGATCTCTTGAGGTTTGTGGCCTATTTCCAAGTAGAGCATATGGATGCAACGTCTGTAGGATTTTTCTTGCACATACAGCATATATAAGCAGGTAGCGATTTTGATGAGTTCAGCCATAAATACAGCTGTGGAGGCAATGTAGATGGGCTGATCAGGCTGTGTCGATGTCCGAGAATACCGCATCAATAACACCAACATGCTGTTTTGAACGACGAGGATAACGAGTGATAGTTGCTTTGGATTCAAGCCAAAATACTGAGGATCTGTGGCAGCAGCTATGCAGTTTTTTTTTTTTTTTTTTTCAGTGATTTGAACAGAGTAATTGATTTCGATGCTAGTTTTACCAATGGTTTGATTTCTGTTGGATAACGGTAATTCATGCTTCTTTCTAAAGGATCGTTTTGATGGATAATACGATGACATTGCAAGAAAATATAAGTAAAAATTAAAGAAGCCCACACACACACAGCTAAATGTTTGTAGATCTACTACAATAACCACAGACATGCTCAAATAAAGCCGTCAAAAATACATACAAAAAAAAAAAAAAAAAAAAAAAACTTCTTTATTGTGAAACAATTCATCGAGAAGGGATTGGCTTTTTTTTTTTTTTTTTTTTTTTTTTTTTTTTTTTCAATGGTCCTTTCTCTTCAACATGTCAGCATAGCTAAACGTATTGGCCGTCTTTTGTTCAGCAGGAGTAGTGGGAGAAGGAGTAATAGCAGCTGGTGCAGTGGTGGGAGGACGCACTGGCTGCTGCTCTTTTTTGGGCTGCTGCTCTTTTTTGGGCTGCTCCACTGGCATCTGCTTTTTTTTAGGTGCAACGGTTGATTTGACAATATCGGCAACGGATCTTGCTGGTGGTAATGGTTGATCTGCTGCTGCTGTTGCTGCTGCTGCTGCTGCTATGGTGGTAAGTAGCTGCTGGCTAGGCAATGGAGGGAAATGAGTTGGTTTCAAATCAACTATTATTCAGACATGTGAGTATGCGATTTCCATCGTGGAGAATTCATTTTTTTTCCTACCTTCCTGCTTTTCCTTCTTGGTGTTCTCCTTGGATTCTCGAGCAGTTGATTTGTTGTTGCTCTTCTTCTTTTTGTTATCTATTTTACTTCCACCTGCATGATGTGTATTGGAGTTGCTATCGTGTTGGTGCTGGTTATTACTATGACGGCCCTTTTTCTTGCTCTGTTGCTGTTGCTGTGGTTGCACTAAAGGTGGATTGGATTGTGGATTGCCGTTTCTATTATTATTCTTATTGGTAGTGCCTGCAGTTGCGTTGGTGTTAGTGTTGGAAAAAGGAGCAGCAGCATCATTGGAGGTATAATTTGACTTTGTATATGGAACATTGGATTGTTGCTGTTGGCTATGGTGAATATTGCTATTTTTGTTGTTGGCAAATTTGCTGTGATTGCCGCTCTTGGTATGGTATTGGTGCTTGTTGTTTTGGTATGTAGTGGGTGGCTGTCGCTGCTGCTGCTGCGTGCTGTGCTGAGCTCGCGTCTGTGGTTGTGATGGCAGTGGTGGGGATGGATGGGATACAATGTCATTCATGGTGAGCTTATGGAAGCCAGTTTCCACTACATGGCTGTCTGTGGTATAGGCATCCGGTCCATTTCGAAAATACCTCGGTTTATTCGTATTGTACCCACCACGTGCTGATCGACTACCTACTTGAATGTTCTTCTGATTGTCAATAAACGATTTGCTGCCCTCATGTCGATTTGGCACAGAAGCAGGCGGCTGATAGTGGTAGTGTTGCTGCTGTTGCTGATAACCATTGTTGTACTTGGGATGTGGCTGATGATTATTACTGTATCGAGACGGGCCATGTCCATAGTTAATCCGCTTGCTGCTGTTGTACGATGGATACGAAGGATAGTAAAGATTGCCTCCATTCATTCCAGCATAACTATAAGCGTAAACAGGTGGTAATTCAGGCAGTGCTACTGATGATTCATGTGATGTTATTGCTGCTGATGAATCCTGGCTTTCTGCTTTAATATTTTGATGTGTAAAAGAAGGAGCAGAAACCGCAGCAGCACTAGTAGCGGCAAAAGCACGATTTTGGCTGCAAAACAAAGCAGTGAGTTTATCCGTTTCCCAACATGACGATCAACTAATATACTTACACTCGCAAGACTGGCTCAGATTTCATTCTAGCAGCAATTGCCTGGCCCTTGAATGATTTCCCTCTTACCCCAAGTAGCAGTTCCAAGGCATCGTCCTCTGATTCAAAAGTGAAATACCACATGTTTCCAATATCTTGCTTTATCGACTGAACGGGAGGCGAATTCAGCTCTTTCAGCAAGTCGTTGATCTCTTCCTGTGTACATTCAGGCACGTCTCTCAAGATGACTGTATTTCGTTGTACTGATATATTAGGCTTGACTCTGGTTCCTGATTCATCCACAGTGACAGCTGACGAGCCTCGTAGTGTTTGAACGATGAGGTCTACATCCGTTGTCCATTCACGTACACGTTTAAAATTGGCTACCAGCGATATTGGAACGTATAAATCAGCGTCCATCTGAGACATTAAAAAGGTGTCATTGACCAAATTTTGTCTATATCATTACAGAGAGAGAGAGAGAGAGAAAAAAGTGTGTGTGTGTGTGTGTGTGAATACGGCTGTTGTTGTTGCGCACCTATAAACTCCAAATCCCCCCTCCTCCCCAACTCACCTGGAAAAGTAGAATTCTAGTTGTTTTTTTAGATCGATGGGCTTATCTAGTGTTCTAGAGTGAGTATATGGCTTGATTTATAGCAGCATGAATTGGCCTTACTCTGATCGGAGCTGGATGGTCTTCTTGTGTCTACGGAGCTTACATTATTCAAGCTTTCATCATGCACAATGATTTCTAAATCATCGTCGTCACGCGTTGAAGGAATGGTAGCTGATGCAGTGGCAACACCAGCAGTAGCACCAGCACTAGAGGCAGTGTCAAGCGGCGGATAGTACATGCTGGGGTGAGGCGGGTAGTAGTAGACGTACGGCATTGGATAATCTGATTTCAATGGCTGATTTGGATAGAAGCGCGCATAGTCATCTCGATTATTACTGTTGTATTTGCTGTAGTTTGGTCTCATCCTGTTGTTGTTGTTATTGTTATTGTTGTATTTGTTGTGGGGTTTCTTTTTAATCAAGTCTTTTTTGGTAGCAATCATAGTGGAGGAGGATGCTGGTTGCTCCTCTTTGGCTTGATTTTTAGGCTCAATGTTTGATACAGTCATCTATAATGATGAATAGGGTAGTTTGTCTAGCCTAGCCTGGTGTAAATGTATACAAAGTTTACCTTGTTACAGTTGTTTGCTCTCACAAATTCCTTTCCAATACCCTACAAAGAAATAAAAGAGAAGATCAACTGCGGATGTGCCTAATTGATAGAGAAAGAAAGAGAGTGAGAAAATACAAGCGAGAGAGATAAATAAATAAATGTTGAAAATGGCCCGTTTTTGAGTAACCAAAGAAAATGGATGCCGTAGAGGAAAAAGACACTTTATAATAGGAGGTTTGCATTTTAAGCTTTTCATGTCTGAAATGCAGGAGCTGAACCCTTTTATGTCTTGTCAGTGATGGGGCATGCTCGCCATGTACACACACCATGTTGTTCTTTCTCAATTCCTAGCATCGATGTTACCAATTGCAGGCAGCAGAGTGCCATCTGTGATTGGCCGAGATCCATCCTCACTCTGTGTATCTGATCGTTCAAGGTCCTTTTTTTTTTTTTTTTTTTTTTTTTTTTTCCACATTTCATTCAAATTTTTTTTTTTTTTCTAATTGTATCCATTTTGCCCCTTTTTTCTTGTTGTTTCCACACTAAACACTCATGACTGTCATCACTGAAGAACTCAAAGCAAGAGCTGAAGAAATCAAAAATGAAGCCAACGTCTGCTTCAAAGGTGAGATGAGGATGGCCATGTTCAAGAGAGATACAGGCAGAATGACCAAAGTTGGAATTTGATAGAAAAGCGATTTCCTGCTGCTATTGACAAATACACAGAGGCCATTGAAATCAACTCAAAGGTAGCTTCCTACTACACAAATCGTGCCTTCTGTCATTTGAAGATGGAGTCTTATGGTTATGCTATTGCGTAAGTGACATGAGTCTTTTTGACATTTCAGCTGGTCTTATTCATGTGTATATAGTGACTCAAACACTGCATTGGAGATTGATCCCAACTTTACAAAGGTAATTGCAACAGACACAGCCGTATGGAGACAGCAACCCCACTAAATCACAAGATGCTAGGCAAATTATCGTCGCGCTTCTGCCAATATGGCTCTAGGAAACTTTAAAGAGGCATTGAAGGATTTGAGAATTGTGTCTAAGCGTGCGCCAGGTGACAAGGATGCTAAAGCAAAGTTTGATGAGTGTGCCAAGATTGTGCGAAGAATTGAATTTGAAAAGGCCATTGAGCATAACGAGCAAAAGCGCAGTGTTGCTTCTACCTTGGATATTGATGCTATAGGTAAGTATGGGAAGGTTTTGTGGGGAGGGGAATGACTCATATAATGTATAGCTGTGGACGCTTCATATGACGGACCCAGAATCAATGAGGAAACCAAAAAGGTTGATCTGCCATTTGTGAAATCATTGGTACAACATTTCAAAGATCAGAAAAAGATTCACAAGAAATATGCGTTTATGGTAATATCTCTACTTTTTGGGTAGAGAGTGTGTATACTTATCATACTAGGGTAGATTGTACTGGCTATTCGTGAATTTATGATGGAGGCGCCATCTCTTATTGATGTCAAGATCCCAGCAGACGGTAAACTCACAGTGTGTGGTGATGTGCATGGTCAATTTTACGATTTTATCAACATTTTCGAGACAAATGGCTATCCATCTGAAAAGCACGCCTATCTGTTCAACGGTGATTTTGTGGATCGTGGCTCCTTCTCTGTAGAAGTCATCTTGACCTTGTTTGCTTACAAGTGTCTCTATCCCAACCATCTCTTCCTGGCTCGTGGAAACCATGAAACGGACAATATGAACAAGGTGTATGGCTTTGAGGGAGAAGTCAAGGCTAAATTCAGTGAAATGATGTTCAACTTGTTCTCAGAGACATTCAATGCACTGCCTTTATCACACGTCATTGAAAACAAGATTTTCGTTACACATGGTGGTTTGTTTAGTCGCGACAATGTTACTTTGGATGAGATTAGAAAGATTGATCGTATTGGTCAAGGCCAGCCTGGTAGTGATGGACTCATGTGCGAGCTCTTGTGGTCTGATCCTCAGCCTGAGCTTGGTAGATCACCCAGTAAACGTGGTGTAGGTATTCAATTTGGTCCCGATGTCACCAAGAACTTTTTGGAAACCAATGATCTCGAGATGGTGATCCGTAGTCATGAAGTCAAGGAGGAGGGTTATGTTATTGAGCATGATGGCAAGTGTGTCACTGTGTTCTCTGCTCCCAATTACTGCGATACTGTTGGAAATAAGGGCGCTTTGATTAATATTACACCTGATTTGAAGAAGGAATACATTACATTCTCGGCTGTTGTAAGTTATAAACGACCCTGTGTGATTCAACTCTAGACTAATACCGCTTTGCTTATAGCCTCATCCTTCTGTCAGACCTATGCAATATGCCAGTCAATTCAGCGGACTTTTGGGAATGTAGATCAGCGTATTAATAGAGAATCAAGTCGTTTTATACAGGAACATGAGTTATTGTTGAGATTTTAAAAAAGAAAATACATACACATAGATTTGCTTTTTATCTTCCAAGACTTTGCTCAGCTCTTTATTTTTGTAAATGCAGATTGGGGTTTGATTGGGACCCTTATTCACAGCTGATTAGCTGCTTTGATGGGCAAGTGATGATAGGGTGTCTCAATGATTGAAGTACACCGAAATTGTTGGGTAAACAGGGCCATTTAATAGTCGCTGCAGAACACCAAGGGCAGACAAGCAGCATCTATTAACCAAATTCCGTCAAAAATATGTTGTACCATATTTCAAGCTTTGAATGAAATACCTTTACGAGAATGTAATACGTCTTTGTAAAAACGATTTAAAAGCAGGACAAGCTATAGACTGGCATGAATGATCTTCGCCGATCATCTTTTGGATGTCGAGTCGGATACCATTCAGCTCAGCGGTGGGAGCGAAGGAAATTTGGTCAAAGATAAGACGATAGTGAGCCTTTCCAATGAATATTGCCTTCATGATCAGAGGGGCATTGAGTTTGCCAGCCGGCCTCACAAGCCAAAATTAATCTGAACTCAGGCTCTTAGTCTACTCCAGATTGGCCAAATCTTAATAGTTCTTCGACTTGATTCTGGGGTCACACGACATGAGCCAAGTTGCCCAAGATGTCCTGTCCCTCACCCTCTCCTCGTACTGTCTCTTGGACTCGCCTCTCAAGGTCTCCATCTTTGAAGCAGTAACATGTGTTTTAACAGCCATCTGGCGTGCCAAGTGGCGCGATCATTATGATAATGTTGGCTTTGACAACCAGTCTGTAGTGGACCGTGCCACGACCAACTTGAGACAAATACCGTCTTTAAATCTATTTAAATACTTTTTAAGAGTTTATCTAATAAATCTTCATACAAATAAAAAAAAAATTTCGACTTGATTTAACTATTTTGTCAGATTCGACTATAAGAATCTGATGATCATCCAATACTCCTTTAAGCTTTCTTGGAGTACTTTTCAAGGCGCATCCAATAGTACCAAGTAAGACGAATGTTTTGAATATACTGATTGAGCAATATCAAAAAATACGAAATAAAGTTTCTAGCAAAAATGTCAAAAACTTACATATAAAAGATACACAAACGACGTTTCAAGGGTTGCTTTGGATCGATAGCAACATTTTGATGTAATACATACCATAGTAAAAAGTCATCATCTTCAAGGTAAAAAAAAAAATGCGATTGTTTGATTTTCGATGAAAACCATGAGGGATACCTCATGCTTTTTGGTCCCCAAAAAGTTGAGCAAGGGTGGCAGGAAGTTAGTGCTAGATGAAAGCAATGGTTTGATACTATTCTGACGGCCTAAAACGGCCTTTAACACAAGAAATCACGGCTCAAATGCATCTAAAATACGCTGTGTTTTGCGCACAATCGAGTAATAAAGGGTAATGTGTGTATCAGATCGTTGAAGGCCACTTCCATCCAAAGTAAAATGGAGTCAAGCGAGCCATGTAATCATTGTCTGACATATCAATATGCTCGCCGTCTCCATCCGTCCATGGTAACCGGGATTTTGTTGAAATGAAATATATGACAACGAAATATACAAAGATACAGCCATTTAGCCAGGTCATCCTTGGCTGTAGCATCATTCAGCGTACCAGAACAAGCCCAGCCAACATAGACGCAAAGACTCATGTTTGACATGAGGCAAAACTACAGCGTGCATAGTCCCCAACACCTACATATGCGAGCTTAGGCTTTGATGTACTTATATCTGCATGGCAAGATAAGCTGCCTCCTTCGGATCCAAAGAGCTTATCAAAAGCAGCTAATACATCCAATCCGAATTATTGATTTCCATAGCAGTAAACTTATACCCTTTGCATCTCATATCGACATTTATAATTTCCTGGGCAAATACAAGATTTTATTGATATAAAATAAGCAATGTTTAATGTGTACTCATATCAGGCACACGCATTTAATGTGTATTGTATAGTTTTTCATTTTATTTATTGTAAAAAATAATGGTCTCTCTTGGTTGCTTTTACAAAAAGCTTACAGGTTGAACCACGAGAAGGTGGAGACCAATCTCAACCCAAAAAGTGAAAGTAGGCATGGGGGAAGGGAAACACATGACAACACAGAAGACTTATTACAGAAGACTTATTACAGAAGACTTACTACAGAAGACTTATTACAGAAGACTTACTACAGAAAACTTATTACAGAAGACTTACTACAGAAGACTTATTCCAGAAGACTTACTAGAGAAACCCTCACACCAAAGACACGAAACTCTCAAAAGACAAAGTACCAAAGACTTGAAAACCTCAGAGTGTGCCCTTAAAAATCCCCCATGCGAAAGAATACGACCAAATAAATATAAATATCTATATACTAGGACCAGAGAGAGCCAGAGAGAGCCAAAGAGAACCAGAGAGAGCCAAAGAGAACCAGAGAGAGCCAAAGAGAACCAGAGAGAGCCAAAGAGAACCAGAGAGAACCAGAGAGAACCAGAGAGAACCAAAGAGAACTAAAAGTATCCAAAGAGAACCAAAAGTATCCAAAGAAAGCCGTCAAGTAGAATAGAACCAGTCTTGAAATACCATAAGCCTTGTATTGTGAACCACCCTGATTCAGAACATGTTACCATCCGTTATGTGCAGACAAGACAAATATACTTACATGATCACCAGTCTTCTAGTAGCGTCTATTGTTTTTGAGAGAAAAAAAAAAGATGAAGAAAAAGATGAAGAAAGGACGTGAGATAAAGAGAGAAATCTTCTACCTTTTATACCTTGATTACAGTAGCAACAATTTAAGGAGACACGCAAAAAACACTTCAAACGCAATTCTGAACGCTACTGGCATCCAGAGACAATGCAACTAATACCATTGGAATCGCCTTCAACTGCCCTACAATATGATATGCATTATTACTACTGTATACACACAAGATATGATATAAACTCATATGGTTTATTTCGTTTATTGATTAAACACAGTCAGCTTGTTTACATTTACATCTTGTATTCGGTTGATAACGGAAAGTGAACAATTTGATTCGCTTTGGATTTGAAAAGTTCGAGCAAAATGTAAACAATAACGGGTTCTTTATCAGTATAGTTTTGCAGTGATTGCAGTATATAAATTACATGTATTCACTATTTTATATGTACAAGCAGAGCTGTCAAAGTTCTGGTGCTACTGTCACCAACAGGATATGCTCTTACTTCTTTGAAAAGAATGTAGGCAAGTTGCACGGAAAACAAACAAATAAAAAGTCATCGTTCAATTAGAGTGAGCATATTGGTAGTAGTGCAAGCAAACCCATTTGAAGCTATATTTTACATGTGTATTCAAGTAAAGGCAATCTTGATCCGCTGCTTTTGGGCCTGTAGAACACTTGGGTGACATGACGCCGCCTCAAAATACAGTATTTGCATGATTTTTTAAAAAGTGTGTATGTATAAACCAGTTGTCTGTCTTCGTTAGTGCTCAGTAGAAACCTCACATGTATTTCATAATTAGTATTGCCATCTATTTGCTAAAAATTCCTAGTAACAGGAGATGTGATGGCCCTTACACTTTAATAAAATGGACATTTGGCATTAGGTTCCCAAGCGTATATGGTATTATAGCATTGCCTTAGTGGCTGCTATAGTATAGCCTAGTAGTGGTATCTCAGTGTACAGTACATCAAACTTCAAGTGCCATTTGCAATTTTGAATAGCAAGAAAGTTTGCGTTTCATATTAGGCCATTTATTTGAATATGTAATAAACAATGATTAATCCGAGTGTCAGAAACAAAATGTGCTTCAGAATCAGGCAAAAGTAGAGAGAATAAGCTACTATAATACTTTTTCAAATTGCAATCCTCTTTATATTAGCTTCAAGATCGTAGATTACATTGATATCAGAAGCACTCAAAATCAATTGAATTCTCGCTTAACGTCTATTCCAGATTGGACAGATCTTGATCTAAAAACGACTAGATTCATCTATTTTGCAGAATTGGACTATATTAGATGCGATGATCATCTTATACTTTCTAATGCATTTCTGGAGTGCTTTTCAAGGCGCATCGAATGATGGTGCTTATGGCAGATGTTTATAATAAACGCATCGAGCAATATCAAAAAATATGAAATGAGGTTTCTAGCAAAAATGTCAAAAACTTACATATAAAAGATACACAAACGACGTTTCAAGGGTTGCTTTGGATCGATAGCAACATTTTGATGTAATACATACCATAGTAAAAAGTCATCATCTTCAAGGTAAAAAAAAAAATGCGATTGTTTGATTTTCGATGAAAACCATGAGGGATACCTCATGCTTTTTGGTCAATTTTTGGCCATATTTTTTTGGTCCCCAAAAAGTTGAGCAAGGGTGGCAGGAAGTTAGTGCTAGATGAAAGCAATGGTTTAATACTATTCCTGACAATCTAAAACGGCCTTGAACGAGAGAAAACACAGCTCTAAAGCACCCACATTTTGCTGTATAAGGGACACTAAGGACTAAAAGGGGGAAATATAAGTATGCCGCTTGCCCGTATATGAAGTGGCTACGTGTATATGGATGTAGAGGTATTTATACACTATATTTGTATAATCACTTTTGAGAGTAACCGAAAAATTAGATGGCCAGTATGTTGCAGCCTTTAAGGTGCTGTCTTTATTAACATGCAATCAATTTTAGGCTGGTAGAGGTGCTAAGGTTATCAAGTTATTTTCATGTAGACAAGTCTTTGCGTAAGTATGGGAGGAGGGGTATATGTGTTTCATAGTAGAGGGGTTTTCATTTGATATTATTCATTTGCTGATGGTCAATAAGCTGCAATTATATAATGATAAGGGTTGGGTGTTGGGGGATGTGAGATGGTATGAAATAGGTTTAGAGGTACAAAATGAGGAGCTCCTAAATTCAGTTGATGGTTTGCTACGACTTTTATTCATCTGAATCTGTGTCGCCTTCAGTATGCCGAGAGAAAAGGAAAGAATCGCATCCGCATCGATATTTTTTTCACTTTAATCCATCTAGGATCCCATCTCATCCAATACTCTTGCAAATGGTGCCTTGACTGATATGCAGGATTGATAATTTCAAATTGTTTCTCTGGTTTCTCCTTCTATCTATTCACTCTCTACTACCATTTTGGTTCATCTCTAACGCCCATATCTTTGATTTTTTTTAGCTAATTTTTTATTGATTTATTATGCAGCTCTCAAATGAATCATATGCAGGCCAAGATCTCTGCTTTTTGCGCAACTCATACATTTGTCTTGACATACAGTATCACAGAAAATTGCGCCCGCCGCTTGGTTATAGTCCTTCTACTATAGTCTATGGGGAGCAAGTAATAAAAACCTTCAAACTAATATTGTGCTCTTCTTGAGAGTGCTGGATGCTCTAAATACCTTATAGACCAGGTGTACAATTTGAAATGAACTGTAGTTTAACTCAAACACTTTGTTGTTGGGCATCTTATATCATCCATACATCGCTCCAATCGCTGCAAAGTGCCCATACAGATGCGAAATGCCAGATGTTGCCCTATTCAAAATTGTATAATTAACGTTAGTCATAAATTGTAGAACATGACATATTTTATGTGAATTGAATATTGCAAATCAGAATCAGATAGATAAAATGATGGTAGTATGAAAAATACAATTTTACTTTATTTCTCACTCGTTGTTGTTAGTGTAAGGACAGAGACTAACGAGCAGTTGGATAGCAATGGATCTCAAATGATGAATACCCACTGTTTTTGGGTACCTGTAAGCAATACAGTAAATGTCATTTTGTCTCTTTTGATAGTGAACTTTGGTTTCCAGCTGACACTCTCTGTTTTATATGCTTGATGGATGTATCACTCAAGTTGGTAGGTAGTGAAAATGCAGCCGGTAAAAGGCTTCCGGTGGCACCAAGGCCTTGTATGATCAGCGCCAGCTTGTCGTGGTTGTAAGTCGCTAGCAATGCTTGGTATGTCTTGTCAGTAATGCTGATGAGCTCCTTTTGGGCAATGATCTCATGAATACCACCGTCTTCTAGTGAGATTAAAGATTGGCGCTGGGTCGTGTTGTACTTGTCTAGCTGCGTCACTCGATGGATGATTTGTAATTGGGCATCTACAAATGCGTCTACAAAGCCCTCTACATAGGCCAATTCATCATTCTAAGGCAGTTGTATCAGCACATATGGCTAATTAATATACGGCATCTTACAGTGTAGAGATCATTGTGCATTTTGAGGTTCTCTATGGTTAAATTGTTTATTGGTTCCGAATGTATGTAAGCAGGGCAAGAATAGCATCTTGGTCTTGGTGTTGGATGAATGATTTGCATATAAAAATATTATAAAATAAAAAGGACAAGAGACGAGGTAAATGTGTACATGTATGTATCTATTTGTGTAAATTAGAGATTCAAGATGTGATCAAATCGAGGAGAGAAACATGGTATTTAGTAAATGACTTCCATGTCTGCTGTGCCCGCCCGATTAGCTTCTTCTTGCATGCGTTTCTTCTTTCGATCAGCTTCTAATCTTGCTAAATCAGCCTTTCTCGCCGAATATCTCGTCAATAGATATCCCAGGCTAGCGATGGTGAGACCTGCCAACAAGACACCAGCTAAACAAACAGCAATTAGCTCTGACATCCAGCTCTTTTATGACACACACACACACAACATAACACTTACTCATGCCCTTCCATATCGTCTCCCACCTGACAGCTTCAATTTCCGTGCGAATATCACCGAGTCTAATCGTAAACTTATTATTAATCTCCTGAATCTTCATGTCCATCGCTTTTTGATCTTCTCGTGTTTCATTCTTTCGATTGTTCATATCCATTTGAATTTCGTTCTTCATGTCTGCCACACCCTCACTCAATCGTTGCTCTAAACTGTCCACTTCTCTTGTAATCAGCGATAGATCTGTTTGGAGCATTTGCATGTCATTTCTTCGCATGACTTGTACTTCTGTTCTCAGTTCAGATAGGGCTGCTTTGAATAAATACGACTCCTAAATCAATACAAATCAGTCAGTCAAATTGGCCCCTTTTTTCCTTGCGCAATACATGAACATACATTTTCCAAATCAGACGTAAGTAATAATTGCTGTTTGACGGATGCAGTGCTATTCAATTTCATTGTGTCAGTCATGAGCCAGCCCTCAACGTACATGTAGCCTAGTACCACTCTCTTAGACGGAATTTCATGCCTTTCATAATCACCTCTGCTTGTCGTCTGGTGAATCCCTGGCTTTCCAAATGTGTCAATACCTCGTATGTGTCGAAATGATGGCTTCTCTTGAAACTATTGGGATCTTTGACAGACAGTGTGTCTTCTGCTACAGCATCCAACGTAGATGACATGGTGTTGCTGTTGCTATTATCATTGTTGGACACATTGTCTTGCACATCATGAATAGGCCTTGTGGGTTGAGGAGGTGGAAATGGTTTGGAAGCGTCATGGATACCGCTTCTTCTCGGTAGCTGTTTCAAATATGATGGTTTGAAAGGCTTGTGTCTAAACAGCCGTGAAATATAAATTGACATGCTGTTTTTTTTTTTTGAAAGAGAAAAAGGGTATAATAGAGTGTTGCAATCCAAGTGAAAAAAGGCTGTTTCTTTACAGGGACTTGAGGATTAAATAAACTCTTCGGACTATTATTCACGAGTCGGTGGTTACCACACTACGCTTCAATATTTGATCTATCGGGGATGGCACTCACAGAAAATCACTGATTTCTAATCTTGAAGCACACTTCTACTTACAAAACCCATCTTGATACACTATGAAACAAGGCGTATTTATTATTATTATATATATATATATATATATAGTACAAATTAGTTGGGACGATTGGTGCTCGTGCGTAGTTCATACAAGCTTTCATCTGATATCGAGCCATGATCAGACAAAGTACGGTGTAGATTTGCTTTGGTGGCACTCGTGTGTTGAATCTTGATAGATGATATTGAAGTAGCGTCATCTTCTTCGCTGCCATGATCATGAAAGAACGATGAATCATCTGTAGCGTTGTATTCTCCATCAGAAATCAGCATATCATCTGGTAATGCTTCTTCATCCAGATCCAGTTGAATAGGTCTGACTGTCTTGTGCTTGACAATGGTATCTACAACCCAGAATTGCACAATATTCATTACCAAAGGAAATCTAAGTATACACTGAGATGGTTAATCCTACCGGTTTCCTATTCAAAGCACTCGATACTTACACTAGCATGACAAACAGCACTTGAAGTCTATAGTTTCCCATGGTCCATCCCAACACCCACTCACCAACTGTCTCTAGCCATGGGCATAGCCCAAACAGAATGACAACCACCACCTTCATGGCCACCAGTGCCAAGACATACACGCCAAGTTGCTTGGCCCACACTTTGATTTGATTCACTAAAGGTGGTTCTCCATAGACACCACTCTGGAATCCCTTGAGTCTATAGAATCTTGCAAAGAACTTTACTGCTGATAACACGCCCCAGATGACCAGCACACCCAACGTTGTGTCCACCAAGATGTTCAAAAAATACCTATACAACCAAGCCGGGCAAACAGGAGATGAATGCATTGAAAAGAAGCATGAGAGTGGATAGGCTAATCGTTTTTACCATACACAAGGATTTGATTCTGGCTCTCCATCTAGACTCTTTCCAAACAAATGTGATGCCACCAAGTTGAGTGTATGAATGACACCGCCACCTATAATCTGCTTGCTGACATCAAACGACCTAAGATGCAATGTTGAATACCTCGAGCGCCCTCATATGCATATATACAGCTTACCATGTTTGCAATGGTCTTTGCGGTGACTCTCTTTGACGTTTGATGATGAGTGTTGAAAAGGCCAACGTTGCTAGCACAAGCTGAACAAATATTGCAAAAGAGTCTAGTAATTTACAACCAGATTCATCTGGATTTTGCTCATCATAGGAATTCATTTGTATGTAAAGAGAAGCGACAGAGAGAGAGAGAGAGAGAGAGAAGGAAAAATGGAAAATGTCGAGTTTATCATGACTCTCTTTTTTTATTATTATGAAAGTAGTACTCTACCAGTGGCATGCCAATAGCTGAGTATTCCCTAGGATTCTATTTTGTATGTGTGTTGGCATCAGATTCCAGTCTTGCAGTCGCTTTATGTCTTGCTGGTCCAGCGCTGGGATGAGGTTCAGTCTGAGCTGCTGTTCGTTCTCCAGGGATCTCCGTATTTCAACACCTGTGATATCGATCAATGTGGCTGGTATGAATTGCTGTGCAGAGCAAAACTGAAAGGCCAACACTCGTTTTTTGGTCGCTACATAGAGGTACCTGCCGTCTTTGGACCATTCAATGCCATTGATCTTGGCCAGGATACGTAGTCGTGAGTTGATCTCGCCTCGAAAGCTGACCATGGTGATTTCGTGCTGGACTTTGAGATGCTGTGTGTGAAATACGGCATGATTGGAATCTGCGTCTCCGCAGGAATCCACGAATTGATGTCCTCTGGAAGCATGTGTTTGGTGGTCAAAAGACAGCACATTAATATAGTCATTGTCTTCTGATGTTGTTGCTGCTGTTGTGCCTTTAGCAAAGTCGACAGTATGAAAGTAGCCATACCTGTTGGTAAAAACCAAAATAGTGTCCAGCTGAGGATGGAACGAGATAGCGTATGTGTAACCTGCTGCATCAATTGCGTACAGAATTTCTCTTGTTGCAACTCGCCAAATCAAAACCAGGTTGTGTGAATCTGAAGTGTGTGCAAAATACCGAGACGAAGGGCTCCAAGCCACGTATTGGGATGAATAGGGTGCTGTAGCCAGCAGAGCGGAGGGTATTACCATCTGGCATGGTGATCCAAAGGTAATGTCGCCAGTGGTCGCACAGTGATATACATCGATCAGAAATACCACACTGTCATCTCCCACACACACCAGTTTGCTTTCGTCCGGGCTCAGTTTGGCATCATTGATTGGCACACCGTTGAATGCTCTGAGATGGCTGTGCAGTTGAACCACCATGGGCGATGCGTGCTGTCTGAGCGTACGAATGTCTCGACATTGGCTGTGTGCCGGAAGCTGGTAAAACAAGAGGCCTGCCTCGTTCATACAGCCTATCAGCATGTGCTGGTAGCTGCCAGTAACTGGGCTCTTGAATCGAATGATCTGTATCGCATTGGTCATGAGCATCACATTGTCTCTTCCTTTGAACTTTGTGCCCCAGATCTTGACAGGGTTCTCTGGATTCATACAACAATACAGCTCGAATTCCCCTTCCACGCCACCAATGGCCATGTAACCATACTTGTGGGCCAGACATTGCGGATCAAAGCCAAGGTAGAGATAAGCGTCCTCGGGTAGACTGCCTGGATAATCGCTCCTTTTCAGGTATTTGGTGTACGGTTTAAATTTGGAAATCAAGCTTTCAGAAGAAAATGGGTGCGATGTTTGATCTGCGGATGCTTCCTGTTGCTGCATGTCGATCTGCTGTTGCTGCTGCTGCTGTTGGCTCGATTTTGATAGAGACACAGATTGATGTGTGTCCATGAATTTATCGCTGCTATGAGACGCAGTGCTGCTTGCTGGTAGATGCTGATTACTGCTCTCTATGAGTGTAGTGTGGTTTCGATCATGCATGGCATTAACTTTAGCCGATGTGCGCATAGTGGAAGGCGGTTTGCCACATTCGACAATTCTATCCCGATACACCGCATACAGAAATTCTGATAATCCGTAATTTGACTCGACAAGACATATTGCATTCGCAGATTGATCGTGGTTGGAGGAAGAACAAGAAAAAGGCAGCTGCTTGGGCCACCCCTTTTGTTTGTTCCAGAAGCTACTTTTGTCTCTGTTGTCTCGCTTTAGCTGTCTCTGCTTCTTCTTGATGAATCTCGTCAGTTGCATGTCATTCGATTCCCAAGTAAAGTCGTTGTAAGGATCGTCATCCCACATATCAAATCTCGGTGTACTTGTGTCTGATTCTGTGTCCGAGAGCTCAGAGGCAGCATCACCGTTATGATGTCTGTAATTGGCATAGCGAGGTCCAGGAAACTCATAGTCAAGCGAGTAGTCTGATTCGTTGTCTTCATCATCCTCGTCGCTGTTGTCATCGCTTTGCTGGAACGGATTGTCATTCTCGAAATCGATAATGGTGTCCCAAGTTTCGTCTTGATTGTGATTGTTGAATGCAGACATTTGAAAAAAAAAAAAAAAAAAAAAAAAAAAAAAAAAAAAAAAAAAAAAAAAGATAGAAATTGAGAGTTCAAGAAAAAGAAAGAAAGAGAGAAAAACAAAAGAAAAAAAGAGAGTTGTGTACATTTATATTTTAGAAGGAGAAAAAAAAATAAGAAGCAACATGTCGTCTTATTGTTTCCAACACATCCCATAAAAAGAATCAAAACCGAAGGTGTTTTTGATTTCATGTTGAGAAAACCATACCGAAATTCAGATGCTTTTCTTCCTCCCCCCCCCCCCCCTCAAAGAAGAAGAAGAGGAAGAAGAAGAGACAAGGCGTGCCCCTCTTTTCTTACATGTACAATATCACATATGTTGATGTCCTGCCGACTTGATCTTGCTTCTGCTTTTAATTAATGTGTTTCTATTTTTTTTTTTTTTTTGCAACCCCTTTATTACGATGATCAGTAAACATAATCCCTTAACCTTAATCCAAGGCTTGTTTAGGTAATTTGCTTCCAGTTTGCTGGTAATCTCTGCGCATTAGTCATAAAAAATGAACGTGTGTATATTGTACGAGCTGCGAATGGTGCCTGGACATGAGATCCAAGCCAAGCTTTTCTCATTAAATCACACTTAAAATGGTCAATTGCCCCGAGAGTTTTATCAGATTGGCATATTCAAGCTGATCCGCCACATTGACATGATTTGCTTGATCACAGTCTCAATCTTGTACTGCTTTTCCAACAGTTTTTTTTTTTCTAGAGGGAAAAAAAATCTGAAGCATATCATTGCTTCCATATCATCCTCATTATTAGAAAATGATTTCAGCTATTCAATGGATTCGCAAGGGCGCTGCTGCTCAACATCCTAAAAAGTACGACCTCAATGACGAGGAGTACTCGAGAATCAGTCAACTAGCTGCTGATCAATTGGAGGATGCCAAAAAAGATTTGAAGGAAGCCGAAGCCATGGCTGTTGAGTAAGTATAATGCCTGAAATCAACCATGTAAAATGCGTATTCACCTGGCATCTAGCTCCTCCAACAAGACTGAAAATGACCAAGCTGATGAAATGGCTCAATACAACCTGGATAACTACGATGCTGAAGTAGAGGCTTCTAGCAAGAGTAAGTTGAGTTGATCTGGACATGTTTCAAAACATGCTAATAAGCTATGGATATATAGAGGTTGGCATTTTCTCCAACATCAAGGATCTGGCTTATTATGAAAATGATGAGGAGGATCCCTATGTTACTTTGAAGCAAAATGTGGATGAAGAAGAAGAAAAGAAAGAGCTCGAAGTGTTACCCACTGACAACATGTTGTTGGCAGCCAAGACTGAAGACGACATTTCTCAGTTGGAAATCCATGTATACGAAGAAAACCAAGACAACATCTACGTTCACCACGACATTATGCTGCCCTCCTTCCCTCTTTGTCTCGAATGGTTAGATTACCACACTGCAGCCAACAAGGTAGCTGATCAGACAACCTCTGGCAACTATGTTGCTATTGGTACATTTGAACCTGACATCGAGATCTGGGATCTGGACACCATCGACATTATGTTCCCCGAGACTATTTTGGGCCACACTGACAAATCCAAAAAAAGATCAAAGAAGGTCAACAGCAACTACCACGTCGATGCTATTATGGATCTGGCTTGGAACAAGAATCACAGGAATTTCTTGTTATCATCATCTGCAGACGGCACTGTCAAATTATGGGATTTAACCACCTCCAAATGCGTTCAGTCCTACAGCCATCATACAGATAAGGTTCAATCTGTTGCATGGCACCCTACTGAGCCCACTGTCTTCCTCTCTGGTTCCTACGATAAGACGGTGTGTGTGCTGGATGCTAGATCTCCCAACGAAGTGACTCGTTGGAAGCTTACCAGTGATGTTGAATCTCTTCGTTGGGATCCCCACAACCCATCCAATTTCTATGTCGCTTTGGAGAACGGTATGATTCAATATTACGATGTGCGTCAAGCTCAAAATGGTGTGGGTGCCAAGGCTATCTTCACTCTTCAAGCACACGATGATGCCGTTAGTGCCCTCGATGTCAATCCCCTTGTGCCTGGTTGTATCGCCACTGGTAGTACCGACAAATCCATCAAGATCTGGAATACCACCGACAACAAGCCCAGTATGGTGACAAGCCGTAACTTTGAGCTTGGTAGAATCTTTTCCACACAATTCTGTCCTGATTCTCCTTTCCAACTCGCTATTGCTGGTTCCAATGGTAAAATGCACGTTTGGGATATGGCCTCTAACGCAGGTGTGCGTCAAGCTTTCCGTCATCAATCTCTTGCTAGTGTCGCTCCTTTAGAAGAAAAGAAGCCTATCACTACCATTGATGATGCTGAGGATGATGACGATATGGAGGATGATGAGCCATTGAATGCTCAAGATGAGGATGATATGGAAGAGGATAGCGAGTAGACATTGTACATTTAATAAAAAACAAGCATATTTTAGAAACTGTATTTTGGATACTCCTTGCTAATGGGCATTTAAGCAGTTGCTTCTGAGATGATGAGTAGTCATCTGATACCTGGTAGATCTCGGATGGATCAACTAAATTAGTTGATTCTTCATCCATCATGTATGCACATGTCGCTTTTACTATCTGCTTTTTTTCTCCCTTTCTGCTTTAATGAACATCGTTAGGGTCTGTAGATCAGCTCCACATCTCCCTTGATTTCTATTTAGCTTAGGTTGGCTGCTCTTCCTTCAAATACCTTACGGCCAAAGTACCTTCGACGCAATGGCTCTCTGTCTCTATCTGTTTATCTGTACAATGGCGTTTCTCGGTACATTGTTCTGCTCCTTTGCTGACAGTCTTGAATAAATATTCAAGGTTCAAGCTTCAGCCGGATAAACACTTTGAGAATAACCGAAAAATTAAATGGCCAGTGTGTTGCAGCCTTTAAAAATGGTGTTGTTATATATACAAGCAATTTTAGACACATAGAACTGCTAGAGATATCAAACTGTTTTTATAAAGACAAGTTTTTGCATAAACACGAGAGGGTGGAGGGGGTGGGGGAGCGTTTGATAGCAAAGGGGTATTCATTTAATATTCCTTATTTGTCGATGGTATGAGATAGGTTCAGAAGTGAATGATGAGGCGCTCCAAAGCTCAAATGACGATTTGATATGTCATTTACTCATCTAAATTTACCTCGTCTTCAGTGCTGGTATCCTGTTCAGTGTTAGTGCCGTCAAGTGTATCATTTTCACTATACAAAATCACTGGTAAGATGTACTCATCAATGCTGAATGCTTTGACACTTGACGTTTTCTTTTGCCGCCTTTGATATTGGCCATGGAGCTGGTAGGAACACAGCTGTATTCAGCTAGTAGAAGTATCTTGCATCAATAAAGAAAAGTTTGATAAGAGCTTTTAAAGATCACCAGTAAGAGACCAACCTTAGCATGGGCATTGAGTAGAGTGTTCTTCGTAGTAGCTTTTGGTGGAAGAGCATATATCAGACTCTTGAACCTTTTCAGGGATGGAATGCTACAAGTTTACCTTATTTTACGAACTCAACCCTACCAGGATATAAATTAGCCATCTCGTAGTATTACTCATCTCTCACTGCTTGGATGTATTATACAGTGTATAACACATTAGCCGATTTATCTCGCTACGCTTGATGACGACATCACCCTGCAGGCTCTCGTAAAAGACATTCCATATCAGAGATAACCAAAATCTGGCATATTATGTAGATTTTAAACAACCAATTAATAGCAAAAAAGGCTATATCAAAGTCAAGTGGGGGAAATATCCGTTCGCTAATGCTGTTCTTAAGATAGTGACATAAAGCTGGCCATGCGTAAATACAGGACTTATGTAAGGCTCAAGCGACCTTTTTGAGATAATATCATTGCAAAAGACACCTTTATAATAAAAGCTCCCAAGAAAAAGAAGGGGAAACCAAATTTGTTGCTTTAACACTCTTATGGTTTCACTTCTTTACTTTGCTACGGCAAAATCCCCATTAAGTTCACTTTCACTGTCACTAAGCATTGGATTAATTAACCGGATATCTTAAGAAAGTACCACAATATAATGCTAATCACTAAGTTGAAATAGCAAAGATTAATCAGTATCTGTCTTCAAAACATTTTGTTAAACATTACTAAACATTGTAGACCAAAACATTTCCTATCGAATGAGCCATGAATTAAAGCTCTAGCATGACTCTATCAGGAAATATTGACAATATTGTCCTGACCAAAAAAAAGATCACCTAATTTTTCCCTTGCTATCACAGGCAGATTTTGAAGAAAAATTGATGATTTTGCATGATACCCTTTTTTGGCCATATCTCAACAAATACTCATTGGATTTGCACAAACCAAAAACAATTCAATAGCTTTACGTTAAATCCACCATAATGTGAGGGTTTTAGGTACTATATGTAAGTTCCTTTCATAAATTTGTCCAAATGCTTATATTAGCTGCAAGCAGCAAGCACTTTTCCAAAACCTTTGATGTCCTTCTGTAAATACCATGCCATCGTATAGATAATTAGAAAAGAGACAAAAGATACTAATCTTTAGTCTTGGATTGCCTTAGTAAAATTCAGCGGTACGACCCTTTAAAATTTCTCCATTATTCCATTTTTTTTCCTCTTTATTTACTCATTGCTATCGCTTTCATTAAGCCCAAATAAAAAACACTCTATTCAAACAAAGCGTTCTCTTCAAGTTTTACTACACATAGGCTCCACCTTTATATAGTAACCCAAAAAGTTTTACAAGTAGCAAAATTTGTAACTTTCAAAAAATAAATATTTCTCATCATCAATGCATCCTTTCCAAAATCCAATTGCACAATCGTTTTCTAAGCAAAAAAACTACATTTGGAACATGCTACGTTCATAGCTCTAGCGTCAAAAGTTTGGCACAAACTGCAGAATGAAGACACATTTGCATTTAGGCCTTAATACACGGTAAAGCATAATAAACCATGATATCAAGCCATAGCCTAATGAAACAATAAAAATAAAGCATTTTTTGAAGTGGAAATTGGGTATTGGAAAGACAAAGACTTAGTTCGTAAGATAATTGACATTGCAAATCGTAGTATATAGAACTGGTAAAGATGTACACGAAGAATGTTGAAGAGTTTAGTGAGCCTTCCTTTATGCCAGCTTCTCAAAGCAATTGTAATTTGACGGAAGCAGAATTACAACCATCGTTGTACCACATCATTTCGATCAAAGCACAACAACTATATTACCAAAGCGATATCCTGAAATGACAATTTTATTATTAATAATTGTTTCAAAGAATTGCAAATGTAGCAATGCTATTGCTTATTTGGACATGCTTCGGATATAGTGAGCAATCATACACAAAGTGATATACCTGTCTCAAAATTTGAGCACCACCCAGTTTTTGATATCTACGGAAGTCCTCCGTGATATTGTAATGTACCCAGGCCCTTTTGTAATTCAAATTCCCTTGATAAAGAAAACGACAGGTCCATTTTAGTGTTGTCAACTTGCCCTGAGCGAGAATGCTACATTTCTTGCAAGGCATTTTTTTATTTTTGAATACAAGATTTGCTCTTGCGCAGATGCAAAGAGGCTAGGTCTGCGTGTTTTTAGTTGTAAATAGCACTAAGATCACAGACACAAATACAATCGTGCTTTCCGCACAAACTGAGATAAATGAGATGCTGCGAGAAGAGTGGGGTTATTGATACATGCTGGCTTTTCGCACGAGATGTGTCAGTCGATATATAATAATATAAAGTCTATGACATTTATTTCGTTCTAGGGCCGTATATTCAGGGGAAGGGGAGGAAGGCACACAACAATTTATAATAAGCTTCCGTTCCGAGATATATGAAGTGTTGATATTATGGAGCTCAAGCCTGACTTTTTTTTTTTTTTTTTTTTTTTTTTTTTTCACAGATTGGAAATATAAAGGGCCATTGCAAGCAGGTCTGTACTAGTACATTCAACGTATTTTTAGTGCTTTGCACGTCCTGTGTCACCCGTTTAACTTTTCCTTGTGTAATAGTTCATATAAATTATATAGTCTTCCCTTTCGTTTCCCCCCTTTCCTCTTGCTTTTTTGATTCTAGTAGCATCCTGTCTCTTTCTTCTTTTCACTTTTACATCTACTTTAGCTTGGAGCCTCTACCCATCCACCTTTCGTTGCAGTTTTCTTAAATTTTGCAAATCACAAAATCAATAAATACCATTGTCATTTACCATGACTTCAACTGCCGTGAGGTATACCATTATTTTATATCGTAGACAACAACGAAATTAAGCAACAACTCACATCATATACATTGTTATCTAGAGTGGGTCTTCGTGTCAGACCTCTGACCAAAAAAGAGGAGCTTACCAACTGCACCGAATGCATCACCTTTATCCCAAACGAGCCTCAAATTTTAGTGGGCACAGACAAATCATTTACATATGATTACGTTTTCAACACTGAATCTGAGCAAAAGCAGGTTTATGAAACATCAGCATCACCACTATTAGAAAAATTTATTGAGGGGTAAAATGACAAACAAACAATAACAACAACAAATCCACTCATTTCATATCATTAAATCCAGTTTCAATGCCACTATCCTTGCTTATGGGTAAAATGTGTTTAGCAGTAAGATTGAGGTTATCAGACTATTAACCTAGTGTCAACAGCCAAACTGGATCAGGCAAAACCTTTAGCATGGGCACAGGTCTCGAGAGCTCAGTGAATCCTGAGTACGAAGGTAAATTTTACAGTGAAGCTTGTTGATAACACACAGAAGCAGCTAAACTCGCTGCGTTTTTTTCCCATAATTTGTACAACTTGACAGGTATCGTACCACGTTGTATTGTTGACCTATTCCGAAACTTGGAAGAACGATCCGAGTCCAATAGCGACTTCAACTATGAAGTCTATGTGTCATTTCTCGAATTATATAACGAAGAATTGATTGATCTGCTGAGTCCACAGTTGCAGCAACAAGCAGCTACCAACAAACGAAGAAGCGGCGTGCCATTGCAGCCAGTCAATAACGCAGTCGAAGTGACCATTCGAGAGGACATTGCAGGCAACATTTACTGGAGTGGTGTCCGCGAAGAACGATGCTACAACCCTGAGGAATTACTGTCATTTCTCTCCAAGGGATCGCTTTGTCGTACCACAGGCTCTACAGAGATGAACACCGTATCCTCTCGTTCGCATGCTGTCTTTTCCGTCATATTAAAGCAACAAAAATCTGCAGAGGAGCCTTCCATCACTAGCAAATTCCATTTTGTCGATTTAGCTGGTTCAGAAAGAGTAAAGTATATTACACAGATTTATGTATCTAGTCAAATGTAATCAACGCAAACTAAACCATTTATGTTCCTCTAGTTGAAACGTACCAATGCACAAGGCGATAGAGCCAAAGAAGGCATTTCCATCAACTCGGGGCTATTGGCTCTAGGCAATGTCATTTCTGCTCTCGGTGATGAGGCTCGTCGCACATCGCATGTCCCCTACCGTGATAGTAAACTGACTCGTCTGTTGCAAGACTCTCTGGGTGGTAATAGTCAAACACTCATGCTAGCATGTGTCTCGCCATCCGACTCCAATTTCATGGAAACACTCAACACACTCAAATACGCCAACCGCGCTAGAAACATCAAGAACAGAGTAACCATCAACCAAGACTTTGCGGGTTCGTCTATCGAAGTCAACCAGCTGAGAGCACAACTTGCAAGACTTCGCATTGAACTGGCTTCTGTAAGAGCTGAAAATGCGGGTTCGGGTGATCATCGCACATCAAGCCGAGGTCCTTATCACCACTCTTATGGCGGCGTTGGGTCATCTAATCAACGTGATGATGAGGTGCGAGCACTTCGAGCTGAAGTATCTAGACTGCGAGACCGTATTCAAGACATGTCCACCAACTTGATTCAAGTGACAAGTGAGCGTGATACCATGGTCATGGAACGAGAGCTAGGCGAGTTCATGAACAACCCTGATTTCAACGATGAGGAACTACTGATGACAAGCCGTCGTAGCTCTTACATTGTGGATGGTGATACCAATGTTACATCTCATTCGGTCAAGACGCACCCGCTGGTAGCTCAGTATCAGAAGACCATTTCAGACCTCACCAATGAACTATCTGATACCCGTGACAGATTAGCCTTTCTTGAAAGCACTAAATCAGCTGGTGTGCATGCCATGGCTGCTGCTGCTACTACTACGCCCATGTCGTTTTCAGGCACAACTTTTCATAGGCCGGAACAAAGCTTTTCATCCAGCTCGCGTCGTCGCCACGGTGCTTCTTCTGGTAGCAATAGAGCTAGACGTGGTAGACGATCCAAAACCTCCTCTGCTAATTCAAGCACAGTGACCTCCAATGTTACCGTGCGCAAATCTGGCAAGCGTGCTGTCAGACATCATCCTGTCATGTCACAGAGCTCCAGCCTAAGAACATCTCGCAGCAACAAGAACAGAAAAAGCCGCCAACAACAGCATGGTGCTTCTGATGACGATGACTTTGACCAAGATGAAGGTTTCGTTAATGAAGATGGCTATGTCAATGAAGACGAAATCAAACAAAGCATTGCTAAAGCAAAAGCCGAGATCCAAAAGGGCATGGAAGTGCTCGACCTGATCAAGCCCATGGAAGAGGCTGCTCAATCTTGGGAAGACGAGTTGGAGGCCTTTGAGAAGGCTGAAAAGGAACTATATGAAAAGACCAGCCATATTGAAAGATCAGAGTCAGACGAAGGCAACTACACCTCTACATCCTCACCTGTTGATGATGGCCAGCGTCAAAGCAGCAATGACCTCGATTTGATGCTGGAGATTGAAGCGTTATCTGTGCCTACTTGGGATCACAAGTCGACTACTACCAACAAAATGGCCCGCCCGTTGGATGAAGAAGACAATCACTCTTTTGGCTCCTCTGCCACGTCCATGCACTCTTATGTCAAGAATGACGCTACTACAGACAAGCAGAATCCTCAAATGGTGCGCATGCTCCATCAGATCCAGTCTGATATCCGTGTCAAGGAGGAGCTTGTGTCTCATTTGGAGAAATCAGAGACCAAATACGCTTTTATGCGTCGCAAGTTTGACGACAAGATAGCTGAATTGCACGCTCAACTCGCTGAATTGCAAAAAGACAGAGACCAAGCACTTGCCAAGACCAAATCCACCTTTGCTGCTGCTCCCAACCGTGCTGACATGGCCATGCAACTGAAAGAGAAACAGCAGCTCATTGAAACGCGCCATGTGTATGAAAACAAGATGAAGCAGCTGGTGATTGAGATCCACGATCTAAAACGAAACTACTCCCGTACCATCATGAACATGCAATCCACACGTAACCAGCATGAGTCCTTGCTAAGATCACTGCGCGTCAATGTTGAGACACTCAAGGTGGAAAAGAAGCGTATGATTAAGCGTATGAAGCAAGAAACAGAACGTGTGCGTGAACAAATGGCTTTGCAAGAACGCAAGATCTCCAAGATGCAGCGCCAGTACACGGAGGCCAATCATGCTAGAACCAGGCTGGAACGTGAACACGAAGCCCAAAAGCTGACACTGAAGCGTCGTGAAAAGGAGATTGTCATCAACAATAGTCAGTTGAAGCAACTGACGGATATGCTCAAGAAGGCTGTGCGCGAAGGTGGCATGTTGGACGATCAACTGCTGAGCAAGGTGTCTCACATCATGGGTGGTAGTTTTGCTGCTGTCGTGCGTCGTGGTGGTATGCGCAACTTGCCTGGATTCCGTCAGATTCGCAAGAGAAAGAACCCCATTCCTGTCCATGTGCGTGTGGAGCGCAAGAAGCAACTGCTAGACAAGATGCTGTATCAGTTTATTCAAGGAAAGCAGGCCATTGTGGAGATGGAGCAAGTGCTGTTTAGAAGAGAAAGATTAGCCTCAGAGAAGCTGGAGCTGTTGGAGGAGCGCAAGAGCATTTATATGGCAGAAAAGGAGACGGCTGATCTGACAGGCGAGCCAATGGACATGCTAGCCATTGATCTGGCCGATGAGCGTATTGACTTGATTGAAGCAGAAATCTCGTATCTGTCTGCTCGTATCAGAGCGCTGCAATCTGAAGCTGCTGGTGAAGCCGACGATATGCTTGCACAGTCGCCTGATAGTGGCAGTGGTCGTCATCAAGAGAAGCGCAAAGTGACATTTGCAGACGAAATTGTCAGTGATCCAGCACCCAACGATGAATGGGCTGATATGGACGCTCTTGAAGAACAGTTCAACGTGCCATCCAACGCTGCTCCTGAACTGGTCTACGATGTTACCATCAAATTGCTCAAGACACTGGAGGCAGATGAATGTCGCAGCATCACAGAGGCTCTGGTGGACGATATCACCAACGCGCGTATGAGCGAATGCAATCGTCAAATGACTATGCAGAACCTGGAAAAGACGGTGCAAGATTTACGTCGCACACTGATTGTCATGAAACGTGCTGCTATTGCGACTACGGTAGAAAATGAGCGTAGAATCAGAAAGCTGGAAGAAAAGAACAATGGTGTCAGCAAGACAGGTGATAGCATTGACAACAAGATTGAAGACTACATTATGAACAGTGGCAACACCATCTTTGACAAGATCTATGAGGATGGCCTGCGAGGCATGATTGGTACACCTGAACCAGAGTACATCATGAACGAATCTCCAGATGAAGCGTCTGTATCCACTGCAAGCTACGAAAGAAGAAGCAGCACACAATCAGAAGGTTTGATGCCACCGCCTTCACCATTGACATTGCCAGCTTACACAGCATCCACTGCTACCAACAACCTCATGCTCTCCCCTACACGTCCGCCTACCAGTACTGGTGTGCGTGCTCCTGCTTCCCTCTCAGAGAAGGGCGGTGTTATGCGTGTCAACAATAGCAGCTACCCTACTCGTGATTTGACGCCCTCGCCAGATCGATTCTACAATATGATCCAAAAGCGCTTGTCATGGCAGCAACGTGTGGGTGGCTCTGAATCCCCCATCCCCATGACCATGGTGAATCCTGCGGAGTTCTCTCGTTATGCTAATGATCGCGAGTCTTCTACCTCCTCTATCCACAGTGGTCATTTGCGCCGAGCCTCACTTCAATCTGATTTCTCATCCTCACAAAACTCTTACAACAACACCAATGGCAGCAGTGGGCCACCCACTGTGTCATCTACACAGAGCTCTTTACGAAAGCGTGCTTTCTCTGTTCAACAGCCACCTGTACAAGCTCAACAATTGCAATATAAACAAGCGAGCAGGCGTGCTTCGTTGCGTGAACTCTCTCTCAAGGGCACCAATGGCTCTCCCATGACACATAGTAGTTCTAGTATCAACTACGTAAGCGATTATGATTACGAACCTACAGCGACCATGTCCTTCCAAAGATACCCTGGGCAACAACAACAACAACAGCAGCAGCAACAGCAGCAGCAAGTGCTTAAGCGTCCACCGCTTGTGAGTACATCTACGTTGGATAGCAGATCAACCACACCCAATGGCGGTAATGTGTTTGCTCGATTATCACAGACGCCCACACGTGCTTCTCAAGCCAAGATATCACATCGCCACAGTAGTAGTAGCATGGATGAATTGAGAATGCGATGGGAACTTGAGCGTACACCAAGTGCCATGAGTGGGTCCTATTTCGGTGATTAGAGACTTGATTTATACTTGTATTTTACTGCCATCTACTAAATTGTCTTTAATCTTTTTTTTATATATATATATATATATCCATATATTCCTTTATTACTATATCATACATCTATCTCTCTTCTTTTAATTAAATAAATCAACAAAACTGGGTCATCACAAGTAGGCCCTGTATATCAAACAACATGTACTACGCTTGTTCCTCCTCTTCTTCCTCGCTACTGTCATCTTGATCTTCTGATTTATCCATAAAATACACCTTGAGCAATCCATTGGAAGCAACGACAGACAAGATTCGTCTACGAGGCGCTCCATTGCATCCTAACTTGACCTGAATCATTCTGTCTAGTTGCTGAGAGCGCATGCTTGGCATGTCAGATGAACTGAGCTTGCTGTGAGAGAGTGTTTGGAAATTGGCATGTGTAAGTGAAATGGCTCGAAGTACTGTGGTTCCCTTGTCTATCTGTGTGAGCACGCCAATTTCCTTATCATCAAAGAATTCGAAATCTGTGATATCTCCATCCAAGTTGTAAGCAACATATTTCAGCAATGAATTGTCAAATTTTCTCTTGAGAATCATTACTACCGAGTGTGTTAATACAAATGACCAGCTGCTGTGCTATTTCATACATACACTGAGCTTCCGGCTTTGTCTGCAACATGGCGTAATAGATGATCTGGTGGCCATCTTCCATCTAGAGTACGCTTGATGAATAAAAGACTCACTTTATTGTCGCGTGGATACTTACAGCTGTATACGAGATTAACTTTTGTCGAGGCTGTGCCTGTATAGAGACGCCATTCAATCGCACTTTATTGGTTGACACGACCTGCATCTTTGTAGAAACAATCTCTGAAGGTCTCTTGAGCATCTCTGTGCAGATATCAGACAGTTGCGATAATAAGAATGTCAAATTCTTGGCTAAACACAGTAAAGTAAGTATACAAATACCGTACAAAATAAGCAGGCAGCCATACCCTCCTGACTAAAGTAGACATCTAGCGCATCGTCAACAAAGTTTTTTTCCAGAAAATCAGCTACTAGCTCAGGATCCTCGCATAGGATGGATTGGTGCTCAAATTCAACAGAATCAGGGTCGTATATCTTTTGAGATACTACCACAGGGCATAAGTCATACTGTACGCACCAGCCATTTTTTTTTTCTTATTTTTACCAATAGCAATCCATTTCGAAAATGCCTCAAAGCTCTTGATCAAGCTACCCAACGCTTTGGAGTAATCAAAAGTCTCAGAAACCAGTTTACGGGCTTTGTCAATGCAATTTTCCACTGCTTCAGATTTGAGAAAATCACCATAACGTTGTGTCCTATTGCCCTTTTGAGTAGAGTGTCGCCTATTCTAGCTCTCTTTTTGCTTACCATAGACTGTAACCTAACAACTTGCACAGTTGCATCTGTATTCTCTCGCATGCTGGTAAAATGTGCTCACAGATGATTACAAGGGAATTATGATAGCCGTGCTTTACGTTGGATTCCCATTGTTTGATACGCTGATAGCAGCAGCATGGATCAGCCCCATTTTCATTATTCCATACACCATGTGACATACCTGCGAAGTCAAGTATTCGGTGAAGAACTCTTGCAATGATTCTGTGACATTGCCCGTCGCTAGTGTGGCAAAGAGCTCTACCTCTGGCATGGCTGATGTGTCCTCTACTCAACGTATCAGCAACATGCATTTTCGCCAGCCATCTAATATACTCTACCATTGTGATTAGTAATGTAATTCGCTGCCTGCCTTACTATGGCCTTTGTGAACCCTGAATAAGCATCGTGATGTCGTTTTACTACATCCAATGTAGATTTGGTATATTGCAACAGATAGTTTAGCTGTGTCTGTACTTGAGAGATGCTGTGGATTTCTTCTTTGCGGTCATCTAGTATCTGGGTATCGAGTGTATATGACACAAATTCAGGTGAATTGGATCGAGGCTTTGTGATGATTTGCAGCGAGGCTATGTTTTGTGCTGCTGATATCTCCAGTGCATCCAGCTGAATCTTGACGTAGGGATCCACCAATGCTACTGAGCCGATAGGATAAATACCGTTTAATATGACCTGAATTTGCCCTTTGGCATCACCTGCAAAGAGCAATGATTGCGTCTCGCTCTGTTTCAGAGGCTTTACTGGTAGTCGTATCTTCTTGGGTTTTGACATTGGCATGCGGGATCTACTCTCAGTGAGATGACATGTAATTATTGCTGTTTTCAACTTACAATGGCTCTTCTGGAGGCTCTTCACTCAGTGTTGGCAGCGCTTCTTCCAAATCAAAGGCATTGATGTCAAAGCCGTCCTAATTTGACAGGGAACTCGAGTCAGTCATTCATGCATCAAGTGCAAATCTAGCACTTACGATATCCATCTGCTTCTTTTTGAATTCGTAATTGATCCACACAAGCGACAGAATAGGTAGGTTATCTGAATGGGTGGGTGTCCAACATGGTGTGATGACTGGTGTGTGATATGTAATATCCACCTTGTATACAGCCCCGTTCTCGCAACCCAACACAAACTCTTTTCCTAATGGATTTTGTCAGGACCACCATCAATGGCACGAAATCATCTCATTGACAACTCACCATTTGGCTTCCAAGTCACTACATTGATATTGCTCTCCACTTGATGCTGTATAGACCACACTCGAGTAACAGTGATCCCGCTTCTATAGAGCGATAGTGTGTTGGTGGGCGAAACGAGCAAGACGAGATCGGTTGTGGGACACCATGATATCAATTTCACATCATCCACTAATAGCTTCTCCTCGCTGAAAGAGAATGAAGCTCCTGCTTCCTCTTCTTCTTCAGTCATCATGTTCCAAATTGAGAGAGTATAGAGAAAGTGTCAACCAAGCAAAAGAAAAAAAAAGGAACAAGAGACTCATGCGGCATTGAAAACTTTTTTATAGACGCGAAGAGAGCACATTTCATTGTCTGATGCTGAAATGCTGGCAGAAGGAGATCATGACATTTTAATCAGTAATGTAGTAAAGAAAGAAAGAGAGAGAGAGAGACGGCATGCGGATTATTGTATATTATTATAGCTTTATATATTTCATCATGGCCACAAATTTGCTAATCATTTCATTCGTATACGGCAATTCACACTTGGCAGACTTGAAAAGCAACCATGAATAATAAGCCATACAGTAATGTATGAAATTCAATCAGTTTATACTTTGCAAATCAACTTTTCTTTTTTTATTTTTTATTTTTAATGTTGAAGAGGCATTTGACAATAATGATATAAAGACTACGAAAAAAAAAAGGGGGGGGGGGGAAGAAAAAGCTCGATACCAGATGAATCTTACAATAATTACTATTTCGAAGATGATAATATCACAGGGACTAATGTTTGCCAGCAATGGATTCTTGAGCATTGTGAGGCACCATGTAAAGAAAAAATGAAGCGAGAGAATAAATAACCAAAGGAAGAAGTGTAAAATGTTGATTGTAGAAATTAATTAGATTATCTATGCCTATACTTACATCGTATTGAATTGTTGCAAGTTCAGGCACCATTGCTGTGCCAGAAGGGCTACAAGTGTCTCTAAAGATTAAGGTATTCTTGATGGGTAGATATGTCTGAGTTGTGCAACAACATGGACAAGCTATGATAATTGAAGTGCATCTCAGCTATCTAGATGCTGAGATTTACCAGATGTGATAAGCGCTATACAAGATAAATTGTTACTTTGGCATCCAGAATTTAGTATAAATAGAACAACTCTTGCCTTCATTGATAAATCTTTAGTTTTTGCGTCTGATCTTATTCAAATAAGTGAGAAAAAGAGATATTTCAATCATTCTGAAGTCTGTAGTCAATTTAGTTGATGGCGGATCAGTTTAAGCAGTGTGACCATCACATTTAAGCCAGCAGCAATGGTTGTCAAACTTAGAACACTAGTATAAAGGTCTGTTTCACCATGTCCATCCAAGAGTCGCTTTGACAACAGGCAGTCTGAAGGGGCTCTAAAAACAAAGAATTACTTCTTCTACAACATCTGCCAGAGCTATGAAAAAAAAAAAAAAAAAAAAAAAAAAAAAAAAAAACTTTAATAAAACCTAAGCAACATCAATAACTGAAAGTTTTAAACAGATCACTACTAGTTGCATTTGAATATACATCATTATATACCATGCATCGTGGTTGACAGAGATATTTAGTTTTTTTTTTTATATTACTATTATTATTTACGAGTGTTTATGCTTTGGATGACTCTCTGCCTTCGCTTTGCTTTCGTGGTGAAAACAAACCTGCACGCGGCAGCTTGCACTGCCAATTGCCTGGGCGTATTATCAAAATACTGTTGCTTTCATTTTGACCCTCCAATCACACATGAAAACCTTTCGTATTATCTGTGGATCTGATTCTTATGTGATGCTATACATCCTATACATAGCTACTTCATATACGGACAAGTAGCTTACAGATATTATCTCTTTTTAGCCTTTAGTGTCCTTGGTATTGCAAAATACGAGCGCATTTGAGTTGTGTTTTCTCGCGTTCAAGGCCGTTTTAGGCCGTCAGAATAGTATCAAACCATTGCTTTCATCTAGCACTAACTTCCTGCCACCCTTGCTCAACTTTTTGGGGACCAAAAAGCATGAGGTATCCCTCATGGTTTTCATCGAAAATCAAACAATCGCATTTTTTTTTTTTTACCTTGAAGATGATGACTTTTTACTATGGTATGTATTACATCAAAATGTTGCTATCGATCCAAAGCAACCCTTGAAACGTCGTTTGTGTATCTTTTATATGTAAGTTTTTGACATTTTTGCTAGAAACCTCATTTCATATTTTTTGATATTGCTCGATGCGTTTATTATAAACATCTGCCATAAGCACCATCATTCGATGCGCCTTGAAAAGCACTCCAGAAATGCATTAGAAAGTATAAGATGATCATCGCATCTAATATAGTCCAATTCTGCAAAATAGATGAATCTAGTCGTTTTTAGATCAAGATCTGTCCAATCTGGAATAGACGTTAAGCGAGAATTCAATTGATTTTGAGTGCTTCTGATATCAATGTAATCTACGATCTTGAAGCTAATATAAAGAGGATTGCAATTTGAAAAAGTATTATAGTAGCTTATTCTCTCTACTTTTGCCTGATTCTGAAGCACATTTTGTTTCTGACACTCGGATTAATCATTGTTTATTACATATTCAAATAAATGGCCTAATATGAAACGCAAACTTTCTTGCTATTCAAAATTGCAAATGGCACTTGAGGTTTGATGTACTGTACATTGAGATACCACTACTAGGCTATACTATAGCAGCCACTAAGGCAATGCTATAATACCATATACGCTTGGGAACCTAATGCCAAATGTCCATTTTATTAAAGTGTAAGGGCCATCACATCTCCTGTTACTAGGAATTTTTAGCAAATAGATGGCAATACTAATTATGAAATACATGTGAGGTTTCTACTGAGCACTAACGAAGACAGACAACTGGTTTATACATACACACTTTTTAAAAAATCATGCAAATACTGTATTTTGAGGCGGCGTCATGTCACCCAAGTGTTCTACAGGCCCAAAAGCAGCGGATCAAGATTGCCTTTACTTGAATACACATGTAAAATATAGCTTCAAATGGGTTTGCTTGCACTACTACCAATATGCTCACTCTAATTGAACGATGACTTTTTATTTGTTTGTTTTCCGTGCAACTTGCCTACATTCTTTTCAAAGAAGTAAGAGCATATCCTGTTGGTGACAGTAGCACCAGAACTTTGACAGCTCTGCTTGTACATATAAAATAGTGAATACATGTAATTTATATACTGCAATCACTGCAAAACTATACTGATAAAGAACCCGTTATTGTTTACATTTTGCTCGAACTTTTCAAATCCAAAGCGAATCAAATTGTTCACTTTCCGTTATCAACCGAATACAAGATGTAAATGTAAACAAGCTGACTGTGTTTAATCAATAAACGAAATAAACCATATGAGTTTATATCATATCTTGTGTGTATACAGTAGTAATAATGCATATCATATTGTAGGGCAGTTGAAGGCGATTCCAATGGTATTAGTTGCATTGTCTCTGGATGCCAGTAGCGTTCAGAATTGCGTTTGAAGTGTTTTTTGCGTGTCTCCTTAAATTGTTGCTACTGTAATCAAGGTATAAAAGGTAGAAGATTTCTCTCTTTATCTCACGTCCTTTCTTCATCTTTTTCTTCATCTTTTTTTTTTCTCTCAAAAACAATAGACGCTACTAGAAGACTGGTGATCATGTAAGTATATTTGTCTTGTCTGCACATAACGGATGGTAACATGTTCTGAATCAGGGTGGTTCACAATACAAGGCTTATGGTATTTCAAGACTGGTTCTATTCTACTTGACGGCTTTCTTTGGATACTTTTGGTTCTCTTTGGATACTTTTAGTTCTCTTTGGTTCTCTCTGGTTCTCTCTGGTTCTCTCTGGTTCTCTCTGGTTCTCTTTGGCTCTCTCTGGTTCTCTTTGGCTCTCTCTGGTTCTCTTTGGCTCTCTCTGGTTCTCTTTGGCTCTCTCTGGCTCTCTCTGGTCCTAGTATATAGATATTTATATTTATTTGGTCGTATTCTTTCGCATGGGGGATTTTTAAGGGCACACTCTGAGGTTTTCAAGTCTTTGGTACTTTGTCTTTTGAGAGTTTCGTGTCTTTGGTGTGAGGGTTTCTCTAGTAAGTCTTCTGGAATAAGTCTTCTGTAGTAAGTCTTCTGTAATAAGTTTTCTGTAGTAAGTCTTCTGTAATAAGTCTTCTGTAGTAAGTCTTCTGTAATAAGTCTTCTGTAATAAGTCTTCTGTGTTGTCATGTGTTTCCCTTCCCCCATGCCTACTTTCACTTTTTGGGTTGAGATTGGTCTCCACCTTCTCGTGGTTCAACCTGTAAGCTTTTTGTAAAAGCAACCAAGAGAGACCATTATTTTTTACAATAAATAAAATGAAAAACTATACAATACACATTAAATGCGTGTGCCTGATATGAGTACACATTAAACATTGCTTATTTTATATCAATAAAATCTTGTATTTGCCCAGGAAATTATAAATGTCGATATGAGATGCAAAGGGTATAAGTTTACTGCTATGGAAATCAATAATTCGGATTGGATGTATTAGCTGCTTTTGATAAGCTCTTTGGATCCGAAGGAGGCAGCTTATCTTGCCATGCAGATATAAGTACATCAAAGCCTAAGCTCGCATATGTAGGTGTTGGGGACTATGCACGCTGTAGTTTTGCCTCATGTCAAACATGAGTCTTTGCGTCTATGTTGGCTGGGCTTGTTCTGGTACGCTGAATGATGCTACAGCCAAGGATGACCTGGCTAAATGGCTGTATCTTTGTATATTTCGTTGTCATATATTTCATTTCAACAAAATCCCGGTTACCATGGACAGATGGAGACGGCGAGCATATTGATATGTCAGACAATGATTACATGGCTCGCTTGACTCCATTTTACTTTGGATGGAAGTGGCCTTCAACGATCTGATACACACATTACCCTTTATTACTCGATTGTGCGCAAAACACAGCGTATTTTAGATGCATTTGAGCCGTGATTTCTTGTGTTAAAGGCCGTTTTAGGCCGTCAGAATAGTATCAAACCATTGCTTTCATCTAGCACTAACTTCCTGCCACCCTTGCTCAACTTTTTGGGGACCAAAAAAATATGGCCAAAAATTGACCAAAAAGCATGAGGTATCCCTCATGGTTTTCATCGAAAATCAAACAATCGCATTTTTTTTTTACCTTGAAGATGATGACTTTTTACTATGGTATGTATTACATCAAAATGTTGCTATCGATCCAAAGCAACCCTTGAAACGTCGTTTGTGTATCTTTTATATGTAAGTTTTTGACATTTTTGCTAGAAACCTCATTTCATATTTTATCAAATTGCTCAGCAATTTCAGTCAAAACACTTATCACAGTTAGCACCATTTGAAGCGCCTTGAAAAGTACTTCAAGAATGTATTAGGAAGCATAGGGTGATCATCATAGTTTATTTAGTCGAATATCACCAAACCGATTATAGAAGTCGAAAGAAAGACAAAATCTGTCCAATCTTGAACGAAAATCAAAAGCTGCGTTTGAATCAAGTTTGGCAGCGGCTTGCTGCTGGCTGACCTAAATGCCTTTTTGTTGATGACAATGATGATTGTGATGCTGAATAAATGGGAATCATGGAATTGAAAAGACAATTGCTTAGCGCAAATGCTTTTTTGGGGAGCTTTGCCTCATGAAAGTGTCTTTTGCATTGACAATATCTCTAAAAAGTCGCTGTAGATCTTACGTAAGTCCTGTATTTACACATAACCAGCTTTTATGTCGCCATCTCATTAAGAGCGTCAGCAGCAGCGAGCGATATGACAATTCTACTATCAGAAAATGGCGATTGTGATGTACAAATGCTGCATAAAATTTGAATTTTCTTTCACATTGTCCCAATAATAGACTTTGTTTGATATTAGTGTAAGCAAAAAGGATGCAGAGAGAAATACCTCTCCTTCTCCTGATGGCTCTGATATAACCTTTCTTTTACTAATTAATAATTGGCTGTTTAAAATCTACTTGATATACCAAAATGTCATAATACCTGATTTAAAAATGTCTATAGCGAGAGCCCACAGGGCTATGCGGACATCGAGGGTAGCGAGATAGATCGGCTAGTAGTGCGTATACAAGAAATTAAATTTTGGCTTGAAATGATAGGATTTTATCGCTATATATTCTTTACATGAAACCAAGTAATGAGGGTACGTTGGCGTGCATGCAATGGAGGGTGCAAATTGCACATGGTTGATAATGAGATACATCGACGATTAATTAGCTCACTGAAATCTAGCAGCACGAAAAACTACCAAAGCAAATACTTGTACTGTAGTGATAGAGCCTTTATGAAAGATTGACAAGGTTTAATCAAGCCTGGGAGCTGCGGGCAAGGATATGGTAACAACCACATAGGAAAAATGCATATAACAACTGTTTGAGTGCTAGCAAGTTTTGATGAAGCCTATGTATCAGTTAATAAAGGTCATCTTATGTGAGTATGTTAGCTCCTAATTGACCTTACCTTCATCTCAATCTTGTATCCAGAATATGTTGTTTCGTGGAGCAACTAGTCTTACTCACAAGTCATGATACAAAAGTTATCTACCCGCTAGCAGCTGTACAGCTACCATTGTTGATTAAAGAAAGAAAGAAAGAAAAAGACTGATTGAATGAACGTTCTTCCATTGTTCACTCATAAATTGCATACATTTACACAGGGTTGGATCTTTACATTTAATGAAATAATGCTATTTATTGACAGATGATAATAATAAGGTATGGTGCTTGAGGAAGTGTAATTGCAGTAATAAATAAATCAAGTAAAGATAACCATTGGAGTTACAGTTTCACGGATCAAAGAGCCCAGCATGTTTTCATCTTTGAGGTAGTCTGATGGGAATTGAACCAAATGACCACGCACTTTCGACAAGCGTTGACGAATATCACGGCCATGCATGTCAGGATCAGCCACATGGCCATGTGGGATCTTTGCAGGGTCAGGCAGAAATTTGCGATGCTGTTCAAAGGTATGCACTGTGTCATCAGGAACACAGCGGAAGAGATCTCGGTAAATCAACGTGTTGTTTTCAGCAGTGGCATTCCAGATAGCTTGGTGACAGTGAGGAGCAAGTGGATCCAACGCCTTTGCGTCCATACGAACAGCTCCAGTGCCATAATCACTTGCATCCACTGGTTTAGCACCAGATCTCTTTTCGTGCTCAAGTACCTTGTTAGGTCCAGCCTTCTCATAAGTACGAATTTCTTCTTCAGTAGCACGTTCGTTGGTATGATGGGTTTCAATAGGTTCATCTACATCCACATTGGGTGCACGCTGTGCCTCTCCCTTGATCAATTGCTCCCAGTTGTTAAAATCCAGCAGGCCTAAATGCTCCTTGAACAATTGCATACGCAAGGAATGAGCGAATTTAGCAGCCTTGTATTCTTTGCCATCCATGAATGAGGGTATCATATCTGTATCTTCAATCAGCATTGCAATTTCAGAATCACGATTTCCCAATTGAGAACGATCATTGATGTTGGCTATAGTCATATGTTAGAACAGCGAGATTACATTGAAGGAATTCGTTACTTGCCTGAGCCAATCAACACAATACGATCATCCACTATTAAAATCTTGTCATGAATATACACTAATTCACTGACATAGTGTTCACGATCATCATCATCCCAAATCGACTTTTCAGAAGGAGCAGGTGTGTCTGTTGGAGAAGGAGTAGTTGGAATGACAGCAGGCGAATGAGGAGAGGGATCCACATTGGATGAGGCAGCAGGAGAAGGGTCTACATAGGAAGAAGCAACAGGAGACATTTCAGGTTTGGGTGCAGCAGGAGAGGCTTCAGGCTTGGGCGAAGGAGTAGGGCTGGCACTGCTGTAAGCAGACTTCTTCTTAGGAGGTACCAGCTTGTCCCAATTACGCAAACTATACCAACCAATGTAATCTGATGGCTCGATGCCAGCTTCTCTCAGCTTTTCCATTATCGAGTTGCCGCCACGAGAGATGGTAATGTATTGGAAATGCATGACATTACGAGCAGCAGCAGCATCCTTTGTCGCTAAATCGCCCTCAAAAGCAGGAATAAGAGGAATGATAATGAACACCTTATAGTTTTCTCCTTTGGCATGAGCGCGTTTGATCCGTTCCACCAGGGCCTGAGCAATCTTGTTGCGAAGTAACTTGTCTTGTGTAGTGGTACTGACTGTTGAGTAAAAGAGCATGAGCAATCTACTATTACATCATGCCATTCACGAGAAACTTACTAAAGAATTGATTCTCAATGTATACAAAATGCTTTGATTTACTGATACACTCCATATAGGCGTTGTAGATGGAATGCTCACGTTCAATACCAGAACTCCATTGCGCAGAGCTTCTCAGCATCTGCACGCGGCAGGTGCCCTTGAACGCAGATTCATCGCGAGCAGCCACATATTCACCTTTGGGCATCAAAAAAGGGACAGTGGGACGATGCATGCCTTTACTCGCCTTGAGAAAATTCCATCTTTGGATGAAATGACGTGCCACATCACGCGCAATAGGGCCTACCATGCCTACTGTCATGTCGTGCCAAGGCATACGAGGAGTGACATTGCGATCCACCAAGGTCAAATCATATTGGGCAACTATAAAAGCATAGGTTAGCCATGTATATCGGCAAAAGCGTAGATGTTGGTATATACCACTGAGGAAATCCTTGACTCGAGGGTTGGAGTAATCCTGACCAGGAAAAACTTCATCTGTATGACCCTCAGCCGGGTAATCGGTTAATCGATGTGATTGAGAATCATAGCGACTAAATTCCTATTAGCTTCCCTTTCGCAAATAGCTGTATATCAAACAACTTACCCCCAGCACAGATCAAGCCCACCCAAAAATGCCAAACGATTATCCACAACCACAATTTTCTACACCCTTGGTGAATACACTCATATAAATAGCACTTTTACAGGCAGTAGTTACCTCATGGTGCGACCAGAATAGCACATTATTGTCAATAGAGCGATGATCAGGATGTCGTACAACTAGTAGAGTGCAAATAATTAGTATACTAATGACAGGTGGTAAAGCATCTGGCGACCACACTCACCAATGATATTCTTATGTAGCCCCTGTAACCAAAGTTTTGTGTGCGCAGAGTTGATGGTCAAAGCAACAGCCATTTCCTTGTAGACAACAATGTAAATCTTGACACCCTCCTCTGCTTTGCGTTTCAGCAGTCGATCCAGTCTAAACTCTTGGTTCTTCTCAGGCGGTCTTCTCAGGTACAGTTCCGGCGACAGCCACCAATCAGCAATGTAGATTTCTGATTTAGCAGACAAGATAGCCTCACCCACAGCATTAAAGTGATCTTCACCATCCACAAACCAACGAATTTTAGAGTTGTGTCTGATGGGAGCAAACGATCCAAATCTGTGGTTCTTGACCCAAGGACTGTCATTCAATACACGCTGGATACTCTCCATCCATTCTTCAATCTCACGTCGTCCGCCCTTGATCTCAATGCGTCTAAACTGATTCTCCATGGTGATGTGATTATGGTACTTGCCCAAAATACCAGGCTTCTTGTTTTGCACAATCAGGGATTTATCAAACAGGAACACATCATTGATACGAGTCGACGCAACTTCCGAGATGAAGGCGACATAGGAATCTCTCAAAATGACCCACTGCTTGTTCCATAAATGCGGTTTGACGATATGACATAACCTGGGTATCACAAAATTGACTTTGTTTTCCAGAAACCCCTCTTTGCCTTTCCAGCCCATGTCCTCTACAATGCTCACAGCTGAAATTTCCAGAAATTCGCAAATGTCGTAATTGGCCATCATGTGAGCTCGAATTAACAATTGCTGCAGATACTTTGTCAGCGCCTTTCGTCGTTTGAGTGCAATCATGTACTTTTCGCCTTCAAATGTCTCGTCATGATCTGTTACTATGGTACCCTTGGCTGAGTTGAGCCACGATTGCAGTTGACTGGGAAAGCTGGGTGGACTGGGCACAGCGTCGCTGAGGCTCGATTTAAACTTGAGTGTGTAATGCAAACTGACAAACTCGGCTATGGTTCTTCTGATCACCCATTTGATGTCGCCATATTGCAGCTCAATTCTAAACACCCATTGATTGATGCCTTGAGTTAATAATTCAGAGTCTGTGATGGCCACCTGTACAAAAAGAGGCAAGCCGTTGAATGACAACGTGGATTGACGTATAGTGTTCCTTAAATAGACTTACTTTCAAAAAGGGAAGTAAAACAGGTGGCTACAATATATATGAAAACGTGAATACTACATTTGAATTTGCGAGTGCCAACTGTGTTGCTTACCCAAGGATGTCCATGCTGATCTTTGGATAGTGCGATAAACACTGGATCAAACAATGGCGGATAATAGGGTGCTAACGACGATGTGGAATTGGCAGCTGCTTTCGATTGCTGAGGTAGTGTATGCAGATTGGCAATCAGTCGCACCTTGTCCAATGTTTTGCCCCAATGCTTCTTGGCTCTGCCTCCATCTGGTGACGCGGGTGGTGTTGTTACTGATGGGTTGATAGGTGCCTTGTCAGCGCTAACATGGCTATCGCTGCTGCTTCTACCACTGCCTCTGCTAATACTGCTTTGTCTGCTGCTGCTGCCAGCGCCTTGTTTCTGCTTTTTTTTTAGCTGTTTTCCTTGCATGACATCTTCCATTGTTGGTGTAATTGGAGCATCAGGTGTGGGTTCGTGAGGTACATCACCACGAATACCCTCAAACGGTTTCACAAAGTAGTTGTCATCGTCCTTGCCTTGTGATTCCTCTTCGGCAGGAGGCTCTACATGATTCCCTCCTTCTTTACTAATGTCATTGGCATCGGGCAGAATATCATCTTGGTCATCGTACTGCTGTTTTTGATACTTGTGCTTTCGCTTCCTTTGTCGATAGGGTCTCCCAAATCGATTCATCTCATAGACATCATCTTGACTACCGTATTCAGCAGCAGCATCACTGGAGGAAGACGAAGATCCATCCTGATCGCTTTTACCAACATGCCGACTGGGCAGCCTTTTCAACACTTTCTGCCATTGCGCTTTTGGATCAAAGTCGCTGAGGTTGTTGTGCTGAGGTGCTGGGGGCCGTCTGCTCTCTGGAGATTCTGGAGATAGCAGATCTTGAAGATTGGCTGCTGTCGCGGGCGATGCTTGTTGGTCTTGCGATGGGAATATGCGTAAGCTTGGTTTCGAGTTTTTGATGCGCTCTTTGTCTGCAAAGTATTCTGCTGTGTCAGCAATTGGATTCGACATGGTCCTGCGCCTCTGCTTGACTCTCTAATTGATGCAAAAAAGAGAGAAAAAGAGAAACAAATTTAGAAAACTTTTTTTTTACGTATTTTATATGGCATCACGGGGCCTAAATTAAAAAGGAACCATATTTCGTGTATCAGATTGCATCAACTGCTAGCCAAAGGATGCTTTATTCTTTTTGTATCTAGAATAGATGCTGAATAAACGGATTGTTCGTTGTAAATGGTGTACTTAATTGCTGTTGCTGCTGCAGAAAGGGATTTGTCGTCAATGCAGTAGTACTAATGACATGTTTATGATGATGCTGTAGTGTTTGAGTTTGTGTCACTGGAGTAACAATAGAAGTTAAATTTTAAATATCAGAAGAGGCCAAAAGTGAGCGCTTTACCTTGGAGATTATCAGCACTAAGAAAAGGATTGTAGCTGGATGGTGATGGCTCTGAGGCTGCTGCGACATGTTGACCAGCGAATACATGCTGCTGCTGCTGCTGCTGCTGCTGCTGTGTAATAGGCGATGATACAAGCGAACTGCTTGTGCTACTCAATGAAGGTGTAGGTAACAGCACCAAATCCTCTTGTAATGCTGCAGGAGTGCTATGATTACTACTGCTATTACTTGGCGTGGCAAAACACCTTCGCTCCCATTTATCTCTTATGTATTTCTCCATGGCGCTATCAATGATTTAAGTTGGCAGTTCTTTTTTGCATTTGTACACGGTGCACTCACTGATCATCGTCCAGTGCGATGGGCATATTGCTGCTTGCATCTGGGTTGATTTGATGGTTGATACAGGCATTGCCGCCTAGCTGCTTCATACGTTGTATTTCTGGCAATGTCCAGCAATCCATGCTACATGACTTCACCTTGGAGATGTGTGTTCCCATCTTTCTATGTAGACTGGCACATCGAATACAGAGAAATACACCCAGCGAATACGATGCCCAACGAGGATCTGCTCTGAGTGAGTGCACTGTTGATTTGTGTGTGGATGATGCTTACTCTTTGCCGTGCAATCGGCACATCTGTCGTTGCCGAGCACCTTGTATAGCTCATTTAGCATACGATCGTGTCTTTCTTGGGTCGCTTTGGATTGCTTGCGATGCATAGTGAACCCTGGATTATCTAGAAATATAAAGAGGAAAGAGCGCAAACAAATTAGGCCTAATAAGAAGTGTGTAATCATACCCTGTGTGACTCGAATGGCATTATATAAAGCCTTCTCAGTACCTGGAAATCCTCCAAAGGAGAGTTTATTTCTCTTGCTATTATTGTTTTACTATGGGACTCCCTCTTGATCATATCACTGTCTTTGAAATGGCAGGCCTAGCACCAGCTCCCTTTGCTGGTTTAATCATGGCAGACTTTGGCGCCAATGTCATTCGCATCGATAGATCTCAAGGCTTCAATGCTGATGTTTTAACGAGGTGAGTTTTCCTATCAGCGATACAAGTGCAAACAAACAGCCTGACCTCAAGTGTAGAAACAAACGATCCCTTGCGCTGGATTTGAAGAACCCAGTAGCAATCAGCACATTGATGGAGCTTTTCAAGACGGCCGATGTCTTGCTAGATCCATTTCGCCCTGGTGTCATGGAGAAGCTGGGCCTTGGTCCAGATGCGTTATTGAAACAGAATCCCAGGCTAATTTATGCGAGATTGAGTGGTTTTGGTCAGCATGGCCCCCACTCTCAAATTGCAGGCCATGATATCAACTATTTAGCCATCTCTGGTGCATTAAATGTATGTGCACCCAGACAAATAGGCCATTCACTCGTATTGATCAGTTACATAGATGATTGGTCGTCAAGGCGAAACCCCATTCTTTCCTGTCAATATTTTAGGTATGCAGTGCTGTCCATGCAAGCATCCATGCATTTTTCTAACTCGTATATACAGCTGATTTTGCTGGCGGTGGTTTGATGTGTGTCATGGGCATCTTGATGGCATTGATAGAGCGTTCAAAATCAGGCAAAGGACAAATCATTGATGCAAATCTCGTAAGCTGACGGCTAAATACGTGTGAATTCAACTGACAAATGCTTTACTGTGTTACATGTGTGCAAAACACATTAGACTGCTGGCACATCTTACCTTGCGACATTTCCTTATTTAATGCAAAAGTATGGACTAGTGTGGGAAGGAGAAAGGGGTTCCAACATGCTGGATGGTGGCGCTCATTTCTACGAGACCTACCGTACAAAGGATGGGCGATTCATGGCAGTGTAAGTGAGGAGAATGCTTTTTGGCGCTATGCTCATACTGCTATACAGTGGTGCTATTGAACCACAGTTTTACGCAGTCTTGCTGGAGAAATTGCACTTGAACAAGGATGAAGCCTTACCCAATCAGTTGGACAAGGAGGCATGGCCCCGCATGAAAACCAAGTTTCAATCCATCTTTGCCACTAAAACACAACAAGAATGGTGCTCGATTTTCGATGGCTCAGATGCATGTGTCACACCTGTTTTATCATTCCAAGATCCTATTCCAAACACAAACAGAATGGCTGAGGCTCCTCGTCCAGCCCCTCACTTGTCGAGAACGCCTGCAAAGGGACCTGACGCCAGCAACGAGGACAGCCCACCGTTCCTCACAGTGGGTGACAATTCCATTGAAATTTTAAAAGAATTTGGCATTGGATCGGATCAAATTGAAAAACTATTGGCCTCCAATGCATTGGTAGACGCAACGAGTGGCAAATCTAAATTGTAATGGACACTGACCTTTTTTTTTTTGCATTGAACAAACAGTTTGGTCGAATTTTAGTCGGATAAATTGTAAAGCTTGCTTATTATAATTAAAACCCTTCAACACAACAAATAACATTCTGTAAAGTGAAGCTATTACTTTTTCCTTCCTCAATGATGGGAATAATTGCATATAGTTTAAGAGACGTCTATGCTGTGGCAAGACAGCAGTGGTTCGAGGAAGAACTAGCATCTCCAATTCATGATTTTATAGCATCCGTGTAGCTAGGAAAATATCGTTATGCAATGAATTAATCATAGAGGATGGAGGATAAAAAGGGTAAATGAAAAGTTAGTAGGGTGGATCCCGGACAATAAATAGACCGTGGGGGGGTATCTGGTGTAAGTAGATATCATCAGATGTAGGCAGATGTAGGTTAATATAGGTAATAGTGGACTAAGACAGTAAACAGTAGACAGATTGGGTTAAGAATTTCTTTGTTTAAATTGGTTTGTTCCTACAGACCGCAAGCAAAATTATTGAGTTACGTTATAGCTATGACTTACAATACATCTCATAGGAGCTAACAGATCTTGAGGTATCAAGAAGTCTCATCATCCTCTGAGGTATGACCTGAAAATGCTCAGTTTCTATAGTTCCAGTGTGTTCAAGGTGATGCCAATTTGTCGGTAATTTATCAGTAAAAAGTAGTGTTTCTATGCGAATGTATATATATATATATATATATACTGTACTACTGGGGCTCAGATCTCTTAACACTTTATTTGACACCTGCGCTGTGGCATTTTACTATACCACCAGTTTGCCATTTTGAAAGACGAGATTTGGTTTTCGACTCCTTTGATTTTGAAGTGCACTCATGTGAAATTTTACGTTAGGTTAATTAACAGGATCTATAATTTTCAAGCAATTATAAATTTATTAGGTTTCTTTTTGGATTTCTTTAAAATAAAAACAAACAGTGGCCATTTCGATGACTAATGTGTACAGAGTGCAGTACGTGCTTGCGAAGTATTCTTGGACACTGCTGATCCATATAGGTCAATATCCCGACCACGAAGCAGATAGTCTACTACAAGAGATGTGTTTTTCTTAACACCAGCTAACTTTTTCAATGAGTTAAATTTGTCAATAAAGTTCTCCAGATTGTAGCAGTTGTCCAATTTGAGCGCCTTCTTTAGTTTATTAGGTGCAGTTTCTTATATTTAATGATATTGAAGCAACTTCTAAATGGAAACCTGATATTGGAATGGCCCGGTTCATGGGAGAACTGACATTCGAGACGCTGGCTTTAAGCTGGGGAAAACGCATGCTTTAAATTAAAAAGACTATTATTCTTTAACAAAGCAAGCTATAACTGTCTAACCTTAAAAACAAGATTCTCCAACATGTCAAGTATCTATTGATAACTTGAAACCAACAAGTTAATATGGCCCTTTTCGGACGCTCCGATTTTTAAAATGCTCGGTCATATTCATACATGTGTGGTGTACACATGCGGAAGGTCAACGGAGCTTCAATTTCTAATATTATGAATGAGGATTCACGGTATTCCGAAATCTATCGACCTTAACATTACGCGTTTCTTGATAGTAATCACCCCTTCAAATTTATATGAAACTTGTAGAGAATTCAAAGGAGAATACAATGGTATCTATATCAAGTGTCTGATGTACATTGCACCATTGATTTTTGATGAGATAGTTTTCGCAACTTTTTCACTGTTTTCAAAAGATTAATCAGTATCTGTCATCAAAGATTTTTGTTAAGCATTACTAAACATTGTAGACCAAACGATTCTCTATCGAATGAGCTATTGCTTGAAGCTCTGGCATGACTCTATCATGAAATATTAAAAATCTTGTCTTGACCAAAAAATCGTCATCACCAGATTTTTTGCTTGCTATCACAGGCAGATTTTGAAGGAAAGTCCATGATTTTGCACGATATCCTTTTTTGGCCGTATCTCGAAAAATACTCATCAGATTTGCACAAGACAAAAATAATTTGATAGTTCTACGTTATATCTACCATAATGTAAGAATTTCAAGTACCAGGTGTACGTTCCCTTCGCAAATTCGCTCAAAACCTTATATTTTACGAGCTACAAGCAGGGGATATTCAATCCTTTTTATTTATCCAATAACCATACCATTGTATAGAGAATTGAAAAAGAAACAGAAGCTATTAAGTTTGAAGCTCTCGTTTACTTAGTAAAATTCAGAGATGTGGCCCTTCGAAAATCGGCCATTTTGAACATTTTTTGTCATTACTCATTGACATCGCTCTCAATAACCCCACATCAAACTTGCCCTAGCCAAAAAAAAAACTACCCTCTACAACTTTCACTACACATACATCCCACATTCATATAGTAATTTAAAACGGTTTACTAGCAGCATCTATTCAAAATTAACCATTTTTAAAAATCGCCCTTTTCTCAACAACCATGCTACCTACGCAAATGTCAATTGCACCACCATCAACATGACCGAAAACTGATATAGGAGTATGATATTTTCAAAGCGTGAATTTCAATTAAAATTTCAAAGAGAAATCAAAAGTAAAACAAAACCGAATAAATCCCCTCCCCCCACGAATGATGATTCCAAGCTATTATAGTCCTTGTCGCCAGCAAGTCGAGCACTAGGCCGTTTTTATTGATATTCTCCTAGAATTATGAATTATATTATGTGAGGCTTCTTCTCTGTTATATCAAACCAATCTGTCAATACCAGCCATTCTTTTTCTATTTCTTTTTTGTTTTTGTTTCCTTTTTACAAATCTATATTGCATTTTTACGAAACTGAAGTGTGTAGCCTGTACTACGCTACAGTAATAGCATACTGCTGTAACCAATGCTTAATGGATGTTAAAACTACCCAATTTTGACCATCTTAAAAGTACTATTAAGGTGACAATTATGCTAACCAATGCTTATGAATATAGCCTTTATTGTAAAGGCTCTAAGTGACGGACGGATTCGCATTGAGATGCTCTTTCTTCAAACAGATTTATTCAATATAATCCTCTACTACGAACCCTATCTTAAGGATTCATGGCTTGTAACTGCATGTACATTTTATCAATAAATTTCAGTAGTGTTTGCATTTCCAGTTGAAGCGATCTCACAAATTTTTGGTTCTCGATTTCCGCATTATCGCACTACAAAGAAGATTGATTTAGCAAACCATCTCGACACAACCAGCACTCAATGTACCTTCGCCTTGGCCGTTTCTGTGTCTAAATTGTATTTTTTCTTGTCGATCTCTCTTGACTCACACTCTTGAAGCAAAGATTTCTTCTGTTCCTCAAAGTCTTTGAAATGTCGGTCTATTAATTCTCCCTTCTTCTCTTTCTGTTCAGCAAGGTCGCGAAGTCGTGCATTATAAATACTCAGAGACCTGTTGCATGCCTGAAAACGAGAGGAGGTGTCTCAGTGCACCTATTTACCATAACGATAATGCCAACTTACTACTAGTTTCCCACTCAGATCCTTCTGTTTCGCTAACAAGTTTTGAAGATTTTGCTTGACGGCTTCATTTGTCTTTTGTTGTCTGTGGGCATCGGCCTTCAGTTTTGTCAGTGATTCCATTTTCTGGATATCCTTGCTGAGGTGCTAATGAGATAGCTCAAGTTAAAACTAAACGTCTCCTCAGTGCTTGAATGCAGTTCTTACAAGATGGATTGCTTTTGTGTCTTTTGCCATGTCTTCTAGTGTGGGGTAGTCCAACTCTATGCTGTTTACCTCTTCTGTATTCTTTTGAATGACTATCGCCAATTCTGCCATATTCTTGTTTAATGCGTCCACATCCATCGTTTCATATTGCTTCAAGGTTCTAATATATTCAATTACATTGATCATTGCAAACTGTATTTCTTGCTGCAAAAGAAAAAAGAGAATCCTATGTGAGCTTTTTGATATACAAGATCATGACCTACATACCAATGTGTCCTTCAATTGATGTCTCTCGCTTTTGTAGGCGTCTATATCTTTCAAAATAGCATCGCCCTCCTTTCGTAATTGTCGCACGATTTGCTCTGCCTCTTGATTTTTTGCCTCCCATTCCTGCGCCTCCTGGCTCTCTGCTTCCTTCCTTGCCTGTAATTGCTGAATTTTAGCTTGCAATGCTTCTTTCTCGGCAACACGGGCTTCATACAACGCTGTCTTATCCACCTATCAACCTTGGTATAAGTTTCTCTTTGCGATTCGACATGGCTTGTGAAAGGTATATCTTACTGCATCCTGTGCTAGCATCCCAAACTGTGTAAATGCTGAATCTCTGAATAATTTGTAGTTGTAGACAACGCTCAACATCCTTTGTAAACGGTGCGACTTGGGTGTCAAGATATCGACTATTGTGAATTCCTTGAATGCAATCTTTTCTAGAAAGAAGTGCAACTCCCGGTACACAGGCATTGCTTCGGCATGTTCCATACTGATTTCCTTGTATCAAGAAATCAGTGATCCATACAATGTTGATTTGATTTTAACCATACTTACAAGCGACTCTTTAAATTCCATTGCTGTTCTCTCTTTTTGGATCCTGAGGGGTTCCATACGGTAAGGGACAAAGTACTGCAGCAGTAGTTCACACATTTCTCTGGTTCGTCTTGAATTGGGCTCAAGCAAATCTGGTTCTATTGCAGCAATACCTAACGACTGAAGAAATGCAACCAATGTAGGAATGTCAATGGTGGGAATGCCCGAGGACAGATTAGGTTCCTGGACAATTGAGTGCTGCTTTTGTCTTTCAAGTCTGGTTGCGCTGCCGTTGTTGACTTGCTGTTTAGCTTTGGGTAATCTTGAAATATGCTTTGTTGAATGCATCAGATAAAAGAAATGCAGAATTAGAAAGAGTAGCACAATTGCAGACTACAACAGGGACAAGTTTTTGACGCGTCACATACACGCCTCATCCAGATCAGCTTTGCATTGGAATCCTTTTTCTGTTTACACGTATACACAATCAACCTCTTTTTATTTCAGTCAAGATTGACAGTTTTGCATGCGAGTATAAGCACTAGCCTTATCGTTGTTGGTATTGGCAGCATGGCCTGCAAAGAAGCCACTGATAACTGTGTATTTATAAGTCATTGAATTTCTAAAACAACTGTAGTAACAATGAATTGAGTTGTCAGTGAGGAACAGTGAAACTAGGCCATTGCTGATGCTTGTGTACTACTGTGTATTGGATACGGTATGTGTCTTTTCTTTTGTAGAATGGCTACAATAGACAGATTCATGTGCATGATGGTTTGTGGCACAACATGATCATGACAATGTGGATGGGCTACCTGAGGCATGAAAGGAGAGGCAGATGGGACAGATGAGACAGGCAAGGCTGAATATATAGTAGAGGTAGAAGTTGAAGATGAAGCATATGAAGATAAAGTAGAGGAAGAGGTAGAGTACCTATGTGAAAGCAAGAAGGATCATATTCTTTTGGGCCATAAGTGTAACGAATGATAGGTTGGTCATTAAAACGCACATCCTTTTTCTTCCTGACGGCAGCAGTGGCTTTTGGTATCATATTTCCAGTTGAATCAGCCATTTTTGAGCGAGAGAGAGAGAGAAAAAAAGAAATGAAAAAAAAAGAGGCGATAAGGTGTTTGCTCAATCATAGACAATGATCCCTATTTTTATGAACAGGAAGAACTCGCAATGTAAAGTAGACGAAACAGAGCTCAAGCTATTTCCGATTTTTATTATCCAAATGGATTAAACACCTACAGTTGCAGCTGAAGATGCATTGAGATTGCTGTTGTTGGTATTAAGAGTAACTGGTATTAGATCATTGTTTCCACTTGCACCAACAACAATGACGCCTTGTTGTTGTTGTTGTTGTTGTTGTTGTGGATGGTGAAGTTGATGAAGGTGGTGATGATGATTAGTGGTATCGTATGTAGTAGTGATATAGGCCGTGCTTTTCGAGGCTGCGAATTCGGTGGATGTTGAGCAGGTGGGATTCCTTGTCGATCGATGATGAACCTCTAAGACAGCATCTTCAGGCACTGCTTCCAGGAATTCCATGCGAATCATAGGCGACATTTGTAGCAACACATTAGCTTTCAGTATGAATCCCAGGTTGCGAAACATAAAGTCGAGCGTCAGTGATTTGAGACCAGCTTCTTCTGCTGCAATGGCCTTTTCGAATATCAAACCGCATGTCTCTATAGTCAAGTGATGGTGGTAGAGTCGTTGGCAGCAGATCTTTTTGAGTCGATAGAGGAGATACATATTTGCCAATACCAGTACTTGGCAAATAATGTCGCAAGATTCATTGTCGTCGAGCTGATCATTGTAGAGATATTTGAGAAACGCCAGCACAACCTCATAGGGCTCTGGTATTTCCATGCGTCTTTGTCTTGATTCCACCATACCCGACTTGTAAATATTCCTAAAATGCGGCCAGCGCGTGATGAGAATGACTTGATGGACATGAAGCTCTTGGCCATTGGATGGAACAATGACAAAATCGGATAGTTCTGGATTATTGAGCAGACAAGAGAATTCGCTTGATATCGATGGCGGTGGAATGTCGTATAAGCCAAGTGTTTCCCCATTCACCACAAGAGCATCTCTATATAGCGTCGTCATTAAACTGCATTAACTGTCTCGGAATCCTGAATTGTACCTGAAATGATCATAACCTTGTGGACGAAATGGATCAGTGTTGCCGAGAAAAAACAAGTTGTTTAGGGTTACTTGCTGATCCATAGCCTGGTCGTTACTCTCGGATATGATTGTAAAGTAATTCCAACCTCCAACCTTGAAATTGGCGTTGCAATCCTGTCGTTCCCAAGTCAATGTATCTAAATCAAGCATCCACAGTCCATACATGGATTCAGGATTGGTATTCATGCTGCTATGGCTACTGATGTTGCTGCTGCTGTTGCTGTTGCTTGTGCTGATCAATGTCGTGCTAGCGTGGGTCAGGTATCGACCAAACACCAGCAGTTTTCCGCACACAGCCTCGCAAAAGTGCTGACTCTTTAATAATACCATTTGTGAATTAGTGGAACCATTCAATACTAAATGCGGTGTGTAGGGTGGAGTATTTAAATTAACGACGAACAGATCTGATATGGTGTTTCCGTGCTCGTCTTTGCCAGCATAAATGTACATTTTGTGGCCTACAAGTGTTGCTGAATGGTTGTATCTAGGAGGAACGCCGTGGAATTTCGACCATGTAAAGGACTTGAGGTCCAGCACACTGAGCTCATCCAAAACATAAGTGCCTAAAATGAAGTAGAGCCACACGTCAGATCAAAATGCAAGCACAGCATGAGCATTGTGCTATAATTACGGTCAGAATTCTTTGCAAATCCTCCATAAATAAACAGTTTGTCGTCGTACACGGACGCGCTATGCAAGTATCGTGCAGGTACTGAGCCATTCAATTCAGGTTGAAACCAGATGAGTTTCTCAATATCAAATACATGGACGTCGTTGCAGTATTCCTGATATTCATTGCAGCCACCTAAGGTTGCATATATAAGCCAAATGTGGTCTACTACTACACTTTGATCAATAGCAGCCTACCAAATACAATAATGCAATTGTTCCAAAGTGTGGCAGTGTGGCCATATCGCTTACATGGAGCGAACCCTTTGACCGTCTATATATACAGATTAATTTGATATGCCTTTTGGAAGTTACAGAAATCATCCCCCTACTTGAATTGTTTCCCATTTCATATTAAATAAGTTTAGTACGTGCAAATCATTTGTTACATTGCCTCCTCCTCCATAAACAAATAGTCGATGATCGACTTTGACAAATGACGGTCTCCATAGTCCTACTAGATTGTTCCCTGTAGTCTGAATTGGCTGACCAGATTTTAAAAAAGACATGCTGTGTGTATTGTATCTGTGTAAAGTTGTATTGTTGAACTGGTAAGCGAGCAAAACAATGAGATCAACAAAGAGACGAGACAAGTGAATGAGTGAGGATATGTACTCAAAGGAGAATAAACGTGTGGACAATTTTTGCTACAAGCAAGAGAAAGAGAGAAAGAAAAAAAAACACAAGAGAATGATTGAGCTATAGAAGCAAGTATTATATATATAACGAAAAAAAGGGGGCGGATCCTTTCGAAGGAATGGTGAATTATATATATATATATATCAGAAATAAATCAGGGAGAAAAGGGAGTATCACATAAACACAGATCAAAAAATTCAATATATGTACCCATAATATTTCCGTAAAAACCTTCTGTGTGTATGTATGTGTGCGTATAAATTTTGCTATTTCATGCATATTACATGTAATGTATTAATTCAATCATGACATTTGATTTAATAGGACAAGTGCTCCCCTTTTAAGCCTTGATTTTCTGGCATTTGTTGCCTCGCCAACTAACTTTCGATATGCTGGTTTCCATGGTTACCAACAGATCAAATCTCAGGAACCAAAATCATAAAAGCATATCATCCCGTCCGTGTAACATTCTTTGATCAAAATAATACTATAAAAACAACGACAGCAACCAAACTCTACCCCACGATTAACAACAACAACAACAACAACAACTCGATATAAAATCTGTCCAGAAAATGAGCAATTATTCTTACTGTTTGGGGTATCCATCTCGATCATTTAGAAGCATGCTTCACTTTGGACATCAAACAAGCAAGCAAGTGACGCGTGTATTTAACTTTTTTAATGTTACACTTGGTCTAAACCAGTGGTACATCAAAAAGGGAGACTGAAATACACACAACAACAACTTTTCCCCCCTCCAATTCCCTCCCTCTTTCATTATCTTTTTGCCTCTCTCTCTCTTTCATATTTTCTACTTGTATACACCGGTCCAGATTGTAGACTGATTTGACAGTAGAGAAAAAGCAAGAGACAAGTCTAAATTGAAATCATCCATCTATCAAATCAACAGAAAAACAACAAAGAAAGAAGCACATTTACAAAAAAAAGGAGTAAATTTTTGACAGATTTTATACATTACTTGTTACCATAGCAACAACTACAATGACTGAAATAATCAAAGATGGCTACCTTTCTGTAAAGGAAGATGGTTTGAGAGCTTGGATATGGTCAAAGCGTTTTTGTGTCCTCAGAGATCAAGCCTTGACATTTCACAGAAACGAAGTAAGTTGCTACTGTGGCACTTATCACCTATAAGTACATACTAACCCGAGGGATCTTTTAGCAATCTGGACAATGTGTTGCTTTGATCTTTCTCAAAGAAATCACATCAGTAACAAGAACTGATCTAAAGCCTTACTGTTTCGAGGTAGCTACAAAAGATAAAACCTACTACATTGCATGCAAAAGCGACGAAGATCTGTACTCGTGGATGGATGAGATTTACAATGTAAGCAAGCTACAATAGGATGTTTATGTATGTATTCAGTGCGTCTAATGTTGGTCGATGTAACAGAGATCCACCGTGGGCGCTTCAGGCCCTACCAATTTTGTCCATGAAGTCCATGTCGGTTTTGATCCCAATACAGGTGCATTTACAGTAAGTTGCGAAGCGCACATGACCTTGATTGTATGAAATTAAACTCGAACCTGAGTAGGGTTTACCTGATCAATGGACGAAATTGCTGAAAGGGTCAGCTATTACTGCCGAGGATGCCGCCAAGAATCCCCAAGCTGTATTGGATGTACTCGAGTTCTACACGGAGCAAACCAAGAGAGAAGCAGAGGAATACGGCTCCTCCAATCTACAGGGCGCTGTCGAGAGGATGAGCGATGATCGCTGGGCTGCTTTAATCAATGAAAGATCAGAACAGAAACCTATATCACCTCACCGCCCTGCTCCGCCTCGACCAGCACCACCACCACCCATTCAACCAGGTAGAAGACCAGATATGAATGAGATGATGGACGAACTTGCTATTCGCACAGTGAGTAATCTTGGGAAACACAAGAAAATATTATAATTACTAATTAATTTCTGCTCGTGATAAGCCTAAATCACCCAAATCGCATATGGATTCTCGACATCAGTCGCCTAGTGATAGACTTCCTCCATCACCCGTAAGTTGCTAATTTGATTGTGCGAAAATACGCCATCTCATGCAAGTGTATACAGGGCTATCCTGCTTATAACTCCAACTCCAGCAACAAATACCCAAGACCAGAACCATCCAAATCTCATGGTACTCAAAGAGTGCCTGCTCGTACTACCAGTATTTCCACCTATGACGAACGTATCATGTTCGAGCGTGAAAAGCTTGAAATTGAGATGCGTGAAAGAGAAAGACAAATTCGTGAGCAGCAAAGAGAAAAGGAGAGACTCCGTGATCAACAGGTACAAAAGGAGCGTGAAAAGGAGCGTCAGCGCGAAAGAGAGCGAGAGAGAGAAAGAGAGATCCGTGATAGAGAGAGAGAAAAGGCTGCTCAGATTGTCTCTGCACCCAAGAAGAAGGTCGAACAGCGTATCAGTACCATGACAGAGGCTCAAGTCATGGAGCAACTGAGAAGCGTGGTAACGGCTGGTGATCCTAATGATTTGTACAAAAAGATCAAGCGTGTTGGCCAAGGGTAAGCATACAGGTTTTATAATCATAGGAAGAAGTGGATACTGACTATGTCTTTGTTGTAGTGCTTCTGGCTCTGTGTATGTAGCCCAATCTCTTGCCACCAACACCAAGGTGGCCATCAAGCAAATGGACCTCGCTCACCAGCCTCGCAAGGATCTGATTGTTACTGAAATTTTGGTCATGAAGGAATCACAACATCCCAACATTGTCAACTACCTCGACTCTTTCCTAGTTAAGAACAGCGATTTATGGGTGATTATGGAATACATGGAAGGCGGTGCTTTGACTGACGTGATTGACAACAACACCATGACCGAACAGCAAATTGCTACCGTCTGCCACGAAACTACAGCTGGTCTCTTGCATTTGCACTCTCAAAATATTCTCCATAGAGATATCAAATCAGACAATATTTTGTTGAATGCTCAAGGCCAAGTCAAGATTAGTGATTTTGGTTTCTGTGCCAAGTTGACGGATCAAAGAAATAAGCGTGCTACCATGGTAGGTACCCCTTACTGGATGGCACCTGAGGTGGTCAAGCAGAAAGAGTATGGCGCTAAAGTGGATATCTGGTCTCTCGGTATCATGGCTATTGAAATGATTGAAAACGAACCCCCTTACCTTGATGAAGAACCTCTAAAGGCTTTGTATTTGATTGCTACTAATGGTACACCTACCTTGAAGAACCCTGAAAAGCTCTCCCGCGAACTCAAGGGTTTCTTGGCTGTCTGCTTGTGTGTGGATGTTCGATCCAGAGCAACTGCTGATGAATTGATGAACCACGAGTTTTTGAGAAAGGCAGGTCCATTAGACATTTTGGCCCCTCTACTTAAATTCAAGACAAGACACTAAGTCAACTATGTATTCCCTCTCTATTCTTTTTTGCTAATTTATTTATCCATATATCATAAAAATAATAAATCTGTAGTCGGTAGTAATACAGACACTCTCTTAGATGCTTTATTAAGAAAACTGAACCACTGATTGTATTTCAATGGCAAGTCCAGGCTGATGATGTGCTCAGATATACGTATAACTATATAACAAAAGATAAACAAATTAATTAGTCCAAATAATAGTGCACTTTTCATTCACATTCTCCTTTCTGCTAGCTTTCAAAAGCATTAATTCCCTTGAGGAAGTGCATGATATTGAGTTTGTCAGCCAAACCCAATTCATGCCAAAATCGATTAATACGCCGCTCTGCATTCGTTTAACATTGGCCATATCTAGTTAGTTATCGACTTGAATGAACTATTTTGTGATATTCGACTAAGCAAAATGTGATGATTATCTCATACCGCCTTATGCTTTTCTTGAGTACTTTCTGAGGCGCATTTAATGGTTTTAAGAACTAAAGGTTTTATGAATAAAGCTATTGAAAAATTCGAAAAATATGAAATGATGTTTTTGGCAAAAATGTTGAACTTTTACTTACGGAGGTCTCACAAGCGTGGTTTCAGCAGTTGTATTGGATCAAAAAAAGTATTTTGATCTAATAATAATATCATATTACAATAAATATTCAGTCCTTATTAGACACTTTTACAACCCTACTACTAATATGGAACCTGAGTTTCAAGGCATCTGTCAGGCCTGGCTCATATGTGAATAATGATTTTACAATCAATCAACAAAATCCACTGTTATTTCTGCCCCTCTTTCCTCTGCTCAATGCTGCCAGCGTTTTATTTGAACGACGTCTCAGAGCCTCAGAGATTTCACTACTTACTGCAGACATCTTACGCAGCCCATGAATCGTCAATGTCCAGACTAACGTTATTAAATATAGAATGCAAGACGATGTCATTATGAACGATATAGAATGCAATAAAATATCATTATAAACGATAGCTTTATGGCCTGCCACCTACTTTTTCATACGCTTCAAGAGCATTTAATACTGTATTGCAGTATGAAAAGGGCGTTGAGTTTGTCAGCTGGCCCCACAAGCCAAAATTAATTCAAACCCAGAATCATAGTCGGTTCTAGATTGGACAAATCTTGATGATTCTGGACTCGATCGAGCTATTTTTGCAGATTCGACTAAGTGAAGTATGATAATCACCCCATGCTTCCTTAAGCTTTCCTGGAGTACTTTTCAAGGCGCTTCCAATGGTACCAAGTAATATAGATGTTTTGAATAAACGTATTGAATGATTTGTAAAAATATGAAAAGAGGTTTCTGGCCAAAATGTCGAAATTTTACATATCAAAGTCCCACAAAGATGATTTCAGAGGTTGCTTTGGATCGATAGAAACGTTTTGAATCAAGATATATCATAATAAAAGTCTTCGTTATCAAGGTGAAAAATGCGATTGTTTGATTTTCAATGAAAACCATGAGGGGTACCTCATGCTTTTTGGTCAATTTTCGGCCATATTTTTTAGGTCCCCAGAAAGTTGAGCAAGGGTGGCAGGAAGTTAGTGCTAGATGAAAGCAATTGCTTGGCGCTATTCTGACCATCTAAAACGACCTTGAACGCGAGAAAACGCAGCTCAAATGCACTCAAATTTTGCTGTATCAGGGACACTAAGGACTAAAAAGTGGAAATACCAGTATGCTGCTTGCCCGTATATGAAGTAGCTACGTGTATATGGATGTAGAGCATCACATGAGAATCAGATTCACAGATAATATGAAGGGTTTTCATGTGAAAGTAAAGGGTCAACATGAAAGTAGCAGTATTTTGATAAGATACGCAAGAGCAATCAGTAGCACGAGCTACCGCTGCGTAGATTGCTTCTCACTGAAGCGAAGCGAAGGGAAAGAGCCATCCGAAGCATAAACACTCATATGATCAGTGATTATATATCAATCAACAATCAGGGTTCTTCTAACATTTTAGTTATATTAATTTTGGGATATTAGCCAAAGGCCCGCGACAGCGCGAGCCGTTTGAACGTAGGTTGATTTCCACCGAAGCGAAGCGTAGGTCAGGAAACCACCCGAAGTGCTGAAAGGCTCGTATACCATAGTAAAAGTCTTCATTTTTAAGGTCAAAAAAGCGATCGTCTGATTTTCGATGAAAATCATGAAGTACCCCTCATGGCTTGAAGCCGATTTTCGACGATCCCAAGAAAGTCGAGCAAAGGTGCCAAACAGTTATTGCTAGATGAGACAAGTTGTTTGGTGCTATTCTGGCCGTCTAAAACGGTTTTAAAAAAGAGAAAACGAGGACAAAATGCATCCAATTTCAGCTGTATTTACATATATCTGAGTATCCAGATGTAATGCTAGTAGGCTATCTGCCCGCACATGAACCGTTTCCATTGATAAGGAAGTGGAGCACTCAATGGTAGTCAAGGTAAACCAGATATAAGTAAGTTTTTGAGACTTCTCATGAATGAATGACATCAAAATTGAACTTCTTGGTGACAATAAATGCCAAGGCAGCAGTAATTTGAAGAAAAAGTGTGTTGACAGTGGAAATGGGAGCATCAGCTTCTTCAGCGGTGACAGTACCTGAGACGGCACAGCATTTAATACCTGCCTTCTTGAGGCTAGTTTTAAGAACCTATTCCTAGTTATGAAAAAAAAGCACCATAGTAACCAGCAGATTCGATGAAGCTATCGACTTAGTGTGTGTATGATGATGCATTAGTTAAATATCGATGTGTATGATACTTGTATCAGTCTTGATGATGGCAAGCTGAGTAGTAACAGAGTTGATATTATCAATATAGAGTTGAATAATAACAGAAAAAGCTCTCTTGTCGAAGGCAATTGCAGTAGTAATGATTAAAAGGAAGAAATCTCGCCTTTTGAATATCGTTGAGTAGCTTGTCTAATGAATTTTGTAAAATGAAGTTGAATTTCATTGGAATATTTATACTAATTACCAAGCAGGGTATTCTATGGTTTTGCATCAAAGTATCGTCTTTTGGAGGCGTTGAAGAATGATATCTGTTTTGCGGTATCTATGTGAAATCCAAGGCAGTTTTTTTTTTTTTTTTTTTTTTTTGCACGAACATTATCATGCTTACATTTTCTGTGTGTACCTGAACTAGCGGAATTTGTACTCCTGGATGACCATCCATCGCTAATGCTACAGGTGATAGCAACAAAGCCTACATCTTGGAGACACTAACAAACCATCTATGCTCGGTGTGGGGTTTCTTTTTCTTTTTCTTCAAACCAAAAAATAATGGAGGAAGAGTATGATTATTCCATGTACACAATGGTGTATATCTAGTCGAAATTCGTTATAGTAATAGTCATTGATAGGCTCTGTAAGTAATGACTTGAGGATGCACCGAGTAAACAATCGAGTGTCCATGGCCTCCTCAAGATACGCACCAGAAAATGTCTTTCAAGTATGCATATGATAAATTTCATTTGTGTTCATGTAAATCTTACTATCTGCTGAAGATTCCATCAGATTTCTACTACAACAAGGACAGCGGCAACATCGTGTATAACCGTCGGATGATCCATCATTACAAGCAGTACCCTCCACATGAAAAGTACATTCACGTAGCAAACCTCTTGGAAGACCTTTACGCTTTTTATCGACGTACTCGCAAGGGAAAATTAGCTACACAAGACGACACTGTGCTGTGCTCTGCCGTCACCAGCTTTCTCACCAAAGTATACCCATCCAAGCTTTCTAATGATGGACAGACATTGACAACGCAATATGTTTTTATCCTACCTTTTAAGAAGTATACAAACAGGGATTTCATTGACACGACTTTGCGCCCATTGCTTCATAATACTCCGTGGCTTACATCAGAAGATCTAGCTAGTAAAACTGTCTTTTACAGCAGAGCAGACACATACGCTTATCGATTGAACGAACAATACGAACTTTGTTTGGAGAGAGAGAGAAGAAATACCTGTTTTGCACTTTGCAAAAGACACATGATCAACATCGACTATTGTTAACAGTAACGTTTATAAGGGCAGTGTACGATCCAGACTTGATTGCAGCATCTGGAAGATCTATGGCAGCGCTCGGAGGAAACGTAATGCTCACTTCAAAATTGGTTAGCCAACCTTTATTGCTAGAGATTCCAGTTCAGTCCATACTGGCAAAAATTAACTGCTTGGCCGTATTCTTATACAACAGAGTCTTTGCAGGTGAAGAGGAGGATTCAAGTCCAACGCAGCTTGAAGAATATAACACGGATAGCAACCACAGCAGCTTGATTCATCGGCTAATACACTCCATATTAACGTCGAACTTTAGGGTAGTTGAGCTAATCTGATTCTTTTGCGCATAATGTCTAAAGTGCCGTTTTATAGGATACATGGAGTGGAGAAATCGATGCCGACGATTTTGTTTTTAGAATTTGTTCGGATATGCTCAGCAAAAACATGAAATCAAGGTTATCTCTTATAACCTATGGCGATATCATGCAATTATTCGATGATGTAGACGTGCCATCTATTGAAAACGAAATTGGACACTACCTGCAAAATTATGGCGATGGCGAGCAGTTTCGTAGTATTACTGTGGTAGAAGAGGATGACGATCAAAATCTTGTTGACGTGAAAAATGAAGCATATAAAACTCATAATTTAGCCTTTGCAGAGGAGTGTTGCCAACGATTCTACTTATGTCGAATCAAAAAGGCTATTGTTCTGTTCTTGAAGAAACAAAAAAAAATCAAGAGCACTCTGGAAATATTCATATCGCCACGAGAAATGGCAGAGGGTTGTGCTTACAAGATTTTGAAAATGGTGCAACTATCCAACAGACTAGGAAGGCCGATTGTAATTAAGCCAGCGGCCGAAATCAAGCAAGGATCTAGCAAAGCACCAGCAATCCAGAAAGAGAAGTTGGCACTGATTGATCAAATACAACCTTATGGATACTATGTCGAAGCAAACTTTGGCTGCTCAAACGAAATCAAAATGTCGCTAAACCAAGTAATTGAAACCACTGCCGAGGATGGCAAACTACAGAGATCTACAATGTCGATAATGGATTCGTCGTACCAGACATCAGGTATGTACGATTCTATCTTTGATGTTTTATGGAACATCATCGACGGACATTGTGCAGATCCGCAGTGTAAATCAACACATGAGGATGCTCCAACACCTGTCAACAGCTACAAGTCGTTCAAGTCAAATCTAGTCGATACAATCAAATACTGTGTAAGAATACTTTTGGTATGTGCAAAAAAAAGGACAAACTAACATCTGCTTATGGCCATAGATAGAGACTGGTAAAACGGTTATTCATGACATAGATGAAGTTATATACAACAACTATGCGAAGCCAGACTGCATATGTAACCTTGCCATAAGCCATCGCTTTCTGATGAACCTCGGAATACTGCCTTATCTAAAGGACATTGGCGATACTCTTGTAACGTCGTTAAAAACTAGGGCGCTCTTTGGAGACTACAAAATAGCCTGTCTGGTTGTAACTGGAAAGTTCCTCTCCAACCTTCTGCAACAATACAATACAACATATGGCGAGTTTATGTGGACACACTTGGAAGCAGCAATATACTCAGCACTGCGTACCAAACAACTGAAGACACATTTGGTGATGGAAAAGTCGATTGTGATTGAAGATGAGGTGTATGACTACCAGCCTTTAAAATTGGAGAAATATAGACAGGTTTTTAGCAATTACTACTTCATCAAAATAGTCTCTAACCAAAAAGACGATTTTCGAGTATATCGTGATGCTGGAAATCATTGGGTTGAGGTCACCAGCATCAACGAAGATGCTACATGTTGGAAGAATCCCATACTCCCCATGGTTGAAAATGAGAGCTGTCGATCTGTTTGTAATGAGAAGTTTTATTTTTTTATTAATCCAAAACAGACCGATCGAGTACACGGCGATATAGGTGAGTAAAATTCGCCATAAAAGTTGAGTCTCTGTTGCTTAATGTCTGTATCAAAACCAACTTACTTTTAGTATTATATACACTGTCAACAGATCAACTAGACAATTTAGATGCTGCCATGTCATCAATAACAAATGTAGCATTGTTAAGCGACTTCAGCCCAAAAGAAATTGCGTACCACCAATGTACATTCCCCTTGGAAATTGATATATCGCCATGCAGTTATTTGTCAGCAAGCAATATTAAATTGAGACACGGTGTAAATCTTAACTCTAGTGACCCTTGGAGGTATCAACATGTGGCATACTCAGAGCGATTAACGCTGGAAAAAATGAATATTTAATAAACCAATACAAATTCAAGGTGGATTCAAGAGAAATCTATCCCACAAATATCCCACAAAAGTGTGGTCGAAACAATTTGGTTGTACTGTAGATATATTAGGCTGTTGTTTATTGTTACATGTATTTCTTTTTCGTTTGCAATTAACTGAAAAGACAAGAATAATCGTGCATAATCGCTTTGGTCACTCGTTTCATTTCTGGCATTCATAATCTCGACAAAGAGCGAACTACCTAGTTCAAAATAGCACATAACTGATGTTGTTGTACAGCAATGTACATTCAATTGCACCCATTTCAAGTTAAAGTTTTACTTTTGACGCAAACTCTTGCAAAGCATCTTCTTGTCTAATAGCATTTTTGTGACAAATGTTCATATAACAGTATTGTGAGCACTTCTAGATGAAGATTAGATCTACACCAAAGAATTATATTAGCTGATGTCAAGCATCTTACAAAGCTGTTGATTCCGAAAAAGATAATGCTAGGTACATCATTCCAAACTTGAGTCAGGTTTACTAGGTATTAAATTTATGATCAAATGACTAGTTACCTTCAAGGAGATATGGGAGCTTTACCATCATAAAATAATATGATCAGTATTTTAACTGCAAATGTCAACATTTTCACATGATATAAGCTGAATTCTCGTAAATAGAAGCTATTTCTAGCGCTGAAAAAGGTACCAAGCGAATGCTACAGAGTAGTAGAATCAACCTACAATCAATTCACAGCTTTTTTTGGGAATTTTTTTCCATCTCAAAATTTGACGATTTTGGCCTTGTAGTAGCAAGGAGAAAATCGCAAATCAGACAAATGTCGATTTTTCAGTCGAAAGACGAAACTTTTTATTGAGGTACATATCAGATGAAAATGCATAAAAAACTTGTTTCTATCTGATAAAAGCGTTTATTTAGAGCATGCAAGCCAGCTTTTTTGATTTTTGCCCTAAAAACTAAAAAAGCAGTTTATTGGAAATATCTATGCAGTTTTCCACGGCATTGCGAAAACAAAAAATACCTTTGAATAGAGCACATTTGAATGTATGTATTTTGTTAGAGCCCCTGTGGGCGTTTAGAATCCCCTTTGGGATGTAAAAATTCTTTAAAGGTTGTAAATTTTCCAAAAATGACAATTTGGAATAAAATTGAACCAGATTGACACCCATATTCCAAGCTCAGAAATCGCTCGTTCTGGAAGCGCGTTTTGCGAATTAAGCTATTTTGTGAGTGAGGCGATACACTTTACATAATCTGCAGCTTATCAATACACTTTATATAGCCATTTAACAAACCGTAAATCTTTAGCCGATATAGACGAGGAGATATCGCGGTCTAAGGCTTGTAATGATGACACTGATTTCGCAATCGATGCCTTCACGTTGATAATGACAGGAGACAATTTTTTGTACATGCAAATGAGGAGCGCAAATAAGTTTTAGCTCTAGAGAGACCTGTGTCTTGCATTCAGATATACAGTAGTCGGTCGAGGTGTCTTGAAATCAGGTGGTGTTTGTCAAATTGACAGATCAACTTGCTTGATGTGCATTTTCGGTATTACACGATTGAATATATGTTGGCAGCCTTCTTGGTGCATTTACAATGAAAGGTGTAATTTTTTATATGTGTTTGTGAGAAATTAGCAAGGTATTCAATGAGGCCAGCAGTATCTTTATAAGATGGCAGAAGTACTCTTAGAGTATGTGATGAAAAAGATCGCTTTATTGATTACAACATTTCATCCTTGACCACAGGCTCTTTCTCTGTCTCGTCTGTAGCCATTGTTTCAGGCTTGACCGCCATTCCTAAACGACTCTTCAAGTGATTAGGAATCTCTCTTTCAACGGATCTCTCTCGTTTTATGCTTCTGCCTTCTGATCTTGCGGGAGATCGACTTCTATTTCGACTGCTGCGTCTTTCGACAGGAGGCACCTTGGATCCCAATCGACTAAACACATCACGTCCATCACCGCCATTCTTTTGCATTCGCTCCACATGTGCTTTGCGTGCTTCTCTTCTGTCTTCGCTCAAGGGCTGATCCTCTACACCGTGCAACAAGTAGTATCGACTGCGTTCACGAGCGCCTCGCTCCTTGATATCTTCATCGGTAGCTATGCGGATCGACAGGGGATGATTCTGGAAAGGTTTGGCTGCAACCAGCGTGCGATGATCCAATGCTGGTACAGGCTGGCTCAAGAGCGTTTGAGCTACTTGTGAGGCGTCCTCTTTTGTCTTGAATGCTAAATTACAGGACGAGTCATTGATCCATTCAACCTTGACCAACAGTGGTGAGTTTGTGTATGTTGTAATGTCGGTAGTGGACATCTCATCGACGCCGTGCAGAAAAATGGCTGTTGGTCTAGGCAATGCTTCAAAGCGGTCGGTGGGCTCATCGCCAACGAGCATCATGTCTAGTTTGGGCTTCACGTCTAACTCCTTGGTTGCTTGTGGTGCTGTTGTGCTCGATTCCAAATCTGCGGCAAGTTCTCTCTCCAATTCAGCATCGAGCTCCAAATCTGTGTGTGCGTTTTTGTTTCAATGACACGCTCTCTTGTACCACTGATATTCTGAATTTACCTAAATCCATGTGTGCTGCTGTATCATCCATTATGAAAATTGAGAGAAAAAAAGAGAAAATTACTATTGATTGGCAGCGACAGCAGAGAGCGCGGTTTTATAGTGGCAAAACGCAAGTCCATCCTGTCAAGCTTCAAGATAGTAACTACAGAGATCTACCAGGCTCATGCCTCGCACAATGCGATGCATGGTGGTTTGGTGTATAAAAAAGAAGCAGTGCTTGTTTGGACTCATCACAGAGATCAAGTACCACAGACATTGGGCTCACAAGCAGCACCGATCGAATCAGCCTATTTAAACACTGAAACTCCTTCCAAAGCAGATTAGACGCCTTTCTTTCTTGCTTTTTTTTCTTTTAGGTTTCATAAGAGCATATGCCAAACAGCACACCCAACTCTCGTTTCAATGCTACCATCATCAACATACACTCGCCTAACGATGAGATCCATTCAGTCAGCCATGATGAGTCCTTTCGTCGCACTTCAAATGCATCCAGCAACAACACGCACAATACGGCCACAAGACAGCAGCAACAGCCACCTCCCAAACCTTCTCCCAAGGTAGAAGAGTACAGAAAGATGATACAGCACATTATAGGCAAAATACTCAAGCGAAAGAGACCACCTACTGCCTTGTTCCATCTAAGCGAGCTTTGTAGAACAACGCAAGTATCCGATCAATTTGAAAACGATGATACCATTGATTTGCTGATTCAGTTGAGATCTGCCTTGATGGTGTGCCATCAAGTGGGTCTCAGTGCGCAAGTGCTGATGCAAGGGTAAGTAGCCATATCAGTGGTTGACATGTGTGGTTTTTTTTTTCTGATGAACAAGTGCTGTAGTGAGCGTACACCTTCCGCCTCACCAGCCTCATCCAGGGCAAACTCACCTGCACCATCACCTCGCACCGGCAGTCCAGCAGCTCGCTCGGCCGATGGACCAGCAGCAGCTTCCTCGTCCAACAATGTAGCCAAAGAAAAGAGATCAGAGTTTGAGACCATTTTGTATGTCCTTGGTGATCTGGTGCTGAACGACAGTCGATTCAAAACTGCCAATCCAAAGCCATCTCGACCACCTTACACAATGCAAACTATTTTAATCGATATTGCGCTGCTTCTTGTACAGATTCGCGATGATTCCACTGGATTATACCACATTGGCACTGTATTTCTACCAGCATTTGAAGCATTTTCGGATGGAAACATGTTGGGAAAACTGCTCTCTCTGTTTCTAGACAGTCTACTGCCAAAATTGATGAAACTGAAGGATGAACCCAACAAACCTCATGCGTCGCATCTACCAAAATCCTCTACTTCTTTTGCAGGTAAGTAAAATGCGATTATGCCGAACATTTAGACTCACCATCAGCCTCTCTCATACACATATAGAAGCCACGCCTCGAAAAACACACAACCCAAATACACCCACTATCAATATCCAGAGCCCTGAGCCAGATCAGGCTGCCAATACCCCAATGAAAATGTCGCATCTCACCATTGATACACGACCTTATTCGATAGACTCAACTGGAGCAGGAGGACCTTCATCACCGCACTCGCCACATTACTCACCTGCAGCCCAAAGTAGCACACACAGCAGCATTCAAGGCCAAAGCACCGCTGAATACCATGCCTACGCCTTGTTTACGCCCTTGTTGTTCTTTATGATTCAGTACCTGGATCCCTATCTAGCAGCACAGCCTACAAAAGCGCAACAGGACAATTTAAGCTTTTCGCTTACGAAGCAAGCCAACTCAATCCACAACTTTCATCGTGCACTGTCATTCATGATGAGTTGCAAGCCAGACCTCTACCTGGATATTTTGGATGTGATTTCGCATAGCAGTTCCGAAGTGAAATTTAGGGCATGTCAGATTTTGTTGTACTACTACTTTGTCAGTGTGGGCCATGTGATGGTGGCAGATCCATTGCCTTTGCTGGGGACGCGGGAGGAATTGGAGGTCTTGGATCAGCATAGGGAGCAGCAAGAGTTCGAAGAGCAGCGTCAAAAGAACCATCAGTACAATCGTCAGCATCCCACTTATCAACAGCAACAGCAGCATAATCATCGCCCTCATTTGATGCGACACCCAAGCACAGTAGAATCGCTGGAGGAAGATGACGTCGAGGATCATCATGTGTGGTATCCCTACATGTTTGACCATGCCTCACCTAAATCAACAGACCTATTCGACCCAAGTTCAAGTAGCAGCAGCAGCAGCAGCAATAGCACATTCCCACTCTTGGTACACGACGACATGAACGAGGCCTTTTGCAAAGAATGCTTCAAGCTAATCAAGGGGTTTGGATTGCGATGTTATCAGTGCAAAGGAAGTGTTCACTACAATTGTTCCAGTGCTGTAGCCGACATGAAGGAACAAGGTCTCATGTTTTACGTCAAGGCAGGTGGCATTCAAAAGGTGGTGACACCTCAGTACTGCAATATACCACCACAGCCTCGCTTTCGAGACATGGTTAACAGAGGTATTCTGGGCTGGACCATCAAGTCCAATGCGTCTCGTGTGGGTTTACTGGGCCACATGTTTCAACTGGTTAACCTGTATACATTGACAATTTGTGCGTGCTGTGGATTGCCATTGTGGGATATCACTCAACAAGGATATCACTGTATGGAATGTAACCGGTTTGTGCATGTGCAATGTTTGGCAGAGGCAGAAGAGGTCCATGGGTTTCGCGTCTACGACAATGCCCGCAGCAGCTTTCAAGTGTGCGTGCCTTATCAGCCCTTGCTAGAGAGTGATATCCAGATAGCGCAGTCTGATCTGTCCAAAAGTTTGTGTGCATACTATGGTGATGCCTTGCCAACAAGTGCTGAAACATTGGATGGCAGAAGTTTCGAAGAAGTCGGTACCATGCTGAACGTATTGGTATTGCAAGATCATATACTGCACTGTGGCGTGGCTGCTGGCTGTATACTCATCACACATGAGTCGGACGATCCTCTCCTGTCACAACAGCCACAAGACAAGGCAACAGCAGCATCCATCGACACCCCTTTATTCAAACTAGACACGCAACCATCTCATTGTGCTGTGCTGACAAGGGCTATACAGCTGTGCTCAGACTATCTCGCGTCAGGCAAATGCTTTGGCTCGGTCTTTCTCACAGACTTTTGCGGCAACAAGGCAAGCACAATGGACAAATATGTACTGAGCAAGGAGGAATACCTGGGCCATCTCAGCGCTATGATCAAGTGTCTTATGACTAACTTTGACAGTGGAAGTAACATTACAGCAGCAGCAGCGCCGCCACTCTCCTCGCCTATGCAATCTACGACAAACACCTCAACAGCAGACAAACGAAGATCCGCAGGCGATGCCCGTGGTTTCTTGCAAGTGTCACCCAATCCATTCGCTCAGGTCGCCAGCTGGGAAGACGATCAGGACGACGATTTTAGTGAGGGCCATGTCCCTCATGAATCCCTGGATCGCTCCATGCTGCTATCATGGCTCATGACGAACCTCAACTTCAAGAGTCGAAAAGCAGCTGAAATCCTGTTGCAGCATATGCGAAATCTGGGTTTCTTTGAGCGTTTTGATGCTTCCCCAATGCTGTTTCCCAGCGACGACAAGCTCAAAGACCAACAAGACAACAAGGCAGTGCAAATAATTTTCCCTGTGCCTTATGCTATCGACTGCTCTGCTCATGTGGAGTCGTTGATCAACTCGATAGAGGCCTGCTTGCAAGACGTGGATCTCTCAATAAACGAGTGTGGACTGCTGCTATTGGTGAGACGATGCTGGCCAGATCCCTTCATGTCAACTTACACACGCGAACGACTGATACATGCGATTGTTGGATGGATCTTTGATGAAGATGAACGTCTTTTAGCTTTACACGCAGAACTGACGTCCAGCAAGAGTCCCCATCATGTGCACGCTGCCAACAAGCAGCAAAACAAATGGGCTCAAGCAGCACTGTTATCACGTATGAAGGGAGGCAGTGGAGGCAATCCTACGACAGACCGCCACCGACTGAGCACGTTTCGCCATACAACGACAGCAGGCGTCAGCAGTGGCGCCAGCAGTATTTATGTCACAACGCGTGCTGCTTTACGAGATCGCTACATTGTGCGATGGATGGCCACCATCCACGATATGGACAAGGATGCTTACACGGACATTTTGTTCAACGCCATGGAGGAGATTGTGGATAACAAGTATGAAGAGTGCGCTGTGCCAAACTGGGGAGAAACGCATGATACCAAGGTAAACTATGTTAACTTGCACTCTAACGTGTTAACTAAGCCTATGGATCCTCAGAAACACGTGTTACAAAAATACGAGCAATTGATCGGCTACGTCCTCAAGCTCAAGACAAATGGCCTCACGTTCGATTCGTTAGATTCTATCTTGCAACAGTGGCTTGAGAGAACGCATATGGAGTTTAGTCATCTTGGTATTCTCCAGGTAAGCTTCTCATTAGTAAAAAAAGAAAAAAAAAAAAAAAAAAGCATTGGAGGCAGGCCATAACTAGGTATGATAGGAAAAAGAGCCAATGGATATGCGCCATTTAGCCAAACTCTGCTCCACCCGAGTACCGTTAACAAAATCAGCATCTTCTGTTGCTATTGTAGCCAATCCTATTGATATCATCATGGCTCAGTTTGATGCTGGAGATACACACAGTATTGATCGTGGTATGCGTTGGCTGACACTGGTCACTCACTCTGGGTAAGTTGTAGTGTGTGTGTGATATGTCCTTGGTTCTCATGTACTGCTTAATATAGCACCGGCATTCCTTCCAACTCACTTTCTCATATTGCTCGACTGATGGTCGCTGCTCGTACGCCTTTAGACATTACAGCTGAATTTGTCAAGATTCTGTGGTTCCAAGCTGTGCATGGGCTGAATATGCCTACCCCGCGTGCTGCAGTGATTGATATCATTGGCTACTTGAATGAAATTGCACTGGATACACTGCAGGTCAATAATGAGAGTCAATTGTTATCAGATCAAAGCCTGACCAGTGCGCAAACCTTCATCAAGTATTCAGCTGCCTTGGCTTGTTTTGCCTACAACTGTCCTCTCAAGCATATTGTTGAACTGGGCATTGTCCCGCATGTAGGTGATCGCGCTATCAGTAATGCTGCTGCACCGTAAGTAGTTGAGTGGTCGTACTTGCCGTGTAGAGTACTCACGTTAGATAGACACAGCAAAAGAACAACCCTGTCAGAGAATTCTGTCATGATGCAAGCTGACGAAAAGACACCGTTAATCCAATGTATGCTGCGCTACCTGCGATTTGATCAACTCAATGTGCGACAAGATGTGATCAAGATGTTTTACGGCTTGTTTCATTGGGGACTTGGCATCAGCAACAAGGACGAATTTATGGCAAAATGTATGCCTCAATTGATTCCTTGGTAAGTATAGAGAGTTCTAATACAGGGGAATGTACGCTACTGACCAAGTGTCTTTTTAGTATCTGGGAGCTGTTGACACCCACACACGATTATTTGAGTGACATCAATCTAGGCTTGTTGATGAAGTTGATTAGCGTGGATGTGCGCTATTTCCAGGCCTGTGTATTCAAGATTTTTGAAGATGCCAATTGGGAAGTCAGGTATCAGGGCTTGGATAATCTCTTTGGACTGTTCACCAAGATGGATGCTGCCTTTCAGACTGAATGGCTCAAACTCCTGTCTCATTTGGGACCTGTGTTTAGTTACTTTGTGGGCTGCTTGTGGGACAAGGAAGAGTACGTGCGATCCAAGGCGTATGCATTGATCAGAACATTTGGCACACTGCACTTGCGTTCAGCATTTCGTTGCTGGGAAGCCTACTTTTTAACAGCCACTGACAGACAGAAAATGTCGTTGGTAAGCTTGATGACACAGTTGAATGCGCTGTTTCCTGACTGGCAAGTGCTCCAATGGGAGTCATTATTGGAGGCTTTGGAAATGAAGACACCGGTAGACATCTTGGACGAGTATACGCGATCCCCTTCTTCTTTGGAAGATGACTTGATCAAGGACGCTATGGATGTGCCTAGCAACAACGAAGCACATCATCATCATGACCAGGAATCGGCCGAGTCAGAAAATGTCAAGGTACTGATGCTTACACTGGCACTGCAGATGCTCAGCAATCACCTCAGCATTGAGCCAGCCCAGATAGCTCGACTCAAGTTTATCTTGGTGCAGCAAATGAATTTTCAAAACTGTCAATTGTTCAATGACGGTGGAGAAATCACAGTTGAATTTGGCCTGCTACAGTACAACCCAAAGGATCCAGCGCGCGTTGCCGTTATGATCTCGTGTATCCGTGGGCTAAAGAAGATTATGGATAGCTTTGCTCCACTGCCAGCAGAAACCGTGGCTGCCATGGCATCAGACTCATTGGAACAATCTAGAATGAACCTCTCTGAGAACAGTAGTCCTGGTGTCCATTTCATTGATGTGGTGCTCAAGATGATGAACTCGGGCATTGATTTGACAAAGCTGGGCCACATGATGCTAAAGGCATGGCTTGAAATTGTGTTGATTGTCGTGTACAAGGTAAGCGGCACCTATGTCGTTGTCTCTGTGCTTTCATCTGACTCGCCTATTCCATAGCACAACATTCTTGACAGAGAGTACGAACAACACATTGTCACCTGCATGAAGCAGATTATTGATCTCCTAACAGAAGACGTCAGCGAAGAAAACAAGCTGCTTATATTGGAAATATTAAAGTGTCTCTTGCGTCGTTCTGACCATCTCACTGCCATGGTGTTATCCAAGCAAATCCTGGCTCTAGGCAAACTGATGACAAAGCTGGGTGTTCGTAACTCTGAACCTGTGTATCTCAAGGCCAAGCAGTTTCTCAAGAGCGCCTTCTTGCGTTTTGCTGTTGCTGGTTTGTTTGTGCTCATGTTCAAGAATCAAACCGTGTCAGACGCCAATGCGGGTGATGTCGATCTGTTCTTTGTGTTGCGCACTGTCATTGACCCGGATGATGTAATCCCAGACGAAGATGTGCGTGGCGAGATCATCTATCTCAGAGATCAGCCTGTGCGTGATGTGCTGGACAAGCTGATGAAGCAGCAGATGGAGCGGAAAGCCTTCTCTACTGTATTGCACAACACCAGTCGATACGTGGAAACTGTGCACACACACCCTTATTCTGAGAACATCCTGAATGACTATGCTGGCTTTATCCACGCTCTCATCAAACACACAACCGACTGGAGGCGCTCTGATTGGAACATTAACCCCGTATTCACCATGTCGGCCATCCTGCTGAAAGAACACCCGTATCATCATGCCATCCTGCTGCCTCCTATCCAGGCCATCTTCAAGCATGGCCTCTCTCATTGCGCTATACAGCCTGAAGCCGTTGTCAAGCTCATGGCAGCCTATTCAGCTATTGCGACTATTCCTGGTGCTCAACCCAGCAATGTCTTTGTGGATATCATGATGGATGAACTCAAGCATACCATCGCCAATGTGTCCAAGCCCAACAAGGACACGCTTTTGGTACTGCTTCAGCTTGTGCTTTGGGACACAAAAGCCAATGGTCAAGCGTGGTACACCACCATGGAGACTTCAATACTAGGCGATATGTTGCGTGGACACCATCGACTACGCTACTTTGATAGCAAATTACTGGAGCTGCTGCCCTTCTTTGTTGGTTTCATGAAGCGAGCTTCTACTAGCCAACAGTTTACAAAAAAGGATTTCAAGGTGTACAGCTGCATTGCTCAATTGATTGTGGCCATGTGTCTAAAAGACCCTAAATTGATGGTGATCATATTTGGTTATCTCAAGGTAGGAAGCACTATGAATAAGTTGGCATGTTATATTGATAATGACTGGATAGCTGGAGGATGGCACTGAATGTCTTCGATTTTTAAACTGGTTCATATTGACATTACTGCGTGAGAATGCAGATACGCTGCTGTATGACATGCTTGGTTATGAGGTTGTGCTGACTGAACTGCTGGTGCGTACCTTCAACACGGTAGAGGTGGACTTTCATACACCAGATCTCAACTTTTCCTACAATCCCTCCAGTGAAAAACTGTTGTTAAGCTTTTTGCTGCTAAAATCCTATGTGCTGTTGAAATTGAGGAGTGGCAATGTGAATAACGATAATCCCATCAAGACGCGGATATTGAACCCCATTTCATTCTGGTTGACATTGTGGCCAGCGCTTCGTCGATTGCTGGATTTGATTGAGCCATCTACGCTCTTCATGGTAAGTGTTGCTTGTTGTCGTTTTTGATGCACGTACTGATCACTTTTGCTCTCTAGTCTGGCAATGTCGGCTTATCTGTATGGAACATGTTTCTGTCGTTGTTGCAGTTCTTATTTGCATCTCGTAGTGAAGTTGTCATGATCAATGCCTACGAATGGAGCGATTTACTGGATGATCTCTTGAAAAAGGTAAGTCTGCAATGCCATCTGATAGAAACAAAAAGCTCGACAGGCCAACTCACGTAATACACTAAAGCTGGATCAGGACAATTATCATATTTCACATCAGGACAATGGTGGTATGGATCATGTCATTTCGCTGGATGATTTCAGAAAGCAAGTGACAAAGCTCAAGGCTATGTTTGATGTGCCTCCCATTGAAGTTCCTGCTGCCATCATGATCAATCAACTGTTTTTAGAGATGCGTGATGTGATGCGATTGCAAGCTGAGAGTATACAGATCCAAGGCAATAATCGGGCCTTGATGCAAACGATAAGCCCTACCTTTTGACAATAAAAATGTACCCTTTTTGACAAAGAATATATATATATATATATATATATAGAGTGTCACTTGTCAAACTGACTTGCATGACCCAGCACTCAATCTTCAGCAGCAAAAGCATGAATCCTCACAGTAGAGCCCGTCACTGTTATTCTAGTAGATCTCTTTCGTAACTCTGTTTTTTTCTTTTTTTTTTTTTTTTTTTTTATTTAATCACGTTTGGTTATGGGATCGCATAATGAGAGAGTTGAAGAGCAATCGGCAGTAGACATGTAATAGCGAATAAATCAAATGAATGAATGGGATTTCTTACTGTACACTACAGAAATGACAGCATTATGGCTGCGATGGGTGCCAGTATTCAGGTTGTTCACGGTGCTATGAATACCATATATTCGGTAAGGGCAAAGGACTAGATGTTGTCATCTCTGTGTGTATTTACAATGCTTTTCTATGCAGCAATTTGAAAAGACAGAAAGACAAATACTAGAAATGAAGACAGGAATGCCACAGTTGTTACAGCGCATGTACAAGGCCAACATAGAGATTGGTAATTTTGCAAAGCATTATACATGTACACAAACAAAGGCGTATCATTAACTCATCCATAACTTAGCGAGTACATTCAAACCAGCTGGAAATGGCAATGTCCATATGTCATTGATGATCCACAACAAGACGAAGCTTCCGGTTTATGCCATGACTGGTGTATTAGAGTTTGGAAACAGCGAGGTGAGATGATACTACCTAAAGCAAAACTCTTGTGCCATTAAAAGCTTAATTTAGATTGACGTTGTATATCAAAGTGCGCATCTACAGCAGGATGACGGGGAAGCTTTACCCAATCTGTTTGAATCGCCATGCAAACTACCGCCACAGACATGCTACAAACAGGACATCGAGATCCACATCAACGAGATAAAGCAGTGCAATGGCATCATTACACTGAGTATCCATCACCCGCTAGCAACACAAGGGAGCATTGTGATCAAGGAAACATTTGGGCTGTACTTGATTGACCAGGTATGAAAGGAAACATCTTGAGGGATTTGCATAGACTCATTTGCTCTTACCCTAGTTGAAAAAAGAATTTCTAGACAACAGCACCAGCGGCAAAGCCGATTTGGAGTTAGTGGATACCTTGTGCTATCCAGTGGCATTTTTTCGAGACATTTTCGAGATCCAAGCTATAAAAGGCATAAATTCTGGTATGTGTGTTGCATTATCGTCGCCAAAGGTAAGGGCTGGAATATCAAAAATAGGACTCGATTTATTGAGATTTGCGTCTACACGCTAGTACAAAATCGTCTGCGAAGTTACAAGCCTGTCTGAAGATTTGGACTTTGTGGAGGTGGCATTCACCAGCAATCATCCCACATTCGCCAAACAGTTGATCAAAGAGCTGAGCATCCTGGGTTGTGAGTAAGAGAACAAGAAACTTTATTTCATAATAATAATAATAATAAAAAGAGGGTATTATTTACATTGGTATGATGTGTATAAATGTATATGATATTAGTGGAAGAGAGGCTGATTTTCTGGATCTGCACACATGAAGTGATACACAAGGCCAACCAGACTTGCCAGCAATAAGAGCCTGAATATTCTCCAGAGGTATTCAGAGATGGTCATGATATAATCGGCTGTTGTGTATGTATATTGATGGTCGAGTTTGCTGGTAATGGTACTAGTGTCCATCTCTTTTTCTACAATCTCACTTGCTGGCTCTTTGAGTGTGTTTAGCTGCTGCTCTTGCTCTTCTTCCTTTTGCTGCTGCTGCTGATGACAGCTAGACGATCGTCTTCTTTCCTGCTGCTCAAAGTGATCTTCGGCGAGTCGTTCAATGACATCTTGGCTTTGAAATTGCTCCAGTATCACATTGGCCACCATGGGCGCCCCTGTACGAGCCAAAAGGGCCTCGACGAGTTCCTGTAAGACACCCTTTTGCTCTTCTTCCATCTTGGCTTCTTCCAGTGCTGCCTGCGCAAGTTCGATGAATTTATCCTTGTCGTAAAAGTGCTTTGCGGTTGTCTCATCTCCACTTTCGTCTGTGGTCCAGCTTGTCTTTTCATTGAGCGTGAATCGACGACACGAGTTTGGTTTACTGTTGCCGTTGCTATCGAGAAAATGAGGTGTGGTGTATCTTGCAGTGATCATCATTTATGAAATTATGAAAAAGAAAGAACAAGAGGAAAAGGAAAAAAGAAGGTGTTCCCCCATTTATATACACAACTTTTTGCGCTCAAATTCAATTTCAATAGATGTGCCCCGCTTTTCTCAAAATGGTAGATCCATGAAGGTTTTTATATCTTTTCTGTCACGCGGTTCTTATATCGATTCACTTGTAACCCGAGTTTAGCTTTTTACATATAATTTCCGAGCAGGGCGATGGATTTACAACAACGTTTGGAAAGACAAGGCTCACGAGAGATCGTTGTGTGGACATGCTATTGGATCAGAGGAAGAAGAGGCACTCCACATGACCTGCAGGCAAAAGGTGTAGGGACCTTGCCTGACTCAAACTCTCTCTCTCTGTCTCTCTCTCTATCTGACATCGGATCTGATCGGTAGTTCAGCCGTACCAGATGCTTATACAAAGGAGCAAAGATCACATTACACTTTGCATCCACAACAAATATCATCTCTTGATGAAAATCATCATGTATAAGCTCTGTTTGTTACAGTCGCACGAAATCATCTGATAATTTGCCTTGTCCAACATGCAAACTGTGATTGCCATTTCTATCGCATTGGAGCGATTTTCATGTGCCAGCATGTACAATTTAGCTTACATGGCATGATTGTAATCACTGATGAGAAGACACCATGCAGCAGCATTGGACTCTTTAACAAGCAGCAGCAGCAGCAGCAGCAGCAGCAGCAGCAGCAGCAGCAGCAGCAATAGCAAAGAATCATGTACATTACCTAAAGGAACCTAAAACAAATACTTGCAAATGATAATAGGGTACTTGAACCGGGCGCACGCACGCATTCTTGGATTTTTATTATTGAGTACATGTAATGAAAATGATGTGATATAGAGATGTGGCTTTAAGAAAAGATGGATCGATGGAGGCTGTTTAGCTCTTCTGCCTGGCATTCCTATAGTATACATTAGTGTCTGTAACAGATGTCACAGTTCGCAACACTACTTACATGGCATCAAATTCTGATTTGAAGGCCTTGGTAATCTCAGGACGCTTGATCTTTTGTGCGGCAGTTAGCATGCCCTAATGTCATATACAACAGGTTAAACACACGATTCATAGCGACGATGCCATTGGCTATAACATACCGAATCTGTTGTCCATTCTTCATGGCAGAGATGCACATCAAACAGCAATTCAGCGCCCTTGAGTCCTCCGTCCTTTGCTTGATCCAACAGGGAGGCGAGAATACTCTTTTTGACCACTTCATTTTGGCACAATGCTTCGAAATCTGTCTCTGTCACTTGCTTTTCAATGGCCAATTTGCGAATAACAGGTTCAGATACAACAGCAAGAGCGATTGGCTTGGGATACAGCGAGTCAGCATAGACGCAAATGTTGGTAATGTAGACACAGCTTTTGTAAATAGACTCCAGCTTTTCGAGCGCAATGTATTCACCGTTGCTCAGCTTGACCAAGTTCTTCTTTCTGTCAATGATGGTCAAGGTACCATTTTCATTCCACTCTGCAATATCACCTGTCTGCAGCCAGTTATCCTCCGTCATGGTCTCCTTGGTGACATCCTCACGTTTCCAGTATCCCTTGGTGATGGAGGGTCCACGTACCCACACCTCTCCTTGGGGTTTGGCATTGGTGGAGAAATAGTTGGCATCCGGCACATCCACCAACTTGATTTCACAACAGGGAACAGGGGCACCTACTTGGCCATAGCCAAACTGTTCAGGTGTCATGACACAGCACATACTAGAAATACAAACAAATCAATCATGGCTCCAAATGTGTGTGTGTGTGTGTGTGTACATGTTTTCCACTACTTACCCAGAGCCTGAAAATCACAGAGTAGCACAAGCAAACAGAAATTGTTAGTAAGAGACAAACCTATCAACTGCTACAATGCACTTACTCTCTGTCATGCCTATCATAGTACAAGAAAATCAGATGCATACACACGACAGCACTATCGTCAACACTTACCAAAACCACCGAGAATAGGGCAGATAGCTACAGACAAAAACTTTTGTGTCTCTACTGACACGGGAGCACCACCCGATAAGGCAAAGCGAAGACGACCACCCACTTGATCCTTGATCTTGTTGAACACTACCTTGTCGATAAAGCCTGTAGGCAAGTGGCGCTCCAATAGCCATGCTTTGGTTGCGTAGGCCTTGTGGAACATCTTTTGTGCTTTGGGAGATGCCTCGCCAATCTTGGCCAAGATACCCTTGCGAATCGACTCCCAAACAGCGGGTACACCTGTCATCATTGTAGGTCTAAACTCCTTGATGTCGCCCTTACAGTTACGCACCGAGGCATCTGTCAATGTGCGAACAGACGCATAGCCCAAGGTAACGCCCCAAAAGACACAGACATTCTCTACTACAAATTCCAATACGTGCGCCAAGGGAAGGTAAGCCATCATACTATCATGATCTGTGATAAGATGACCCAAGAGGGTATTGCACCCGGCAACTATAGAGAATCAATGGGTGTGAGCATTTATGTGACACCAATCCTTGTATTACTTACTGGCAGCGACAATGTTCTTATGCGACAACATGACACCCTTTGGATTTCCCGTACTTCCAGAGGTGTACATGATACAACACAAATCCTCAGGCTCAGGCTGCCTGGCTTCTCTTGCGTTTTCTCTGCCCAATTTAGCCACTTCGTCCAACGAGATGATCTTTTGAGAGACGCCAGCGTTCACTTTGTCCAATGCATCCGTGCTGATCTCACCACTGTAGATGATATAACGCAAACTGTGGCACTTGGCAGCAATCTTTTGAACGGTAGGCAGCAAATCAGCCACCGTGTAAATAGCCTCGACCTCGGTCTCGTTCATGGAATGGAGCAAACCCTCCTCACCGAGTGTATCATAGGCAGTGACAATAGTCATGTTTTGAGTGAATGCACTGTGGGCTGTCAGCAGCCAATACATGCTATATATAAGAGTAATTAGCTATGTATCATGCTGACTTGATCACAGACTTACTTTGTAGGAGAAAACAGCTCGATTTTAGATTTGTTCTTGAGACCGAGTTGAATGAAACCAGCACCCACATCGTGCGCCAAGCGTGAAGCTTCCTTGTAAGTCAAATAGTGGTAGGGCGACAGTTGGAAGTACTTCCAAGTCTTTTTCTGCTTGATCTCTTCACCATTGACAAACTTGGAGACCTCCTTTTCCTCGTCGACCATCTGTTCCACCTTGCGAAAGCCGAAACCCTTTCTCTCGGGATACTTTGTTGCACTTCTGGAGAGCACATCATACAGTGTGTGTACGTTATGATTTGGTACACGGTTCAATCCCTCAGGGGCAAAAACGGATCTACGAATGCGACCGCCGTTAGGCTGCTCAGGTCCAACTTCGACTGTGAATTGTTTCATGTTGCGTATTTTTGGATGCAATAAGAAAAAGATATAAGTGGGAGAAAAAGGGGTAAGGAACCAGAAACAGTTATACTATTTTCTCATGTAGCACAATCATCTCCTTTTCGCTCGTTTTTCACATGATAGACAGCTAGAGACGTTCAACAGACGATGATTGACTCTAGAGATTTTAGCTTCCCTTTTCAGGGCATCGTGTCCGTGCTTTACATGCTTTTTTCTTCATTGTATAACAAACAGGCATTTCGATCTAATGATTATTTCAAATTGGAGTGCTATTAATCACGCAACTCTGTCAGTAGAAACATGCGCCGATTTATCTTGTATGCTTTGAGTAGTGCTGTGGTCACAAGTACATTGATCGCTGGTTGGGCTAGTTGATACAGCTTTTAGACAGGTAGTTGACATGCTTTGAATAAGAGTCTATGAAGCATACAATCACATGTCAGTCTTGTTACAAACTCCATTTCATTTCGTCTACCTCTTTGAACTCAATAAAGAGCAAGATTTGCAAATGCTGAATACGTGTGCGACATACTATAAGCATATTTAGGTTGCTTGACTAAAGCGAACTGCTGCCCAAAGAGCTCGTGCGCATTTGTAACTAGTTTTCTATACAATTTGTTATAATTTTTCACCACTGTGAGAACATCAATCTCTTGTCAGATGTTATACAAGGCGAAAACCACCCCCTAGATAAGCCGATATTATGCTCTTTCAAATAGATGCTTTATCAGCAGATTGACCTTGTTTGCAAGACAAAAGGATTAGCTTATGAAGCCATCCTTCGTAAATAAAGGTCGATGTGAGTTCATGTTCTACTGCTCATTACCCGTGAGGATCTATGCATTGTAACATGATCCTTTGTCATCAACAATTCAACCCTTAAGAATCAAAAGAGACCCACTGCAACATTCCATAAAAATTCATTGGCACGGCTTAGTGGAGAGTCGTGTATATTCAAAGAGTATCTACCTCCTGGTATTTATTATCGATGTATTTTTCTTTTCTTTGTATACAAGCTTCTCTCGGAAGGTGGCCACGTTTGGTAACATTGGTACCATCTGGACACAAGAGCATACGTCTATTATCGTTGTACAGCAATGTTCATCACATTTGGTCCATTTAGAGTTCAAATTTAGTTTTCAATGCAGAGCTTTGCAAAGCATCCTGCTGTTCAATAGCACCTTTGTGACAAATGTTGATATGTATAACACTGCTGTGTGTATTTTACGATCAAATTTGGTATTACACTAGTGAAGAGCATTGTTTGGCAGAAGGAAGTTATACCAAGTTGCTGATGGCAATCAGTTTAGAAAGTCGTTGCTGCAAAAAAAAAATGGCCATGTTTGTATCAATTCAAAATAACATCGGATTTGCTTGGATTCAAGCTTTCGGTTTGTATTATATCAGCTTTAGGCGATGGGCGAGCTTTAACGTCATAAAATAACGCGATCGACCTTTTAGATTTGCATATAAATAGTCTAGACTGCACTATCTTTTTGCAATACGGTAGAGCAGCAGAAATACAAGTGTGTAGTGCCTCATAGTAGTTGCTTTGATTAGTTGAAGTTAATCGCAATGGACGCTAGTTTCTCAAAAAGGTATCTGCCCATTACCTTTTACAATCAGAAACAGATGGCAGTTAAAAATGATCTAATGATATACTGAGTCTGACTGATCAGTCTCCAGAATGCCTGTGATAGTTTGTCAAGAGCTACAATGTATCAAACGGTACCCTTTCCTCTTCACAAGACTGATAAAATATTTGCTTTCTCGACACAATGAGGTCTCTGACTGGAAAAATTATCAATGTTTATTTAATTGATCTCTGTTGTCGTTTTGATTGCAAGAATGTCATCAAACTTAACACGGCAGGCTCACAGTACACTAAATTCTAATGTAGCATGCTACCAACTTGGCTGTTAGGGATGCAAATGCATGATTGTCCAAAAGCTATAAATCTAGCAATGGATTACAAGATTTCTTTATAAATGGCAGCTACACTATACAACACAAGGATATTGCAAACGAAAAATACAAACGAGCCGCTATAAATGCTTCTAAATCGCCAGCCCACGCTGACCATCGCTCTTTGAGTAAATCTATCGTATATGCGAGATTTTCTGTACTTGACCGCAAGCCAAGGTATTTTGTGCCTCTTGGCTGCAATGAAACTATAGACCTTGTCGACGTTTTTCCTGAAAGCCAGTTGGCCACCTTAAACCAACCAACAATAGCCGCCATTCGCCAGAAGCTAACCTCAGCCTTTACCGAAGCTGAAATGACAAACAATTTCTTTGCTGCCATGACCATCAGAGAGAGAGAGAGAGAGAGAGAGACGTAATGAAGTATATGTGAAGAAGGCACTGGACCGTGTTAGGAGTGTCTCGCTATTATAACAACGGGAAAGTATGGGCAACACGCTTAAGTGGTATCTCTTTTCAGGGCTAGTTCATTCGGCTGGGAAGTTGTTGTACATCACTGATATTGATCCATTATGCATCATCCAAGACTTTTACTTGTTCATGCTCAAGCTACATTGCTAACCGCTATACCCTGAATTCGCAATGGAACAGCTTGAAAGCGAATACTACAAGGACTTGTTGAAACATGCGCTCGCCTCCTAGATAAGACTGAAGGTAAACTCAAATGGAAACTTAAATCGGGTCGCTATGTACAAGACGTGATGGCAATGTTGTTTTAACGCAAGCTTATGATCAGTGTGTATACTTTGATATTTGATATGACTAGAACTAATTTTACTAGTCCTGTGCTCTATCGCATCCTAGATATGACCGATTATAACTGAACCAAAATATTTTACAAGATGAGTTCAAAGAATTGAACCAAGTTGTAAATTTAGAAATGGAATATCCGCCTTTATCGAAAGATAGAGTAGACTTTATGGGAAATATCCCCTAGACAAGCGATTTGGGTGGAATATATAATTACTTTGAATCACAACAGTTAGATTTTTACAAACAGCAACGCTTGAGCTAAGTCTCATGTACAAGTAGCAATCCCATTGTAAAGCGTGGTTACTTTCTTATCAAGGGTCAATCCGAGAGAGACCTTTGCACGAAAGTTTGGAGAATGATTTCAGATGCATTTGACAATAGCAACATGGCTGTTAGAATGGGGAAGGCTAATGAAAAAGGCAAAACTGTTCAGCATCCAGAGATGCCACTGTCATTCAAAGCACAAATGACAAAATTGTTGGCGCAAGTTTGGCAATTTAAATAAGCAACTGAGATGGTCATAGAGGCAACGGTAGCAAGTAAATCCAGACAACGATCTCATTGATTAATTCGATAAATACCAGAATACTGCAAACTGATCCAAGCTACAAACAACCTTTGGAATTTTGATTGAATTTTACAATGAAGGCTCTGGTAAAGTAGCAAGAGTCAATCAAAGAGCCACCAAAAAAGCATGAGCAGTGGGTGATGCTCAAAGAGTCCATTGCTCTGTTGGTGAATAATCAAGTAGATAGTTTCTATTTGCATAAAACCCAACTTTATACTAAAGGATACATTCAGTAATGAATTACACAATCGTTGTAAACCTCATTTATAGAGAGTTATATGCCCCTTTAGAATCGAATAACTCATAAATGATATGTATTAGTCAAATTACAACCAGATCAACGCAAAAATCTATATTTCTGCGTTCAAGATCCCAAAACCTCGTCAACAGAAACCATTTCTAGCGCTGAAAAAGGTACCAAACGAATGCTACAGAGTAGTAGAATCGACCTACAATCAATTCACAGCTTTTTTTGGGAATTTTTTTCCATCTCAAAATTTGACGATTTTGGCCTTGTAGTAGCAAGGAGAAAATCGCAAATCAGACAAATGTCGATTTTTCAGTCGAAAGACGAAACTTTTTATTGAGGTACATATCAGATGAAAATGCATAAAAAACTTGTTTCTATCTGATAAAAGCGTTTATTTAGAGCATGCAAGCCAGCTTTTTTGGTTTTTGCCCTAAAAACTAAAAAAGCAGTTTATTGAAAATATCTATGCAGTTTTCTAAGGCATTGCGAAAACAAAAAATACCTTTGAATAGAGCACATTTGAATGTATGTATTTTGTTAGAGCTCCTGTGGGCGTTTAGTATCCCCTTTGGGATGTAAAAATTCTTTAAATGTTGTAAATTTTCCAAAAATGACAATTTGGAATAAAATTGAACCAGATTGACATCCATATTCCAAGCTCAAAAATCGCTCAGAAATCGCTCATTAGGGAAACGTTTTTGCTATTTGGTAAGCGATCCAGGCTTGGTTGCAGTTTCAGAAGATCTTTGACAGCTCTGAGAAAAAAACACCATACTTTCTTCAATTAGCCAGCCTTTCTCGTTACAGGTTCCAATTGAACCAACACTAGCAAACATGAGCAGATTGGCAGAATTCCTATACATCAAAATTTTTGCAGGTGAAGAGGAAGATGTAAGCCCAACACAACTCGAAGAATAAAATACCGATAACATGGGCTTGATTCATAGCCTCGTTTATTCTGTGCTATGGCCGTTCTCCTAGGAAACTGGGTAATTGAACAAGTTACAATTTTTTCGAAGCAGAACATCTTATTTGATAGGACTCATGGAGTAGAGAAAATTATACAGGTGATTTTGATGATAGTGCTTGGTGGCCAAATCTCCTCAACGAAAATATAAAGTCAAGATTATATCTTATAACTTTTGGTGGTATCATGCAATTATTGGATGATGATATAGACATACGATCTATTGAAAGCAAAGCTGAACAGTACCTGCAAAGATATGATGACGAAGAGACCGCTCAAAGTATCGCTGTGGTAGAAGAGGATGATGATGAAGAGCCTGTTATTATGGAAATCAACCCCTACAGAGGTCACAATCTGTTCTTTACAGAGAAGCATTGCCAGAAACTTTACTTGCCACGAGTTACAAAGCCTTTAGTTTGGTTCTTGGAGAGCAGATGCGAAGCAAACAGTAACTGCTCAAACAAACCAAAAGGTCACTAAATCAAGTAATTGAAACCACTGACGAGGATGGCAAGCTGCAGAGACCTACAATGTCGATACTGGATTCATCATATCAGACATCAGACATGTACGACATAATTTTTGGCGCTTTTATGGAACACCATCGGCGGGCATTCTACCTATCCATAATGCAAGTCATTACAAGAAGACGAATCAGTTGATTTTGACAACTACAGTAATCAGAGGAAACGTTAGTAATGCTATCAAAGACAGTAGTAGTGGAAACGCTGATTCTGAAAGTGAACACAATACAAAACTAAATTGTACATGCGGCCTTATGATCACTCATCGACTTTTGTGGATATTGGATGGTTACCTTATTTAAGATGGCACCGTTAACAGCCAGCGGAATATCTGGAAATTACATGATATCAAGCCTACTCGTAACTGGCAAATTTCATACAGATGGTTAGAGCAAGGCAATTCAGCATATGGAGAGCTTGTACGCAGCCACTTACAATAGGAAACCAGCTCAGCATTGAATGGCAAGCAGCTACACATACATCTGGCGATGAAGAAGTCTACTGTGCTAAAAGACAACCCCTTCAGTTATAAACCTTTTAGATCAGAAAAAGCACAAACAGGCTTTTAACAGGCGATACTATTTGAAGATAGCAACATCTGATTTTACGGAAAGTTCTCAAGTATACCAAGACAAAAGAGATCATTGCGACAAAATTCCATTTATAATGCAAGATGATGATTTGATTTGGCAAATCCCACTTTTGCCTAATGAAGGCAAAGCAAACTCAAAATGTTCGCTTGAAGGAAAGTTTTATGTTATCAGTAGCCCAAAAGACACCACTGGAATATATTGGAAAACGATTGATTTGATGGGATATGATATGAAAACCAATTCAATTGTACGTGTAAACACTAGATTTGGTTACCATATCGATGACTGAATTGAGGTATATTCATACTTCTAATGTGAATGCTGCATTATTGTCAGAACTCAACCTTCTTGTAGCCTCAAAAGCCAGATGCACATTCTCAATAAAAGTCAGAAGTATACCTTGCAGTCGCTTATCCTGAAAGGTTAACACTGAAGAAAATATGACCTAACAAATCAATGTACTTTTTTCATGATTGCATATCCTATTCGCTTGCAATTGTAAGTAAAAAAGAGCAAGACCAGCATACTTTATTGCTCTGGACAGTCATTCCATCCCTGGCTCCAAGGTTTTAAAGAAACCAAGCTTCTATTTATACCCACCGTGTATCCCGGCTCCTATCAAGCAATAGAACCCGTCATTGCGGAAGTATCCAGACAAATCAGCTAGATTACGAATGACATTGAACAATGGTGCGGTTGCACACTATGGATTTTGATGCTATATCCAGCGATACATGGACCATTAAACACACGCACTGCATCATACAATAGCATTGCTTTGAAGGATAAAAAAGATCGCATTTTAGCTTTGAATGGAAGCCATTTATAATACCTACATGATGAAATATTTCAGCTCAAAATATTGAATCAAACAGTCATTTACACAGTAGATGGCATATACTCAATCCTATCACCAGCCTCATCCGCCACTCTGCCTTATGGCTATCATTTGATACCAGAATCAATGTAAAGTATTAGAACAAAAAAAAACTTTATTTTCTTTTCCAAAAATGAAATGCAAAAAAAAGAGATGAGTGGAATGTATAAGAGATTTGCTAGTAAAAAATAAGAAATGAGGGGGGGGGGGGGGTTGATTGTTGTAATAATTAACGTTTGTAATAAAAAAAAAGGAGGGTTGTTGTTGGGGAAGCTGCTCCTCGTTCACATAAATTCTCTTTTGTGTATGAAATGCACCACCATCTAATCCTTACGCTTGTAGAAACGTCTCCACTTGTCATCAATCTTTTCGACATAGTAGACGCCGGTAGCGATGTTGTCGAGGCTACCAGAGGGGTTAAAGTTGCAGGCATTGTGAGTGTTTTCGCGCATCTTCATGGCTGAAGCAAATTCTTCGGGCTTGGAGTGAGTACGGGCATCCAGACGCTCACGGAGGTTCAACTTGGATTTGATTTCATCAGTGGAACCGCGGACACGGAAGGAGATCATGGAAGCAGCCAAACCGGAGCCATAAGAGTACAACATGATACGCTTGTCTTGCAGAGTCTCAGAATCAACTTCAGAGATGAGAGAGGCCAAACCAGCCCAGACAGCAGCAGTGTACATGTTACCGATTTGCTTGGGAACATAGGCAGCAGGGCCCACCTTTTGAGCATAACCAGCCTTTGTCAAACCCATCAAAGCTCTTTCCAAATCCTTGTTTTCGAGAGAGTCAGCATAAGACATTTCCTCAAAAGGCTTGAGGGCAGCAAATTTTTCATTGTCAGTGTCCAAAAGGAAATCATTGTAGGACTACAAGACAATGATAAAGGTCAGTACGTTATGAAACAAAAGGAAATCCCATCGGCGCCCTTAATCTCTCCCTAAAATAGTACTTACTGCACGAGCAAAGGACTTGTTGACCAACTTGGCATAAGGAGAGTGGCAAACAACATAGTCGATATCATCCATGCTGGGCTTGTCCTTGTTTTCAAGCTTGGCCAAGCGAGCCATGTAGCGACGGTAACAAGAATCAAAGGCACGAATGTAACAGGTGTTGGAGAATTTGCCGTCCACAACAGGATATTCAGAGTGCATGTCAGGCTTGTAGAAATCGTAGGCATGTTCCATGTGAGTGGAACGGAGACCGCGCTCGACAACAATAGGGGCATCCTTACCGATCAGCATGGCGACAACACCAGCACCAGAAGTAGGACGAGCAGCACCAGATGCATACAAGGCCAAATCACCAGCGACAACGATAGCGTAACGACCATCCCAAGAGGAAGATTCAATCCAATTGACAGCGTTGGAGAAGGCGGCGAAACCACCATAACAGGCATTGGTAGTATCGATACCCTCCACCTCAGTGTTACCTTGCTCAGTGAATAAAGTCATCAAACATGTCTTGACAGCCTTGGATTTGTCAATGATGGTCTCGGTACCGACTTCAAGACGACCGATATCACTGTAGGAGATGTTGTGCTTTTCCATCAAGTTTTGCACGGCTATCATGTGGAGTCAGTACTTGTACAGTGTGGCATGGCCTGTAGCATTTACCTGTCAAACAGATGGATTGAATGTCTTCACGGTCATCGATGAAGGCCATCTTTTCCTGACCAAGACCAATGGTATATTTGCCAGCACTGACGCCATCGAATGTCTCCATCTCTGATTGAATAACACACTAGATTCCATGTTACCTTCCTGCCTTACACTTCGATGCAATAAAAACGCTGGTCACTTACTCTCTTGGGAAAGTACATTTCCATGGCCAAGACACCAACATTCTCGGGGTAGTTGTTGTAGTTGGGGACAGTCATTGTATATATAGGTGTGTTTAATAAATAAAAGATAACAAGAAGAAGAAGAAGCAAAGCCTGAATAATAATAAAAAAAAAAGATTTTTATAGCCAACGCGTCAATCTTTTCATTGTTCAACAAGGAAATTAGGCTTTCAGCAGTAGCCAATGATGAGGAATTACGGCAACTCAGTCAGAGCTGCCTCATGTTCCGTTGTGCTACATGCGCTGGTGCTCTGCGTTCAACAGCATAGCATGATTGGCTTGCTTACAGATAAAAGCGAGTTTTTTTTTATTGAGCAAAAAACGAGGTATATATGTGAAAAGATGAGAGATACAGACGGACGCATTTTACGATAATTTGACCACAATGCTATATTGAGTTAGTACAAGCTCACACACAACGACATCCAATGCTCAACACACATACCAATCATGATCTGTTCCTTCTGATTGCCTTGCATCGTCCAAATCATCAGCTGATATTGTACAAAATTCGTCGTTTGCTGCTGGATCACGATAAATAAACAAGTCTTCCGTTGGATCATAGCCGATCAAGACGATGAAATGCCCTGTTTGGATACAAGTAAGTAATCTGGATGCGTCTGCTTTTTTTTTTTTTTTTTTTTTTTTATTCTCTTTGCTTACCTAGATAGTCGTTGCCCTTGAACTTTTCCAATAGCAGATCCAACTGACCACACACACTGCCCAAGCATCCTCGATGTTTCTGTCATTGACGCTTAGATGTAGATTACAGATAGGTAGATTCGTAACTTACCCTGCACAACTGGCATTTGAGCAGACGAGCATTCACAAGTGTAATGATGGCAAATTTCTTGCAGTAGAGGAATCGTTTGAAATCATCCAGCGGCAGCATCCTAGCATATCAGCATATTAACAAACTCTGTGTGTCTGTGTGCATGTGCGTATGTGTGAGTTTACATTCGTACAACATGAACTGAGCAGCTCTTTGCAATGGCGAAAAGCTTGTTTACTCGCTTTTCATCCTCATCAAAATCCTCTTGATAAAATTTTTGGTCTTGGTATTCTTTTCGACTGCCTAAATAGCTTGTGTAATAGGTGAAATCATGGACGTAGTTTCGAAGCAGAAATGCCAGGTCGATGGTCCACACACTGTTGACTGGACATTGTCTTGCCACATCTTCTAAATTCACATTGAACCCCAAGCCTCGCAGTGTCATGACAACACAAGCGAGACCACAATCCCAATTCGTATCCTGCGCTTTTGGCGTGAGTCGATTTCATATACACATGGTCACTCTCCACAACTTACTTGTATAATGTGCGGTATTGGATGATCGCTGAATTCAGAGTAGTTTATAATGGTATCGTTGGTAGCATTCACATTATCGTCAGTCCCGAGTGAGAGCATGTTTGTCTGGTGGTTGCAGAGTGAAGAAAATGTGTGTTTGTGTGTGTGAGAGAGAGAATGAAAAAAAAAAAAAAAAGAAAACTACGAGTATACAGACACACACACACACACACATAACATTCAAGAGCTTCAAATCCAGACCTGATGTGTCTCAAATCAATGTGCATCATTCTTGGTTGGTTGATTGATAGAGTTAGATGTTAGTATGTATCCAGGCAGATGATCATAAACCTGTGGTGCTACTTACCATTCAATGCTCTGGCTTATGTTTTGCAGCATTGGATTATAAATGTCCAAATGCCACATCGCGTCAACATGGCCGCTGTTAGACTCTGATTCAAGTTTAGGTTTCGGGTCATTTTGAACAGTAGTGAATCTTGTTAGTGCTCCAAAGCGAGTTATATCTACATGCTCTTTTGATGGCATTGAGCAGTTTGCCAATCCTATTTGTTATGATGGATTAGAGCTATGTTGAGTTATTGCATGACATTGCAATCTTGAGTCTTGGTTATTGTGGATATTGACTTGGATCAAGTACATTGATATGGTACATTTATATAATCTTGCCCAGTAGTTTAACACGAGCAGCAACCTGTAGGTATCGCCATGCGATTACACACATATGTAGAAAGAGATTGCTTAGAAAAAAAAGCCAAGATTTCATACTAGATATGCTCATGGTGTGCTTCTCTAATAGGTACACTCAGTAAAGATCTCGTCAGGGCCTGAAAACCTAAGAGATCAATGGCGAGTGCCCATCATAGCATTGCTCTCATTGGTTTAAGGCATCCCGCTTTTGGGACAAGACCAGAGATCGTATAAATAGGCTCAACTACAGGTGACGTTGTGGTTTTTCCATTTCTTTTTCCCTTTGTTCCATTTTCCCTCTCTTTCATACACACAAAAGCGATGCAACAAGCACCAAGGCAGAACCGTATACCTGAACAGCAAGGTATCGGCCAGACATTACCTCCAGTTCCAGTTGGTATCGACTCGTTAAACGCCCCACCGTTGCCTCCTGGCGCTATGCCAGCAGGAACTCGTCTACAAGTTGGCAAGTATCAAGTGATTGTGCATAATTTCATTGCTGAAGGTAAGTCCACAAGTATACTTTTTACGTTGAGAATGTGTATACTGACAGGCTTGTGCCTAGGTGGTTTTGCTCATGTTTACATTGCCAGAATTGAGGGAAAATCAGGCTACGTTGTATTAAAACGAGTGGCAGTTCCCGATGGAGAGCGTCTCAAGATGGTTGAAAAGGAGATTGCATTCATGGTAAGCTGATAGAGAGTATTGGGGACAGTGTATAGCATGTATTAAGTGGACCGACAGAGGAGACTAGGGGATCATAAAAACATTGTTCGATACTATGAATCTAGAATCGACGCGTTGCCAGTGGGTGGATTTGAGGCTCTCATCCTGATGGAATACTGCCCCGGTAAGATTGGCACACGCTAGAAGCTGCTGATATGGTAACTGATGCGTCTACGAATAGGTGGTGGTGTCATTGATTTGATGAATAGAAGACTGCAGCAGAGATTAACTGAACCTGAAATCCTCAAGATATTCAGTGATGTAGCAGAGGTACACAAGCATTGCACCGTATCACCATTATATCATACTCACTTATTTCTACAGGCGCTCGCTTACATGCATTACTGCAACCCACCTGTGCTTCATCGAGATCTCAAGGTAGAAAACATTCTCATACTGAATCAAGACAGCTACAAATTATGCGATTTTGGCTCTGCCTCGCTTTCCAAAGGAGCCTACATACCAACCACCCTCAGAGATATTCAGAAAATGGAGGATGACATTCAACGACACACAACCCTGCAGTATCGAGCACCAGAAATGATTGATGTGTATCAAAAGAAACCAGTGAATGAAAAGGCTGACATTTGGGCCATGGGCGTGCTGTTGTATAAACTGTGCTATTACACAACGCCATTTGAAGAGGAGGGTCAACTTGCCATTCTCAATGCGCGCTACACTATACCAAGCTCACCCATGTTTTCGGAAGGGTTGCGTCGTTTGATCATCTCTATGCTGCAAGAAGACCAGAACCGTAGGCCCAATATTTATCAGGTACTGAATGCTGTTTGCCATTTGAGAGGTTTAGAGTGTCCCATCCGTGATGTAAGTTGAATAGCGGTGTATGTTGTATATGCTATTTATTGACTGGCTTCTGGATAACAGATCTATTCGGAACCCATTACGACACCACCCTTTGGTCAACAACAACAATATCAATCGACGCCCACCTCGTCTGATAGTGGATCCATATTTGAAAAGGTGCCCCCTCCAACACAGGAATTGCCCACCATTACACCCATGAGAAGAGGAAGACCCACCAAACCAGAGAGAACATCTATTCACAGCCCAGTTATCGAAAATGGTGCACCTAATACTACTTCGACCCAATTTGATCCATTTGATCCATTACATGTTGAGAAGACTTCTCCTCCTCCGCCTGTCTCTGCAACGACCGCAACAAGTGATGCGACTCCCACCACTACCATGCCTGCCTCATTTCAAAACAGCTTCATACCAGAACCAACTAAATCATCTGCATCTCCATTACCAACGAACTCTCCTCCTCCACGAGTGCAGAGCGCCCCTATCACACAGCATGTAACACCTAAACCTCAGATGGCTACCAAAATTTTGCAAACACAACCCAATTCACCGGTGACCAAATCTGTCAAGGAGGAATCTAATCCAGCAGCAGCAGCTATCCAAATGGACGGGGATAATGATAATGAGGACGATGTTGATGACATGATGCCAAAAATGAACCGAGGCGTGTCATCCAGCATTGAGGCACGATTCATGGCCATCAAGAATGCAAGCAGAAATAGCAACCCACATCCTGTCAAACCCACATCCACAACCAGCACACCTAAAAAGAGCAAACCTGCTCCACCACCCAAGCCTGCAAGATTTAGATCACAACAAACCAACCAACAAGTGCCCACTGTAGATGATTTTGAGCATAAATTTCCTTCGCTAGAAGATTTAGACAAGTCCATTTCTTAAGAGTGTGTAATAATAAAGCATAATTTATTGGGATGGATAAAAGGTTGATGTTATTGGTGAGTTCATTAATGTGAGTTGAATTAGAAGAGAGATCATCCAATGATTATAGCCTCCACCGGATTTATGTAAATGGGATGATCTGGAATTTATGAACTAAAATTTACAAAAGTGTAATGTGAGAGAGTTTTTTTTTTATACAAGAGCAATGAGGGAGCGGAGTGCAATTTGAGAAAACTATTTAACAATTTATACATGAGCAACAAAAGGGGGAAGATTCAATCCAGACAGCTATAAATATTCAATTCTTGATGGTTCTTTAGGTAGTTAACATTCAACTTCACTTCTGCATCAATCTTCAAAGAGTCGCGCAACAAGATGGGTTTTGAGATCAGGCATAGTTCTTCTAGCACGACTGAATTCACGTTTGTTTCGAGCATTAAAGTAGTTGGCCAAGAGTTGAATTTGGTAAGCAGTATAATCTAACAACTCTTTCAAATGCCAGCAGAGTTCAATGCAAAAAAAGTGAAAAGAAAACACATGTTTGGATAGTAGAGTAAATCTTCTACTATTGAATGATATACATCTTGTAATTTTAACAGCTTCTGTATATTTTTTTAAAAAGTTTTTGAAAGTCAATGACAAGGTCATCATGATACAGGTCGAATAATTTCATTACTGCAGCATCTCTAAATTGTATTTATTGATGTTGTGCCAGAAGGGTTACAACTGTTTATAAAGATTAGGTTATTCTTGATGGGTAGATATGTCTGTGTTGTGCAACAACATGGACTGTTGAGGATATAGATCATCTCTGAGAGGCAAATGTATTAAGCGTCGTTTATTACATAAGAGGATCTGAGAATGAGCTGAGATGCATAGTAGAAGTGAGAGGTCTTTATTCAAGCAGCACGAAGGAACATGAGTGGTGCCATCAAATGGCTAATCTATATCCTGGTTCCTAGAGAGTGGTAGCCTATGGTCTTTCGTCCCTGGAAGTGGGTTTCAATTCCGACAAATGTTCTTCCGTCAAAGCTATTAGGAAGAACATTCTATCCTGGATCATCTTTGTTGTTTATCCTTGACTGGTGGTTCATGAGTTCTGATGCAGCACATCCTCGTTACTGGTTCAAGGCTTATACAATTATCCCGCATTCAAGATCAAGGTCCTATTGCTGCGGCACTGTCAAATAACTATAAATACCTTTGATATCTACACTAGTTTTGATCCCTATTCAATCTTGGAATAACATAATAAATATATTCAGTTCTAATTGTATTTACTCTGTCTATATTTTGTTATTCTAAACATGGACAAGCTATGATAATTGAAGTGCATCTCAGCTATCTAAATACTGAGGTTCACCAGATATGATAAGCGTTGTACAAGATAAATTGCTACTTTGGCATTCAGAACTTAGTATAAATAGAATAACTCTTGTCTTCATCAATAAATCTTTAGTTTTTGTGTCGGATCTTATTCAAATAAGTCTTTTCTTGTTTTTATAATATTGAACATTTTTTTATCAGCTACAAATAATAATCCTTTTATTCTTTGTGCATAGCAATTGAGTAATAATATTACATTTTGTCAAATATTGGATCCCTGCACTGTTGCTAGAATGGATAAAAAAAAAGAATTTCAATACGCATCAACGGCAGGATGAAGCTACGGTATTATTAACTTGAGTCATGTAACATTTCAGGTTTTACGAACCAAAAGTGCACGGAAAATTGTTCAAATTCGACGGTCTGTAACTCCCACAAAAAATACAATTTTTAACTTGGAACTTTTACGATAAAATACTTTGACATCTTAAATACAATATGAAATCATAGAGAGCCATGTTTACTATCAAATTAGGCCATAAATCCGTTTTAAAAACATGATATCTAGCAGACCGATTTAGTCGGGATTTGAAATAAACGGAACTCTAATATTATAGACTGCAATTTTGCACAATAATTAGAGTGGTTTTAACTAGAAACAATGGGATTGGGAAGATAATAAATGTTTTTCATTGCTGTTTATTATAGCGCATGATGCCATCACTACGGCCCAACTGATGTTCTCACAGAATATCGATGCGCTCTTTTGGGAACATTGATGTTCTCGTGAGCACCTCGATGTTCCCATATCAGAACATTTGGCTTTACACTGTGAAGATAGTTATCAGATATGCGCTTTTAAATGGTATGGTCAGACTTTTTGAGTTCTTTTGTTTATTTTTCGTACCGAACGCCAATTCGTAGCATCATTATCTACGAAGTTAGAAGCCTCCAAACTTGCTCAATTTGAAACAAATCAGGAGAAAAAATCACGTGACCCGAGTTTCTGGTTACTTTGAGTCGCTATGTCAAAGTGGTAATATTCCTGACTAACAAACTGAAGGTCGCCAGTTCGAATCCGAGCAAACTCGTTTTTTCTTCGTTGGACGTTATCCTTGCTGGGTTAATTATGCTTTTCTCAAAATGCTTTGATGGCCAGTGATGCGGATCCTTTTCTTTTATTATAATTATTTTGCGCATGCCTTCATGGACAACAAAGCTGTAAGAGGTATACAAGTGTGATTAATGAATGTAGCTATGTATTGTATTGATAAATGTATTATCTTTTATTTCGTAGTAGCCTTAAGTGGATAGTTTTACGCGAAAGCAAAAAATCTGTATGTTGCGATTTCAATCCTCGTTAAAGGTTGCGAATATCGCCAGCATCGATCGACATATCTTGTTCAAACGCATGGTAGTTTGCAATGACGCTAAAGTGCAAGTCGTTATCCAAAGATTTCACCAATCCCACTTGCATCTCAACATCGTCAATAGAAATGACAGCATACTTGGGATCAATCACTCTCGGCACCCTTCTTGCAATTTGTTGTTCGACAGGCTCATTCATACGAACAAAAGGGACAGACCTGTCGTGAGAAGCAACACCATGATTTTTCATGGTTTCAACGAAAGCCAAAAAGTAGGTCGACCCATCATAGACATGTTGGAAAAAGAATATCACTCGCGAAACAAACCAACAGGAGACAGGGTGGTTAAGTCGATTGAGGTGAGTTGACCTAAACATGACCAGATGGTTGCTTCTACGAAACTCATGCATCTTCTCTCTGTATATTTCTGATCCTATGACAGTAGAACCGATTAGAGCACGATGGGCAACCTTGATCGTCATTGACAATGGACTGTTCAGCCTTTGAAGAGAGAATATCCTGCAATAGTATTTCGACAAAGCACGCTTGAATCTTGCAATTGGAACACCATGGAGTTCAGCACGATCAGTACCATCGAAGCCAAAATGATGATCCAAATTTGTCTCTTCTTGATCAGGTTCCCACAACTGTGAGCTTGTTAGAGATTCTGGATGATTGAGGTATGTGGTGGATGCATATGGCTGCGGTCGAATGCCTTGGAGGAACTCATTTGAGTCGAAGATCCTTTTCAGCTGGTTTCTGATTGCAACAATTTCAATCAAGTTGGAAGATTGCTTGCCTGTCCTTGACTTGCCAGTTATCAAATCACCAAACTTTCCAATGCTTCTGTAAAATGGATGATGTTGTTATGTAAGTAACTGGATGTGTGTGATAAACATAGCATGTATAGATGACTAACCGTTCTTGACTTCGTGAGGAGTAGGCTACAATTGGCCCCATTTCTCTTATCATCCACACTACATGTGTAAGCTGATGCATTACGGGACGGAAGACCGAAAGTGACAAGCACATGGCATCTCTCTGAGCTTTGCAGTAGTCAATGAAGAAGTCAATGCATTCATCAATCTCTGCCAACCTAGACTCAGTGAACTCCCATTGCAATGCAAGACAGACGCCTCTAACCAGCTTCATGATTGCTTTCCTAGCCTGTGGACTGGCTAATTCTGGGACAAAGAGAGTAGGTATGATGGTCTATTTCAAATCAGAATAATCAGATCCTAATTCACGCCTTACATGTGTACGTTTGCAGATTACAGTGGATCTGATCTTACCAGCAAATTATCAAGATAGTCAACACTGCGGGTGCCTCGTAGCTTCTCCACCAGATTCAAAAAGCTTCCATCAAATGCAACTGGTATATGTGATCTTGTGTCCTCAATTGCTTTGCCAATCTCGAACAGCCGTTGCTTTGGAATGAAAAATGGATAATTTTCTCGCTCCAATTCACCATCTGGATATGTGTAGAAGAACTTTGTGTTGTTCGGAGACAGGTCGACAGTGAGCATCTCGAAGAGTTCTGAACCAACACCTCGTGCTAATGTATGCATTTCTTCGAATCCAAAGCATTGGGGTGCAATGCATGACGATAGCTGATTGAAAAGGCTGACACCGTTGAATCCAAGGTTGGACTCAGCCCTCTCGTAATCTTCATTCGTACGCATGCTTCCAGCATTTGGAAAGTACATTCCATGGCTGCGATTATCAGGGTGCATGCCACGCGAAAGACACCAACGACAGCCATACTCAGATGCATGATGAGCACACTTGCTCCAGTCAAACACGGCTAGAATAAAGCAGGTAGGTAAATCAATTTCATGTTAGCCATTGTGGATGCTGATTAGTTGCTTTATCAATCAGGATATTTACCTGGAGTATCACCACCACAAATTAGAGGATGAACCTTCAAACGAATTGGCCCAGCATCATTTGTTTCGACTACCATTCCATACGTAGAAAGCCACTGGAGCTCTGCCAAGATGATGGAAATGAACGAGTCAAATGATTTGGGCTTCTTTTTTCCTGGAAAGATACAAAGCTCGTGCGTGTACTCCTCCTTGTAACGCTTGTGTGGATCGTAATTGAACACCATCAGATGAATAATTGTGAATAGCCGATCACCTCTCTTTTCAACTACAAAGCCATCATTCATGATCGCAACTGCGATATCCAGGTCATTTGTGAAATGCGTATTCTTGATGGACTTGTACGTGGCGCCGTCAAATACGTCAGCAATGATAACATCGGATGGATTCTCTTCAAGGTCTCTGTTGTCGTAGGCATGTCGGT